TTTTTACAAAATTAATTAATATCTATTCAAAAATAATATCCCTTAAGTCTTTAAAAACTTATTAAATGGTTATATTTTACAATTAAATTAAGAAATTGCACCTAAATTGTAGAATTAAAAAGGAAATAATTATTGGTATTGATAAACACAATGAACAATCTTAATTAATTTTATGTTCTCTATAACAACCTCCTTGGACGATAAATTATTTAAATATATAAAAAAGCATTCATATTACCCACACTTAAATGCATGGGTATTTTCTCTTAAATTTCCAAAATAAGTATTTTACTAATAAAAATTTTTCAATTACAATGTTAAAATTTAAAGTTTATAAAAATCAATTTAATAAAAAAAATAGTATTACTGTTAAGTGGTATTTGCTAGTGATCAAAAATATATAAATATAATAATATTCTTATATACTGCTCAATCCTCTGCTTTTTTGCTATCTCACATGCATTAATAAACAAAATATATCTAGCAAAACTTGAATTAAGTAAATTATTGCATTAGTTTTAACGTTTCATTTTGAGATAAAAGTGTGCATCCTAATCTAGTTCCACCATAATCAGCTTGTGATTCAGGAGAACTGCATCTTTACATATGTAATCTCTGCAAGCTGACCAAGCAGTCCATGAATATCTGCCTCTATCTTATTTAATTTTAGTCTAACAATATTGTTATTATTCAGCATTTAATTTTTGAGCACCAACAAGAGCTGTTTTCCTTGGAAAATTTACTCCATATTAATTAATTTCACCTAATTGGTATGTTAGTAAATCATTACTTAAAAGTTTAACCTGAACACATGGCTAGAAATCACAAAAACTCCATTAAAAATTTTATTCTGTCTGATTAAATCATCCCTAACCATTTGACAATTGAATGCAAGAAGGGAGACTTCAATAGCTTTCGCATGCAATTTTTGTAACTACACAATCTGCATCTTCTATTTAAAATGGGAATCAGAATAGAATTGGTGTAGATTTAGATTTTCTTAAATTAAAGTAGCAGTTTTTACAAAAGATCATACAGTTCATGCCCTAAAATAAGGATTAGATCAATATTTCATAAATGCTCATATTTTTTCGATTAGCACAATCCACATTAGTTGGAATTCCAGATTATAATTCTTAGATTATCGAAAATATTCTAACAAGGATTTTATTAATTTATGGAGTTGTATTATTTGCATATACAATCTGCATCATTTTTTTTATTAACAATTATTAGCTCCCTTACTACTGTAAAATTTAGCAAATCTTGATAAGCTGTTTATGAGGCATTTTCTTTTCACAACTTTATAAATATACTGCAAAATAGATTTTCANTAATATCTATTCAAAAATAATATCCCTTAAGTCTTTAAAAACTTATTAAATGGTTATATTTTACAATTAAATTAAGAAATTGCACCTAAATTGTAGAATTAAAAAGGAAATAATTATTGGTATTGATAAACACAATGAACAATCTTAATTAATTTTATGTTCTCTATAACAACCTCCTTGGACGATAAATTATTTAAATATATAAAAAAGCATTCATATTACCCACACTTAAATGCATGGGTATTTTCTCTTAAATTTCCAAAATAAGTATTTTACTAATAAAAATTTTTCAATTACAATGTTAAAATTTAAAGTTTATAAAAATCAATTTAATAAAAAAAATAGTATTACTGTTAAGTGGTATTTGCTAGTGATCAAAAATATATAAATATAATAATATTCTTATATACTGCTCAATCCTCTGCTTTTTTGCTATCTCACATGCATTAATAAACAAAATATATCTAGCAAAACTTGAATTAAGTAAATTATTGCATTAGTTTTAACGTTTCATTTTGAGATAAAAGTGTGCATCCTAATCTAGTTCCACCATAATCAGCTTGTGATTCAGGAGAACTGCATCTTTACATATGTAATCTCTGCAAGCTGACCAAGCAGTCCATGAATATCTGCCTCTATCTTATTTAATTTTAGTCTAACAATATTGTTATTATTCAGCATTTAATTTTTGAGCACCAACAAGAGCTGTTTTCCTTGGAAAATTTACTCCATATTAATTAATTTCACCTAATTGGTATGTTAGTAAATCATTACTTAAAAGTTTAACCTGAACACATGGCTAGAAATCACAAAAACTCCATTAAAAATTTTATTCTGTCTGATTAAATCATCCCTAACCATTTGACAATTGAATGCAAGAAGGGAGACTTCAATAGCTTTCGCATGCAATTTTTGTAACTACACAATCTGCATCTTCTATTTAAAATGGGAATCAGAATAGAATTGGTGTAGATTTAGATTTTCTTAAATTAAAGTAGCAGTTTTTACAAAAGATCATACAGTTCATGCCCTAAAATAAGGATTAGATCAATATTTCATAAATGCTCATATTTTTTCGATTAGCACAATCCACATTAGTTGGAATTCCAGATTATAATTCTTAGATTATCGAAAATATTCTAACAAGGATTTTATTAATTTATGGAGTTGTATTATTTGCATATACAATCTGCATCATTTTTTTTATTAACAATTATTAGCTCCCTTACTACTGTAAAATTTAGCAAATCTTGATAAGCTGTTTATGAGGCATTTTCTTTTCACAACTTTATAAATATACTGCAAAATAGATTTTCATATTATAATTAAATTTATTCCCATGATCTTATTAGTTTTTAATGACCAATGAAATAATAAATCTCTTAGAATCTAAGGTCTTTCCACTTACAGTTTAATAATAAAGTTCAATTTAAATTTATTCCATTTATATTTACATTATGAAATTAAGATCCACTTTAATTAGATACTGTGAAATTCCAATTAAAGAAGTATTTTTAATCCTTATATTAAAAATTTTTGTTTTTAAGGCCCACCTTTTGACCCGCAATAAATTACAGTATTACTATGGATGTGAGTTTAGCTAAAAATTACAAAAATTATATGATAGCTCCATTATCTTTTATACTTTTGATTGCATGTTAAATAAATTCTTATTTTCTTTACTGGAATAGTCTTTGTTATTGAAGTTATGATCTTTCAATATTTTTAAGACATAATTAAGTATTTTCATGTAATTTCTAGCAACAGACAATTTCTATTGATTTTCAACCTATATTAAATTAATTTAATTTATTATTCTAAATATATTTGATTCTAGTTATCATAGTCATCGGAAAGATATACAATGTGGTTTTATACTTTTTCCTATCCAAATTATACTAATATGACACAAAATATTTATTCATCTACATCTTTAGCTCTAGTAAATATTACCATAATTCTAAACCTAAAGAAAATCAAATCATTTTTCTATATTTGATATTTTTAATTAATTATGAATTTCGAATATGTTGACTTTCTATGGAATTTTTATTATTAGATATTAATTTTATGAAACTTTAATATGATTATTTAAGAGATTTGGCATATTATACCTGAAAACAATAAATAAATTTTTATAAATTTTCATTAGACTTAATCGAATCAAAATTTAGACTTTCCCAAAGATGCTGATAATACAGTTTTAACAAATGCTGCCAACTGAGTTAAACCAGTTTTTGCCTAAGTAGCTAAATCAGATCTTTAATTTAAATAATATGGATATGGATTTTGGTTATCTTGAAAGATTAATGAAAGTTATCAAAAATATTGATCCCAATTTTGAAGGATTATGGCCATATATCTATTATTCTTACAGCAATGTCAAAGCTAGAGCAGTAAGAATTATTAAATATCGAAATGATGAAAGCAAAGCTATTCATCATTATGTTACTCACCCAGGAACAAGACTCAAATTTATTTTAGTTGGTAATGTTGGTGTACAATATCCAGGAATTGATGATATTATTCCTTAAGCCACATTCAGTGTTTCACTTGGAGCATTCATTGATTCTCCTAATAGATTAAAACCACAATTAGAAAAGATAGGAACACTAAATTCATTTGTTATAGCTAATTCAGTTCTTATTGATTATTAGATTGTTAGAGATAAAAGAAACAGATCCTGTTGAAAGCATAAGATTCCACATGGATATGCAATAGATGGATGGTTTAAATAGGTACTAACTGCACGAGAAGCTTGGCACAACTTATTGAGAGTTACCAACAAATCATCTTCAACAGATGTAGAAATATAGTTTGAAGTATAACAATATCAACAATTACTTTGCACCTTAATTCTTTGTATTAGTAGAAAGACATAAACATAACTATTGAACTCATAGAAAAGGTGATTTCAATCCAAAAGAAATGTAAAAGGACTAAGCGTTGGAGAATCATTTTGAAAATGATAAGCCAATAATTGAAAGAGATGAAAAATAAGGTGACTTGCCATTTTGAAGAATATGGATTATGGATGAGATTTCAGTGCCTATCTAAAGAGAATAATAAGGAGTAAGAATTCTTCTTGGTACTCTGGACATTTGTTTCTTAATCATATCGGGCTGATGAAAATACATCCAGTTATGATGACAAGGAATACTTAGGATTTAATGAATTTTTAGATTGATATCATTCTCAAAACAATCTATACTGATATTGATAAGATGGATACAATTAATAATTATGTAAGAAAGAACCCAAGTCCATATAATATTCATTCTATTAGAGTTAAATCAAATCATAAAGGATTCAGAATAAAGATAATTTTGAGATTAATTACTGTAAAGAAAATTTGGTGACGATAATAAACTACAATTACCACTTTAATACAGTGGATAGTACAAATGGATTGATGGACATAATCTTAATGCTAAGAATAAATTATTCAGAGTACCAATAAAAAATCTTCAATGAGTTAATTCTGAGGAGATAGAACTAAGTAGTGTTTGATAGGATTTAGTAATTTGATTATTTCAAAAACAATATACTAATAAAATTTTCAAGTGACTCTTTGTATATTTTTGATATTCAAAGAAAGAATAAGCTACATATGTATGGGATCAATGATCAATAGGTGAAAAAGATTCTTAATCATGGGATAAATGCAATAATTTTTTCGCCATAGAATTCTCATTATATGTTGGAAGTAGAATGCACTTCTAATCCACGAATGGCCAATCAGAAGCAATCAACTAATATTTAGGATAAGTATTATTAAGGAAAGGAGATGATTATAATCATGTTAAAAATATTTTTGATTCAATGTAGCATTTATATAGAAAAAAACCAGCTTAAATAATTTGTGCATTAAAGCAGAAAGGTCTCGTATTGTGTTTGTGTGAAGAGATTTTTCAAAAAAAATAATAGTAAATATCATCGACTGAGATATTATTTAAAATTGTAGCCTTGCTTAATCAACTAATTCTATTTTAAGAATAATAAATTACTTATTTTGATTGGGAAATGTATTTAATGTGTTATAATTAATTCTACTCTTTAATTTCTTTACATATTTTCTCTATTATAGGGAAAAATATAAAAATTATATTTTTTCAACATTTTGGAGAATAAAAAGTGTAAGCAAGCTGTTATAATTTGTGTATAATTATAGCTCTGGTTAATTGAGAAGGTTTAAATAAATGCCCTATTATTAAAGTTAAGGACAATCCATTTATGATTGTCCTGATAGAAATTGTATAAATAAACAAGATTAAATATATTCTAAATTATAGATGAAATATAGCTTATAATGGAATGACTAATTGGGATTGTATAGAATACTAAATTAGTTTTAAAATCAAGGATTATTTGTATCTACACTTCTCCAATTGCTAAGTTCCTAAAGTAAATAAATAGTTATTCGTAAATTGTCATTTGACTCTAATAAAATAGTTATAGAAAACTATTCAATCGTTTTATAAATTAAATTAATCTTTTCTGATAAATCAAAATGATTAGTATTGCAGCAACATAGATATTGTTAATGCATTAAAAATATGTGAAGGCAAATTAAAAATCATTTAATAAACAATTTGAGTTGGAGAAATAGAAAGAAAAAATAAATTTAAAATTGTAAGCAATTTAATTAACTTTTTATTCCTAGCAACAAATAAAATGCTTAAGAATTAAAAATTACGAGTGCCTAAAGATCTAAGCAAATTAGATCTTAACTATGCTAACACTTTTATTATTTTTTATCCTAAAAATGAAAAATAGAGAGATTTTAGAATTAAACAGAATCCAATAAAAACAATTAATATTACCCTCACCAATAAATATTAGTTTTCAAATTGATATTGATTCTCAATGTTCTGAAGAAAAATATATGGAAAAGTTACCAAATCAGGCCGCCCTCGCTTCGCTCGTGGCTAAACTTCGTGCTCGTCAGAATACGAATTTTTTATTGTTATAGCTTGAAAATATTCTAATTTAGAATCTAAATTTATAATTTTTGTAAGTTTATAAAATAAACAATATTTATATTTATTGAATTGAATTGATATTTTTTCAAACAGGTTTTTATTGAAATATGGTTTGACCAAACAGATTATTTATTATTTGATTTTTTGTTTAGTTTCGAAGAGTAATTATATAAAGAATTTGAGATATTTGGATCCAAGTCTTTAAAGAATATTATTGAATAATAATTAAAATTTTCCATTTTACTGATTATTCAAATGAAATTTTCAAAGGACTTCTACGAGGTTTGTAATCTATAGAATTAGCAAGAATTTGTGTTTTTTATAAATTCCTTAATTTATTAAAACAATATTTAAATATCGGAAGATTACTAAACTCACAAGACAACTGCAAGCAACATTTAAGAAATAATCCTATGAAAATAACATATATTATTTTTATAATGAAAAAATATCATTCTATTTTAATTTAAGAAATAGACATATAAAATTACTTTAAAGAACGATGAAATAGGAATTCTTATAATAAATTAATAGCTGAATTCATAATTAGATTTTCGTTCAATTCTAGTTATCGGCTGATTAGCTTAAGGCAGCAAAAATTAATATTAATCATCCTTAACCAGATTAATAAGCAAGATTAAAACAACTAATTTTCATAGATTATAGCCAGAAGAATTTATGAATTTAATTTTATATTATTGTAAAAGTATGAATTAAGTGAATGCATTAATTCGATTTAAAAATCAATATATATACGAATATCCCAGAAATTTAGGGAGTATTCAAACTGAAAAAAAGAATACTTAAATAAATTGCCGAAAAGAGGACGGATCGATTTTTGAGAATCGAACTATATCTAAAAGGTAATTTTTATTCATGAATCATTTTTTCTTTTTGAAATCTTCATTTGTAAATAAGTTTTTCAATGGTGATAAATTGTTTGATAAATTATGTACCTAAGAAATAGTTAAGAATAGAAAAAAAGCTGAAAGAAGGTTTAAGTTAAATGAAAATTTTTAGAGAAGAACAAAACTTTTTGAAGATAGAAATATAGTAAAGTTCACTTTAAATATAGATTTGATAAAAAAGAAAGTAAATCTTAAAAATTTTAAAATATGCTTAAAAACTAATAAAAGCTTGATAAACCAATACTTCTGAAGGGTATAATGAATTTTTGCCAAATTTTTAATATCATAGATTGCAAGGATTGTATAGAAATGGTTTAAGAATCAGCAGAATTAATGTTGAATTATAAAGAATATAACNCCAAATCAGGCCGCCCTCGCTTCGCTCGTGGCTAAACTTCGTGCTCGTCAGAATACGAATTTTTTATTGTTATAGCTTGAAAATATTCTAATTTAGAATCTAAATTTATAATTTTTGTAAGTTTATAAAATAAACAATATTTATATTTATTGAATTGAATTGATATTTTTTCAAACAGGTTTTTATTGAAATATGGTTTGACCAAACAGATTATTTATTATTTGATTTTTTGTTTAGTTTCGAAGAGTAATTATATAAAGAATTTGAGATATTTGGATCCAAGTCTTTAAAGAATATTATTGAATAATAATTAAAATTTTCCATTTTACTGATTATTCAAATGAAATTTTCAAAGGACTTCTACGAGGTTTGTAATCTATAGAATTAGCAAGAATTTGTGTTTTTTATAAATTCCTTAATTTATTAAAACAATATTTAAATATCGGAAGATTACTAAACTCACAAGACAACTGCAAGCAACATTTAAGAAATAATCCTATGAAAATAACATATATTATTTTTATAATGAAAAAATATCATTCTATTTTAATTTAAGAAATAGACATATAAAATTACTTTAAAGAACGATGAAATAGGAATTCTTATAATAAATTAATAGCTGAATTCATAATTAGATTTTCGTTCAATTCTAGTTATCGGCTGATTAGCTTAAGGCAGCAAAAATTAATATTAATCATCCTTAACCAGATTAATAAGCAAGATTAAAACAACTAATTTTCATAGATTATAGCCAGAAGAATTTATGAATTTAATTTTATATTATTGTAAAAGTATGAATTAAGTGAATGCATTAATTCGATTTAAAAATCAATATATATACGAATATCCCAGAAATTTAGGGAGTATTCAAACTGAAAAAAAGAATACTTAAATAAATTGCCGAAAAGAGGACGGATCGATTTTTGAGAATCGAACTATATCTAAAAGGTAATTTTTATTCATGAATCATTTTTTCTTTTTGAAATCTTCATTTGTAAATAAGTTTTTCAATGGTGATAAATTGTTTGATAAATTATGTACCTAAGAAATAGTTAAGAATAGAAAAAAAGCTGAAAGAAGGTTTAAGTTAAATGAAAATTTTTAGAGAAGAACAAAACTTTTTGAAGATAGAAATATAGTAAAGTTCACTTTAAATATAGATTTGATAAAAAAGAAAGTAAATCTTAAAAATTTTAAAATATGCTTAAAAACTAATAAAAGCTTGATAAACCAATACTTCTGAAGGGTATAATGAATTTTTGCCAAATTTTTAATATCATAGATTGCAAGGATTGTATAGAAATGGTTTAAGAATCAGCAGAATTAATGTTGAATTATAAAGAATATAACTATGATTATTAATAAAAATTAAATATAAAGGTTTATTTTTGTCTGTAAAAAGGCAATATTGTATAATCTTTTTGTAAACTCTGATCTGCTAGTTATTTTTATATTTATAATATATTTATACAAATATAAGTGTTAAGGTCAGTAACGTTGATAAATAAATAAAGGAAATTTAAGTACATAGCACAAACAATAACAAATTTTAAATTCTGTCTATGATATGATATATTTATTTATATTGAATCAAAAAATATGCCTATTTAATATATTCAATATAAAAATATATCCTATTAATTTTCCATTAAAATTTTGTTAAATCACTTTGATCTAAATTATTTAGATGGAAAGAAAGTAAGAAAATAGGATGTTTAAATTAGATAAAATGAATAAGATATTTCTCCAATATATCATGAAAAGAAGAGTTTATAAATGGGAAATATATTTAATTTCGTTTTCCAAAAAATTGATTTTGAATTAACACTTATATTTAAATAGATTGATTTTCCAAATCAAATCCTTTAATTATTCAGAGCAACCGACCCCATTTAGCATATAAATTATATTTTGTTATTTTCTGAAATAACTATACAATTAATATGATCTAATTATAATTGAATTAATCCTGTTACTTAATTGAATATAAAATCCTTGAATATCAAAAATATAAACTACAATAATTATTATTCAATTCATTTAAATATCTTAATTTCTTCAAAGTGAGTATATAGGGCTTTTCACTCATGTTTTGCTATGAATAATCATCATTCGAACAAAATTGTATGTTTTCAACTTAATTTAATTTTAATTTCAACATTAGGAATTTTAATAATGCTTTAGACGATAATTTTATAAATTCAAAAGATACCACCCAATTTACCTTTTTTTTTATTATTTTTTATTATATGCTTACCAGTTAATGATTGCCTGTAATAACCTAAAAAAATAAGGGTATTGATTGCATAAGAATTTTGTGACTGCTGTACTAAAATAATATTATTGTATTTTATTAATCCTTGCAAGATTAATTCTGAATCTATAATTCGAATTTAGTGATATCTTTGAATTTTATCTCGATTTTAATTTTTACTTTTATTTTTTTTAAGTTTATTTTAAAAAACGATTTTAAATTTTATAGATAATTGTAATATCTATTTTGGAATACAATGTTCTTAAAAAAATATGATTGAAGAATTTCATTTTTGTTGATAAAGTTGTTTTAATGATAATATATATAAAGNAACTATGATTATTAATAAAAATTAAATATAAAGGTTTATTTTTGTCTGTAAAAAGGCAATATTGTATAATCTTTTTGTAAACTCTGATCTGCTAGTTATTTTTATATTTATAATATATTTATACAAATATAAGTGTTAAGGTCAGTAACGTTGATAAATAAATAAAGGAAATTTAAGTACATAGCACAAACAATAACAAATTTTAAATTCTGTCTATGATATGATATATTTATTTATATTGAATCAAAAAATATGCCTATTTAATATATTCAATATAAAAATATATCCTATTAATTTTCCATTAAAATTTTGTTAAATCACTTTGATCTAAATTATTTAGATGGAAAGAAAGTAAGAAAATAGGATGTTTAAATTAGATAAAATGAATAAGATATTTCTCCAATATATCATGAAAAGAAGAGTTTATAAATGGGAAATATATTTAATTTCGTTTTCCAAAAAATTGATTTTGAATTAACACTTATATTTAAATAGATTGATTTTCCAAATCAAATCCTTTAATTATTCAGAGCAACCGACCCCATTTAGCATATAAATTATATTTTGTTATTTTCTGAAATAACTATACAATTAATATGATCTAATTATAATTGAATTAATCCTGTTACTTAATTGAATATAAAATCCTTGAATATCAAAAATATAAACTACAATAATTATTATTCAATTCATTTAAATATCTTAATTTCTTCAAAGTGAGTATATAGGGCTTTTCACTCATGTTTTGCTATGAATAATCATCATTCGAACAAAATTGTATGTTTTCAACTTAATTTAATTTTAATTTCAACATTAGGAATTTTAATAATGCTTTAGACGATAATTTTATAAATTCAAAAGATACCACCCAATTTACCTTTTTTTTTATTATTTTTTATTATATGCTTACCAGTTAATGATTGCCTGTAATAACCTAAAAAAATAAGGGTATTGATTGCATAAGAATTTTGTGACTGCTGTACTAAAATAATATTATTGTATTTTATTAATCCTTGCAAGATTAATTCTGAATCTATAATTCGAATTTAGTGATATCTTTGAATTTTATCTCGATTTTAATTTTTACTTTTATTTTTTTTAAGTTTATTTTAAAAAACGATTTTAAATTTTATAGATAATTGTAATATCTATTTTGGAATACAATGTTCTTAAAAAAATATGATTGAAGAATTTCATTTTTGTTGATAAAGTTGTTTTAATGATAATATATATAAAGATAACATATTCATAGCTCTTTTTAATATTTGGGAAACTAAAATATAATTGACAAGAATAAATTACATTAAAATCATCTAAACATGTCTGATTTGAACTATATGTTTATAAATTTCCTCCCTTAAATCGATTATCTTTCATTTAAACTCTAATCCCTTTCAAAATATTTATGGATTTTATTTTAAAAGGAACAAATTTAGCAAAAAGAGTCTAATTTCCAGCACATATTCTCCATAGATCTCCCTAAAAGTTGCACTCACTATAGAAATCAACACAAGGATTCAAAATTTATAATTTTATATCTCTAAATCCCCAAGATTCTACAAATAAATTATTAATTACCTTCATCATGTGCTTACAAATTATCCTCTAATAGTAATTGAAAACTATTTTTTCCAATTGGTGATGAAAATGAAAATGATTTCTTCTCAAATATTTCTGGGAAATAAGACAATCGGCAGACTTATTCTCCTTGATAAGGACCATAAGAAATTTAGCCAAGAAGTAAATTATCTCTGTAAACAGAAACAAATTCCCAATCCCAAGAATCAAATTTAGCAATAGTAAATGAAAATATTAGTTTTCTATCTGGCAAACAAGAAAATGTTTTTGATACCTATTATCCTCCTGTATAATCCCCAATATAAAGTGTTCCTGCACAATCAAATACACGATTTCCATTAGTCCATCCATTGCTGATGCAATCAGCTCCAGGGTGTTATTTACAACCCTCATATAGCAAAATAGGGTGCATAAATAAAATTTTAATAAAGGAAACCCCTACCATTTAAAATAAATTAATTATAAAATATCGCAATGGTTTTATAGTCAAATAGAAAAAAATGATACAGGACAAATTTTGGACTGTTTATAAAACTGTGAATAATTTTGATATTATTTAAGTTTTCCCTTAAAGACTTATCATTTCATCAATATATATTCTAATTTATTCAAGCTCTTTATATTATTTTTCTCTGTAAAATTTGATATTAATTTTATAAAAAGCTAATATATAAAATTGATTTGTTATGAACTGAATATCTCATCACCTGGAAGAAATATACTTAGTAGTGCAGCATATAATTTATTTTTATCCCATAGCACTGCGTTCTATAACTTGAAGTCTAGCTTCTTAACTTTATACAAGAAAAAGATAATAAATATAAATAAAATTTAGGATAGAGGTTTTTTGGTTTGATGATGTTGCAAAATTAATAATTTCGTTAGCATTTTATAAATTTCTCTATAATATCAGAATTAAAAAAACTGAAAATGGTAGATATTTTTATATTTAATTTCTTAAAATGGGTGTATTAATTTTTATAAATTTTCATTATAGAATTAATTCTTTTATTGTTAACTTATAAAATGACTTAATTATCCTTAAATGATATCAAATTTAATATAAAATTAATACAGTGAAATTTCAAAATTATGACTGATTTCTTTCTCACTATTTTAATGATTTAAAGCAGATTTTTAAATATACAAAATAATGATGATTAAGACTTTTATCAAAAAACAAGTTATTATTATGATTTGATAATTTTTTAAATAATTTGTTTTATTAATTTTTATTATGACACTTTTTGTATAAAGGTTTGTAGTTATAAGATTTATAAACCATCCTGAAAGTTAAAGATAAATACAAGAAAATAGTAGATAAAAAAAAACAATAAAATTAAATCACTTAAAAAAATAAAAAAAATCTTTTTATGTAGGAATAATTTTTTAAAAAGCACTTTAAAAAAATTTCGATACAATTTTGTAATTATTTACCTATAAAAAATTCATTTTCTTAAATTCATACATATATATCATTAATTTCTTTTGTCTATTGCCTACAATCTCAGACGCTCATTAGGTTTAAAATAATTTTAAATTACAATTTTGTTTACTTCATTTACCCAAAATATTTTTGGTACTTTATTTTTTTTTCTTAAATCATCTACAATTTATTTTTCCTTTTCTATTTTGGCTTAATCTATAAATTGATTAATTTTCCTCATACATTCTTGATATTATTAAAACAGACACTCTAATACTGACTTTTGGTCTTTATTGGAACTTTAATCCTTTTATAAAATTTGAATCGAAAATTGATATAAAAAAAAATCTTGATGTGTAATCTTTTCTAAATTAGTGTAATTTAATTATTAAGTGTATATCTTTGAGTATTTAATTTCAATGATTATGCATTACATAGAAATTACAAGTTAAGGATTACAACACCAATATATGAAAATTGAATAATTCGATTTGATAATCTAATAATATGTTGTTTGAAAAATGATACAAGCTCATAAAAAATAAAACTATTATATTGGACCAAATACAAATGACTAAAAAGAAAATAATACATAATTAAGAATATTATTAAGTATAAAATAGATTTAATAAATCAATGCAAAGATCTTTTTCATTAAATAAAAACATTCTTAAAATATATAGTAAGTATATTAAGAAATTAGGGGAAATCTGAATAGTTTGTAAATAAGTGAGATATGTAAAAATCAAAAACAAAATTAATTTGATTGCAAAGACTAAGTTAAGATATAGAACTATACTTCATGTTACCAAAATTTATCAAGAAAAGTTTGAAATTAATGCTCGAAAAGTGAAATAATTTTTATGATCGAATTACAGTATTTATTGCATTAATTTTTCTGTATTTTTTACTATTTTTAGGTTCTAGTTGGCGTATTTTTTAATGATCTATAAAGAAGCAATAAATATTTTACATTATTTTTAATTTAATTTGAATTTAACTATGAAAAATTTTGAAAGAACATTACCAAATTAACTTGGTCAACAAATTTATAATAAAGCTGATTAATTCGATACAGGAATTGGAAAACTTGAGAGAGCTTACTCTTTTAATTAAGCTTTGGAAAATTATCCCAACCATGATTAAAGCAATGATAATATAAGGGAAACAAATCCAAAAATATTTGGGAACTCTTAAGAAATTAGTCGAATAGATGGTGATCATGGAAGTTTTTAGGATTTATGTGATAATGTCACAGACCCTTTATCAAGTATCAAGAGATAAACTTTATTTGATAATGAAAGTGTTCAAGAATCGAATTATAAAGTTTAAAATAAAATAAAATCTGTAGTGAGCCATTTTCAAATTCATTAATTTGATTCATCCGAATAAATGAAGGGTATCATGACAATTCTATAAACTTTAAGCATCTTCAGTTTTTCATAAAGTTTATAATATTCCTCAATATAATTTGTTTATGGAAAAAATAAAAATTTAAGGTTTTTTGAATAAAACATTTAAATTTCATTGGAATCTTAAAAGCACTTCATCAATCAAATTTATTCAAACCAATAAAAGTTAATTAAAAATAATGACACAGCAGAGTTTAAATCATTTTTTTCTTTTAGTAAAAATGTTGGTATAATTTCAAAAAGCAAATCATTTTATTTTAAAGAAATAAACGAACAAAGATCACATTATGTATATTTTATTATAAACAGGTGTATGACATCAAATTATAAACGCTTTAGCTTAAACAAATCGAGCCTTAACTATCAGAAATCCCTCTAATTGATCCAATTGTAGATAAATAAAAAAAAAGATTATTAGAAGAATAAAAATAAAAGGAGGTGAAAATAAATTCTCTCTAAGATAACCAAAAATAAATTGAATAAAAATTCAACTTAGACTTTACAAAATTATTCCAGCAAGTAGATGAGAGCATAATTCAACCATAATACAACAATTTGCAGAAACCTTTTAATATTCAAAATTAAAATTTTTTGACAAATCCAAATATTTTTAATAACTTTACAAATTCTAACCCATTTTCGAATATCCTTAATAATAACCAATAAGGTTTTGTTTAAACAAATTTCAATACTATGAGTAATACTTTGCCTTTAACAAAAAATTCACTCGATTCAAATAAAAGCAAATCATATAACACAAGAAGTGGACGAAGCTGAATAATTAATGAGAATTTGATTAATTATTTTATTATGAAGATTATAATGTTATTCTTTATAAATATATAATAAGTAAAAAAAAAGATTAAAGGAGAAAGAAAAATATAAACCTATTTTATCATTAAATGGAAAAATAATCAAAGATGTAAATTAGATTAGTATGAAAAATAAAGGGCAAAAAAAATAATGATTTTTCCAAGAATATGACCAAAAGTTAAAATTACATAACATCGATTTGTAAATTTTTAAAGGTTTAGTTGTAAATTAGAACATTTAAAGAAAACATAAACCATTAATTCATTATAATTTTAATTAACAGCAGTTATCTCTAAAAACATAAAAGATGATAATATGAAGGATAAAAATTTATGAAGTTATAATATCTAATATATCTCCTATATATAACATTATTTTTGAAAGACTAGCCATTCTTTTTTGTATGGTTAGGATTAGAAGAATTTTTCATTAGTATATAATTAATTCTCTTGCCATTTAATTCACCTGAAACAAATTTCTTTCGAAATAATATAAAATTTTCCTTCATTATAATAATAATTATATGAAATAGGCTTCTAGATTTGATATAATCAAGAATGAATTAATTTCAAAAAAAAAATGGAAGGAAGATCAAGAAATTAGTTAATGTGGAATGTGTGATAATAAATTTAATGCCTTATTTAGACGTAAACACCATTGCAGAAGATGTGGATATATTTTTTGTTAAGAGTAAATAGATTTAACCATCTAGTTGTTCAAACCACTTTTTTGATGGGCCTCCTAACGAAGGTGAGAAAAAAATTCGATTTTGCAGGCGTTGTTACGATAAAATTAGCTAATTGATTGCTGAAAAAGGATTTTTTGTAGATAATGAAGAGTCTACTTTGAAGGCGACAATATAAAAAGAAGGAAATTCCCATTCGAGAAATACTTCAAAATAATTTGAAAGTGTAACCACATTTACTTCATCAAAAAGCATAATCGCGAAAGAAAATGAAGTTTAATAAATTTAGGAAGAGGATGACACACTCTTAGAAATAAATTAAGAGAAGGAAGATATATCCGAATTTTTTGAAGAATCTGATATTGCTAAAGATTAATTACCAATATTATAAGAAAAAAGTGGTTATTAATTAGAAAAAATGTGCGAATATATTTTACAGAATGTTCTTTAACCAAATAAAACTTATGAAAAAGTTATTGAATTTTGGAAGTAGAAAATGAAAGCCTTGATAACTCAGTGTGTTTAGGAAATTTAATTTCACTCTGTAAACACTAAACTTATGGATATTAATCATTTTATGAAGATAAAAATTATTAATCATCATGATGAACAATTAACCAGTTTTTTTCCTGGGGTAATTTTTCGTAAAAACGTTGCATTAAAATAAATGTAATATGAAATTAATAAACCAGCTATCATTATTATTATTGGAGATTTTGATATGGAAGGTTCATAAAATTAATTAGAAGATTATATCTAAAATGAAAAAAAAATTTTAGTTGATTCTATTAACTAAATTTATAAGAATTATGAACCAAACTTGATTTTAGTTGAAAAGGGAGCTAATAAAATTGCTTTGGATGAATGTTTGAAGAAGAAAATAACTGTTTTGACTAATGTTAAAAGGAAAGTTCTTTAAAGAGTTAAATTGTGTACAAATGCTAAATACATCAGTTTATCTATATTAAAACAATGCATTGAAAGAAAGGAATAAATAGTAGGTCGATGTGAAAAAGTCTTTTTTAAATAATTTCCTAAAGTTCTTTAAGAAAAAGCTGAAATTCAAAAGGATTCTACTTTATGTTTTTTGAAAACTTCAACTTGCTAAAAATTTGCTACAATAACAATAAGTGGGCCTTCAGAAGATTTATTATCAAAAGTAAAATAATGTTTTATCGGATGTGCTAGACTAGGCAAACATCAAGATCTTGAATCTCACTTCATAACTACTGAATGTTCAATGTTTAAGAACAATCAATTAAAAACTATTTCTAATTAAGGTAATTTTACAACATTTTTATTTGAAAAGCTTCCTTTAAAAGAATTATTCAATATAGAATTAAAATACATTAAAATCAATTATGTTATTGCTGATGTTAACAATTTTAATGATATAAAAGATTTTTCTAGTTTAGAGGAATATAAATCAAAACATCCTTCTTAAAGAGATAAATTAGAAGAGTTTTCAATGGCTCGTATGTGCAACAAGCCATAAGAGAAAAAATCTGTATATTATCATGGGGAGGATGTTTGTTTAGGCTAATTTATAATCTTGAAAATAGCTAATAAGGATACAAAATGTGAAATTTGTCATCTACCTAAAATAGCTCATGTTTCATTTTATTATTGTGGAGATAAATATATTAAAATAAGTGTTGATTAGAAAAATAGAAGTGGGAGAATTATATCGACTAATGAGCCTCCTTAATTATAAAATTAGGTCTCATAATAGTTTTCCCAATTGTCAAATGAGGATGAACCAAGAGATAATGTTTATACTGCAAAGGATATCACTAAAATTGTTTAGCAATCACATTCAAATTAGAAAGGAGAAAAAAAAAAGATAAGAATAGAAACTTATATTTAATGTAGCAAATGCGATCTAAGTTCGAATATTGTTAAATTGTCTAGTTTAAATTTAGATTTTTCCTTTTTTAGATTTATGTAAACTATATTGATGACTCAACAAAACACAAATGATAAACAAACAGGCCAAATAAATAATTGTAATCATTAATTGTAGAGAATATTTACTTATGATGAATCAATGGTGAAGATTTAAGTTGGAGAAGTTGAAGTATTTACTACAATAATATAAAATACTTTAAGTTAAGAATTACTTGATAGTTTAAAAAAGTGGGAAGATGATTATATATAAACCTAAAAAAAAGAACTTTATTAAAGATATCTGAATATCATTTTTTAATTGACATAATTCAAGAAAAATCTATCTAAAAATGTTGAAGTAGATGGAATTGAATAATATTAAGATGAAAAGTTTTGGTAATAGAAATTCTTCGGAATAAATTAAATATCTGATTTACAATAATTTACTTATACGTTGAGTATTTAATTGTAAGAAATAGGGGAATAAGTAAAAATGGAAATGAAAAAGTTTTTTAATAAAAATTCAATGATTAAAAGCTAAAAAGAGCTAGATCATCAATCTCCCATAAATAAAGGACACCTTTCCGGATAAGATTGCGATATCTTTCATTCTGAAAGTGTAGTTGCAGAAGATATAGAGCATTAAAGTGATTAATTCTGTGAAATAAAGTCCTCAACTGATTGTAAATCTAAGAAAAATTCTAACAACAAAATTCTTAATTTTCAACAATCTGTAAGAGAATTAGATGGCAATCATTCATTTATTGCAGATAAACAATAGAATCCTTTAAATAATTTATTAAAAGAGTGGCCTTTATGTGTATTTTAAGATGAACAGAATAAGGTAGCATTATGTGATAGAAAAATTATTCCTTTTGTAGCCATTTTTGAAAGTCAACCGTTATCATCCTTAGCATTTGCTTTAAATCATCCAAAATATCTCAAAGCAATTAACTATTATGAAAGTATGAGTATTAATTAAACTAGATTTTTAAAAGGTTGATTTGGAATAATAAAAAGTAATTCTGAGTAAACTTATGTTAATAAAATCTGGCTAATAATCAGGAAAATGGGAATAAGAGGATTAAAGTCTCCTAAGAGAATCTTTATCAACAACAACAGATACTAATTTGAATAATAATTAACAGTAATCTACACCTTAAAAAAAAGAAAAGAACTACATTACAATCACATTATAGTATGATAAAGTAAAGGGTTTGAAACCATCAATGAGTAGAGATTAATTTTTTGATGAGGAAAAAACAATATCTTCTTAATAATCAATAGCTAGTGGTTTGGGAAATTAATAATTTTCAGTAAAAAAGTCAAAAACTTAAGAAATATTAATATATTTTCCTATTTAATTTGAAGCTCTAAGAGCATCCTTTGGGATTACATTAAATTTGTTTATTAAATCTCTTAGTGTAACTGGATCATGGAATGCAAGCGGCGGTAAGTCATCATCTAAATTTTTCAAATCTGATAATGAATTATTTGTTGTGAAGAAATTTGATGATGAAAAGGAGTTTAGGATGTTTGAATAATTTGCTTTAGATTATTTTAGACAAATGCATAGACATTTTTATGAATCTTAAAAACCATCATTGCTCTGTAAAATATTTGGAATGTATGAGATAAGAGACAAAGGTAATCCTGAGTTTTATTTAATTATGGAAAACTTATATTATGGTATAGGCAATTAAAAAGATTTACTGGTTTATGATTTAAAAGGAAGCGAAACAAATAGATGGGAGAAGAAAGTAAATAAGGTGTTGTTAGATACTAATTTTATTATAGATAGAAATGCTGAACCGATTATTCTGTAAAATGATTGTTATATTTATAATGATAAAGCATTTTAGGTATTTTTATTTATTAAAGTGATAGAGTGATTGTAAATTTTTGTTAAGGAAATAAATTGTTGATTATTCACTTTTATTAATCATTAACAACAATCAAAAAAAAATAAAAATGGGCATTATTGATTATTTAAGATTTTACACTTGGGACAAAGAAACTGAGAGACTTTTGAAATTTGTGCTCAAAGGTGGAAAAGTATTAAAATGATAATTTTTATAAGGTCCCTACTATTATCAATCCTAATGATTATAAATAGAGGTTCTTAACTGCAATAGGAAGATATTTTATACATGTTTGAATAATTATTTTGTATATATATATATAGATGTAGATTTGAATAAGTATCAATAATACTATTTAAGTGGAGGCTTACCATATAAGATATCATCGAATTTATATTGTTATTATTGTTGATACTTATATCCCATATTTGGGGCAATAGGCAATGATTTTGGATAATTTTATCCAAGGATCTAATTTTTATTCTATTTAGGCATTTCCAGTTTAGGTTGAAAAGTAGGTTTAGCTATTGGCATTTATATGAGATTAAAATCATAAATATTTCTTTTCGTCGGTTCATAAGATCTTGATTATTAAATACTCAATTATTATTGATTTCTAAGTTACTCTCCAATAGGATCATTATGCCTTAAGAATTTCAATCCTGCCTAACCTTTTTTATTTCTAGAATCAATTCTAGGATCTAGATTATCAATTTAATTGAAATCCTTAGACATCAAGTAATCTTTATTTTGATTATTTTGGATTATAGGTAGATTAGATTCTCTATAATCTTTTTATGGTTGATACTCTTTATGTTCCTTCACGCTACTCTTATGTATTGAGGCTTCCTTTTTTGCTGGTCTCTCATAGTCAGCTATCTTTTATTCCAAAAGGTCTAGAAAGTTTGAATTAGATTCATTCATCTTATTTCTATTTTCCTTATTATTGACTTTAGGTAATTCAAATATGTCTTCTTGTTTTTCGTGTCTTTCTATTCTGTCAATTTTTGGAAATTCCTATTTATTCTCAATTTATTATATCATAGGAAAGCAATGATTTGTAAAATATGGATATTCCAAAATTTATTTAGCAGAAGGCCTTTTCTAAGGATCATACTTTAACATATCTCTGATAAGATCAATCGCTTCTGATGAAGCATTTGGTATGATTTTTTCTAACTAGACAGGACTATATGTTGGGAAAGTAATGTTAGCAGCATTTGCTAATTTTTATGATTCGGGCCACTTATAATATTCATGTTAATAAATACATCTCGAACATTTGGTGTACCTAATGTTTAACAAAGCTTAAAAAGCTGATCTAACTCTGAACTTCCATTAAATAAAGGTTTAAGGGTGTATAGTTCTGCCATTATACATCCTAATGCAAATATATCAACTGGTGAGTTATAATATTGAGATTTCAGTAGGATTTCTGGTGCTCTATACCATCTGAAATATTATAAATATTCATCACCTTGTAGCAACATAATCAGTATATGGAGGTTTTGATCTGATCTCTCTTGCTAATCCAAAATCACATATTTTAACTGTTTCCCCTGATACTAATAGATTTTCTGGTTTTAAATCTCTACAATACTTATATTAATTACCTATGAAAATATCCTACTTTATGCATATATGCCAAACCTTCAGTTACTTATTTTATTACAGACCTAATCTTATCTTCAGACAAATGTCTTCCATTATTTTGATTTTCTAAATATTGTTGATAAATATCCTTATCTAAAAATTCGAAAACTAAATTCAACTCATCCTTTTCTTTGAATACTTCAACTAATTTGATGATATTAGGATGTTTTAATTTTTATAATGCTTTTACTTCTCTAAGGTTTATACATTCATCCCAAGAAGTATATTTTTTTTTGAACTTTTTTATAGCAACAATCTATCCCGTGTTGATATTTGTTGCCTTGTAGACGCACCCATAAGTTCCATCTCCCAATCTTTTCACTATTTTATATTAATCCATTAATAAATAAAATCACAAAACTAAAACACAAAAAATTAGAAAAGCTACGAAACCGAGGACATAAAACCGTATCATCTCTTATAATAGTAAATTCTTTTATACTTTATCTTTATTCATTGCTATATTTTCCTTTAACTAAATCCTTAAAGTTCGGTCTTCCCATAAAATTCATAAGTCCATGATTGATTATTACTGTCACTATTGTTTTTGTTTATACTAAGACAAAAGACAAGTACAATCCCAATACAAATGTTTTTAGAAATTCATAACGTGATAGTTACCCATATTTTAATTAATAAGACAATGCTTTTGCTAATTAGATAGTATTTCTTATTTACTTAAACTATATAACAATGTTGAATAAATGATGAACTAGATGTTATTTTAATATCTAACATTTATAGCATTATTCACAAGTTCTCTAAATATAATTTCATCAATTAATGGAGTCTTATAATGTTTAAAGAAATAATAGTACAATAACGATCTTTGTAAAGTAATCCCATCTAAATTTGTTGAACCTAATTTTACTAAATTTCTCCCTCAAATTCCCATTCTATATATAATGTGTTTTTTCTTACCCAAAATTCTTAATAAACTGGACCAATGTATAATAAAAGAGTCATATAAAAAGAAGTCAATATTCCCATACCTATTTTTTCAGTATCAAATTTTTTTAAACACTCAAAAATATTCAATTTTTCTGACTATGTGTAACTCAAGCATAAATTGTAATAATTTTGAACAAAGCATAATAAAGTTGGCAAACCCATTATAATAATTTTTATTTTCCTTCTCTAATATCGGAATGCTTTAGCCAATTATTTATCATTTGTCGATAATTCTTACTTATATTAATCTATTACTCTGTTTCTATATTCTATAGATATATTTGCTCATCACATACTATGTTGCATATAAGAGTGTATTTAATATCATTGATGATAACTAAATTAAATCCATAATAAATTTATTTAATGCACCACTCAATTATTACAATCCCTCAACATGGAAATGGACGTCTATACAAGACTTCTATCTGTAGGCATTATGAATATGGAAATTGTTCTATCGGTACCAAATGCTAGTTTGCTCATGGTGTAGATGAGTTAAGAAATCCAGATGGTAATTTATAGATTTATTCTAGATCCAATCCCAATTCATATACCTACTCTCGATAGCAATATAGTTATCACAAATTATAAAAGTAAATCCTGTTAATAATTCAAGCTGTGTTATGTAAATATGATTAATAAGGGTTTTGTAAAAATGGTACTGATTGTCCATATGCTCATGGGTAAAATGACAAAAAATAGGCTCGAATAGCTCCTTTGCATCTTAGAAAAGCATTGGATAATAAAGAAAACAATGATGATAAAGATGTTGAATTGTTTTTATCAGAATTAATTACTCGACTCATTAATGATGTATCATATCAATCTGACGAGGTTATATATAAGTTATTCTTAGTCAGCTTTAAGCTCATTCAGGAAAATTTAATCATTAATTGAGGAAAAAAATCATAGATCTGCAACAGAAGCACTTTGCCTAGTGCTCTCTTCTAATCAAAGATCAAAATAATAATAAATGGCTTACGAATAAATTTATAATAGCTTGGTTTAATGAATTTGAAAAATATGAACAATTTTGTATAAATAAAAATACTTTATAATCTTGTACTTAAATGCTACAATTACTAATATATTTTTAATATAATTAAAGTCCATCAAGTAGATATAATATGTCAACTATAATATCTTAAAGTTTTTGTTATTTAAAATTTATGATATATAATAATGAATATAATTTAATAATAATCATAATCTAATTTGATTAACAGTGGAATGAAATTGTAGTAAAGTATAAAAACAATTAATACAAAGTAAAAAAATGTTAAAATATAAATTTCAATCATATTTGGCCATATCAAGCAAATTTGAAATTACTATATTAACGAACTTTTTAAGTTTCTTCAAATTTTTATTTCCAAAATTCTTTTTCATTTATTAATGTTCTTATTTTCTCCTCCAATACAGCTAAACCCTAATTCTCTAATTATTAATATTTTTCTTAAAGCCTTCTTATCTCTTCTTCTTTATTACTCAAAGCAATTCTTAGTTTATCGATTTCAATTTCCAAATTTAAATTATTATTAGTCCTATCGCTTGGCTAATTTTATTAAAACATATATTTGGGTTGAACTGGTGTAGTGTAATTAATAATTGGGTATTTTTATGAATTCAATTTTTCTAACTCTGATAGTAATATATCTTTAGAATTTTAAAGATCTATAAATTTTTATTTATAGGTGTCAATGAAGTTTTATCTATCTTATAATTATTCTGTTAATTAATGAATTTTTTCATATAATTTATCATTTTCTTATTGGATTTTGATAATTTTATTTTTTAACATTTCGATTTCATTTATAAATGGAGTTTCAATTTCTTCTCTTGTAATTACTTAGATAAATATAGGTTAAACAGGATGATTACATTGTTAAACTTACTAGTAATAATAATGTTAATATCTACATATATTTATTATGGATGAATGAAACTTTTTTAAGAGTATCTGATATCTGCTGTTGTGTCTTTTCTGTTAGTAAAACTGTTATCATCTATTTTGAGATCTCTAGGAGTTTTATTTTATTCTTCAGACATCAAATTTTCAAATAATTAAAATATGAATTATAAGTAACATATCATTATTTTTTTTCTTGTTTTTTTTATTTTTTTTTAATCAAATTTTTTCTACACTTTTCTATAACTTCTAACCACTTATCAATTGGATGTTCAACCTCTTTTATTGAATATTTTTTATTCTAATCCTTAATTTCCATGTAGCCTTTGCTTGGACTATAAACTTAAACTCCTTCCACTAAACGAATCTTCAATTAACACTTTTCAGTTTCTGGATCAAATAATGCCAACTTCATATATTCTTTACCTTCAATTAAAACTAAATCTAATGGTCTATAAATAAACCACCCAATTTTAAATTATACTACTCCATAAAATTTGAGCTTTGACTTTCTTTTCCCTCCCAATTATAAATCTGGATCAATGGATTTTTCAACAGATTTAACAGATACAACCTTTGGTTATGGAGCTTACATTTGAAATAATTTATCCCATTCAATTCCTTTAAAGAAAGGATGAGATTTAAGATCAGCCATCGATTAACTTCCTAATCTTTCTTAAGGATTTCTAACTAAAATTTTTTATATTAAATTAGCAGCCACTTTAGGTACATTTTCAGGTATTTTTACTTAAGCATTTTTCACATTTTAAAATACTAAGTATTATGTACTATCAATAAATGGTGTAACTCCTGTAAACATTTTATAACATATGATCCCCAAAGCCCATAAATCTACAGCATATTCACAAGGTTCTTCTTCTAGCATTTCTGGTGAAACATATTCAGCTGTTCCAACAAAAGAAGCTCTATTAATGAAAGATCCTTCTTATATCTAAAAAGAAGATTTAATTTATTTGTATTTCTACAAAAATTCAACAGGTACTTTATTTTCATGAACAACCATAGAAGTACCAAAGTCAATCAATTTTAAATGACCATTCTTTGATAACATTAAATTTTCTGGTTTCAAATCTCTATGAGCTACTCCTTTAGAATGAATATACTCTAAGATTACAACTATTTATGCTAGATAAAATTATAAGGTCTAAAAGCTTAAATCTTAAAAGAATTAAGTTGAATCTTTACCTTTATGTAATTTTAAAAAGTCAGCAAAATCACCTCCTTCTAAATATTCCATAACAAAATATAATTTTTCAGGTTTTTAAAAAGTAGAATACAATTACACAACCCCTGGATGTTTCAAATATAAAAGCATTTCCCTTTCAATATAAACTTAGTATTATTTTTATTCCTAAAAAATTGTGCATTATGAATACTCTTGTTAAGAATTTTTTATCAATCACTTTTATTGCTACCTATTAATTATCTGTTTTTTTTTATGCCAAAATGACCTCCCCGTATGCTCCTCTTCCTAAAGAACCTATAGATATATAATCCTATATATTAGGTTTAATTGATTTCGATGGAGATTTAGAATCACTAACTTTAGTATCCATTAAATATTATATTTAATGCAATAAAAGGAAAAAAAATTTGAACCCATCAAAATGCCAATTAAGGCAAAGGGATTAGCAGATGCTTAAGTTTAGAAATAGATTACAACTGAAAAGCATCCCTAAAAGAAAATTTAAAAAGTATATAATTATTCTAGATTAGCAATAATAAAATCCTTAATCAGAAGAAAGAATAGAATTTTAAGGAAAAATTAACAAAGAATCTATTGCTGCTGAAATATTATGTAATTATTCTTAGTTAAGTTTTAAGAAAATGGTTATGTATAATCATATGCTGATTTTTTTTATGTGACTAATGAAACCGTCCCAAAATTATTTTATTAGCCTTCTGGAATTTCATTAGAGGAGCATTTTTCAAATCATAGAAGTATTTTTTGCATAGTATTTATTAGTTCATCAGAAATATATTAATTAAGATGAAGAATTCTTATTAGATTTAAAAAAGAGATTATAGAACGCTGAAGAGAATTCTAAATACTAATACCCAGACAAAACTTAGGCATTAAATGAATATTTAAATTTGGCTGAATTCTTTTTTACTGAATACCAAGATTACATTGTGGCAGCCTATTTTTATAAAAGAGTAATTTAAATATCTAGATAATACACGGTAAAAATTGTTTGTATAATAGGAAGCTAAAGCTGAAGGAAAAGGTAAATTAGGATATGCCAAATGTCATTACCAAGTTGGTTTGATAGATTAGGCAATATAAATTTTAGAGGAAAGCATGAAACAATGTGAATAATTATAGAACTTGGATTCAGTTGTTGAATAAATGTCAACAGAATTGATTAAAATCTACAACAGAATGGCTTAGGAATATGAAAAGGGAGATAATGATTAAATTGCATAATCATTAAAATATTATGATAAATGCAGAGAAGCAGCCTAAAAAGCAGGAGATTTAGAATCAGAAGGAGTTATATGCAACAAAATTGGTGGATTATATTTTAAAATGTAGAATATCTAAAAGAGTATATAATATCATCACAAATTCTTGGAAATTGTCAAATAGTTACACAAAGAAGTATATTTAGTAATCATTTTATAAGGATTCAAAATAAAAGGAAATGGAAGCACATTCATCTCTAGCTTAATGTTATTTAAAGAAGGGAGATGTAGATGAAGCTTAAAAGCATTTAGAAAGTTACTATGCTTTAGCTAAAGATTAAAAGTTATATAACTCATAATCTGATGCTGCATTGCATTTGGCTAAATTATATTAAAGCAAAGGAAATACAGCTAAATCATTAGAATATTTTTAATAACATTTTGATTGTGCTAAATCAGAAAAACCTGAATAAAAAAGCAGAAAATTGATTGATAGAGCTAGAGTTACATATGGTATAGCGAAGGCAAATGCATTTATGGGTATCAGATTAATAATAATAATTAGATAATTATATTAAGCTAGTAGCAAATAGTGATAAAAATTTAAAAGCCTTACTAGATTGGAAATCAAAAAGGGACAAATGAGAATGATAAAAACAAAATATTAACTTTAATAATTTTATTTATGTTAGCCCTCTTTTAAATAATTTTAAGTCTGTTTTTGAATCTTAATAGAATGATTTCACTTAAAAAGAGTAATGATAGGGAGAGTTCTTTAGAAGAGTAAAAAAATAGACATTAAAATAGTGTAATATTGTTAATATCAATTAAATAATAATCATCGTTTTTGGATTGGCAATTTTTTCAATATTTTTTTCGGCTATCTTGTAGGGAAGAATTTATTTGCAAAATATATAAACGTAAGAGCTAAAACTATATATGGCAAATATTAGAAGAGGGTTCCAAAAATGAGATCTGCTGCTTCCCTAAATCCTTCGTTAATTTACAAATCATCATTATTTGGATCTAAATCTATAAGATTGCTTTATCCTCTAATGGAATAATTGATCCCATAAACTATATTAAGTAAGGTAATCAAGAGGAAACTTGGCCTCATAAATTCTTATTATTTATTTTTATTAATCAATTATAACACATAATTATATCTTCACAACCTTTTTCGGCACTTTAACCTGCTTTTTATAAGTATCTTTAATGCATTTCTTCAGCTTTCCAGTAATTTTTGACTTTTGCTACTTAAGTATGAATGGTTTCATCATTATTAAACTATTTAACTTCTTCCAAAACCTTTTGGATTACTTATACATCCTCATCATCATAATAAAAGATGCATGAACGATATTGAGTTCCTACATCTAATCCTTATCTATTTAATTGAGTTGGATCATGTTAATTGAAAAATGAATATAACAAGTCTTCCAATTTAATAACTGATTGATCATAATGTACCAATACTACTTCAGCATGATTTGTTTATCCTGTACATATTAATTTATAACATGGATGATCTATAATACCCCCACTATAACCAACTTCGGTATGGATTACACCTATTAATCTTTACATATTCAATTCATGCTTCCAAAAACAACCACCTCCAATAAGAATTTTTTTAGTTTATTCCATAATTAATAAAATGAAAACAATAGACTTTAAAAATTCGATTGTATAGCAGAACAATTTACATTAAAATTATGAGTTATTGAATTAATTGGAAGCAAGGAAACTTAAATAGATAATACCATCAAAAAAGGATTTTGAATACAACTATTAAACTGAAGTTGTAAAAAAATAATAAGGTTATGTGATTAATGAATTAAGAGCTCAATTAGATGCTAAATTAGTTAATATTATTCATCTATAACTATGCACATTTCATTATTTTGAAGTCCCATTGGCTGGCCATAAGAAACCTTTGATCATTAGTAAAAAATTGCATTAGCATCTTAGATTTTACTTTTACAAATTAAGCTAAAATGAAATTTTACATATCAAGACACACTTTGACACCCAATAGATTCAATTTTGAAGAAGCATTTTAGAGAAAATAAGTTTTAAGATATACTGAGCCAGGAGAAGATAATATATTTACTACTCCATTTTTGTATATGGCTATATTTAGTTAACAATAATCAATAATTCATGCAAAGATTTAATATGGAATGAAAATACAAAAGTTATAAAAGCAAGATTAAGAGGAAAAAGAGAGACCCATGACTGCATTTATGTCTGGTAGGATAGGTAGTGCTTTATCAAGGAGATAATCAAAAGATTTAATACTTATGAATATGAATTTAAGATAATATGAACCGGATAATTAAAAAAAATAGTTATTGATTAGAAGAGTCTAATCAGCAAAACGATTTTAAGAAACATTAGTGAATAAATAGATCATTGATTAAGATAAGCAAGATCTAATTAGAGAGCGATATGAACATTCTTAGAAAAAAAAGATTATTAAAGATATATTAAATGTTAGAGATTAAATAGATTAATAAATTAAAGAACAATAAAAAAATTGGCTTACCAATCTATTTTCTATACTTATTTGCAGACTAATTCGAGTTAAATATATAGTAAATATTTTTATCATCATTTTAGGGAATGGCAAATCATTTAATGAATCAAGCTACTATAATCAGAAAAAAACATAGAACAAGATTAAATTTAAAGAAATATCTTACTAAACATGGAGAAACTATTTAATTAAGAACCAAATTTCAAACATTATAAAGTCTTTGTGTTTTTGCATAAATCTATTAAAAAACAGTAAAAAGAAGAGCTGAATTTATCTGTTTTTCATTTATGAAAAGTTATGGATAGATTGGTGAAATCATTCAAAAAACTTATAGATTTAGAAGATTGATAAGAACTGTTATAGAATCCTATAGAAATTACAAAAAAAGAGTGGGAGCATATGTTTAAAGAATAATTATGTTATGGAATAAATATTGGGGAGTCATGTACAATTAGATATAAAAAGAAGATATTGAAAGTATAATATCATTATTAAAATTGTATAGAGGTGAAAGAAATTAAAAAGTAAATGAATAAAACAATTATAAACTTTTAAGTGGATGAAGAAGTTAAGAAATCACCATATTTAGATGGGTAAATATTTATTAATAAATAAAAGAAAAGTATAATTAATAATTGTCCAGAATTATTATAAATAATTAAAAGCAGACTTCATAACTAAGTTTAGATCAGTTTATAAAAAAGGAAAGTCTGGGGCACGTGGAGCATATATTGCTGCTTAAGGTTTTGAAGTGAAGGACTTAAATTTGTTTAAATGTGTTGACAAAACCATTTTGAAAGAATTAATCTATAAATATATGCTTGAAAAAAGAATGATACAAAGTGTATTACTAAAAAAATGAGAATAGAAATAATCAAAATTTATAATATAATAAAATTATTTATATTAATGAAACAACGATTAAATAAGTCATCTATTTTAGAAGAATTAGAAAATAATAGAAAAAATTAATCATTAGAAGAAGACAAGAAAATTAATTTAATAAAAGAAAGAATAAGAAGAGAAAAAATTGCATTATAAAATAAAGACAATTAATTAAAATAAATTTAAGAACAACTTCATCGATAGATGTTATCATCAAAAAAGAACCTCTTTTAACCTATCAATTTTAGCTCAATCTTGTTACATTAATAACAATATGATAGTAATAAGATTGTAAAAGAAATAGAAAGATAAAGTAAAAAAAAGTCTGTACCATTATTGGGGTTTAAGAAATCTGATACTTATATTAAATTACTTCATGATCAACAAGAGGAGCATTTAAAATAAATTACTAAAAGATAACAAATAAAATCCAGAAAATATGCTTAATAAAAATATTCAGAAATTGTAAAAGAGATTTATTCAAGACCAGTTTCTAAAACATTTCACGAAGATCCTTCAGTTGCTTATTTATCCATCTAAAAATCAAAACCTATTTCTTTACATGAATAATCTAACAAAACAAGCTCTGAAGGTAGTCAATTATTATCTATTGATAAATATTTGATAACTAAACTAGAAAAAATATTATAAACAGAAGAAAAGCCTGAAGAAAATAATAAGAAATAAATAAAGTTAAAATTAAGGGATTAATAAATTTAGAAATTGTCACCTATTCCATAAACTAAAAGTAAAAAAAAAGAATAAGCTAAGGGTATTTACATTCATAAAAAGGTTCAAGAAGTACAACCAAGTGAGTGGGTAATTTTATTACAATATTTAGAGAAACATAGTTGATGATAGCCTTTTGTCTTCTTAAGATAAGGTATAAAAGACTTTAGATATAATTAAACATTTAAATAGTTAAGCTTAAAAGATAGAGGAGGAAATAAATGTAAAAATAAATGTTGAAAAAGAATAGAAATTGAATGACTTACTTATTAATCAGATATAAGCAAGATTGGCATTATTAGATAATTTTAATTGATAACTATACTTATCTCTTATATTTAAATATATCTTGTATGTAATATTTGTATATATATTGTAATTGATACATAATTCAAAAATTAAGTAATTTTAAATTTTAAAATGATTTGTTTTTAAGATTGTGTATTTTTATCATTTTCACTTCTTCTTTTTTTAGGTTCCTAATCTTTTTATCCACTCTTGTGGAAGATTTAATGATTTTTTTTTCGATTCATCAATGTCAGATGTATATGATCTAATTTTATCTTCAAAAATGCGAATTTCCTCATTCACTTAAGAATGAGCTTTCGATTATTTTTGAGATGTTTTAGAATCTGAATTTTCTTAAGTTTTTTCAATAGTTGGTTTAGGTTGTGGTTGTTTTGCTTTCTGTTTTTATTTTTTCTATTTTTTTAATTCATGTTAACAGATGCATTGATTAATAATAGGCTATTGAGAACTCATAATTCTAAAATTATTATCATTATCAATTGACATTTTAAAATGCTACAATTTATTTAATGTTATACACTTTAACTATTTGCATTGAACTCAAAAATCTATTTAAAAGAATTTTAATCAAGATTCTTATTAGTAAATTATTACATAAATCGAACAATTTAATTACTTTCTTCATTACTTTCATTAGTAGATTCAGGCAATCCTTGATATTTTGGGATAAAATTTTGTGAATTATTACCTATGAATAATTGATACAATTTGAATACAAGCTTAAATGTACAATTTATCATTTGAAAATTGTATAATCAAATCATTGTTACAAGAGCACTTCATTATTATATTAATTTTAATTATAAAATAGATTTAATAAAAAACCATATGGAAAATTATAATACTGATTAGACATAATACAATTAAAGTAAATATGAATGAGATTGGGAAAAGTTTAATCAAAATAAGATTAAGTCAATTTAATTTATTAATATTATATAATTAATTTTCTACTCAATTCAAATGGGTAATGGTTGCTCATGTCAATGCTAAGCAAAAGGGATGGATGAAGTTGAACTCAACACTAATCAAAAATAATAAAGCTAATCAAAACCCAATGCTAAAATGGATTCATGTCATAATTAGGAAGCTGATGTACAAGAAGGAAATAATAAATAAAAGAAAGAAAAAATAGGAGCACATTTAAAGGATGAAGATGTTGCTTAAATGGCAGGAGCAAGAAATAATTCAATAGAAGACAGTTCTTCTCCAAAACTAATGAAAAGAGAAAATGGTAAAATATTATAATTGGAATGTAGATGATAACAAACCAGAAGATTAATATATTTCATTAGTTTAATCTACTAAAGGAAAACTAACAAGAACTAAGTTAAGTGCAATTGAAATGAAAAATGGAGGAGTATATGAAGGTGAATGGAAAAATGGTTTGAGAGATGGTTAAGGGAAATACGTTTGGCCTGACAGAAGTTTTTATGAAGGAGAGTGGGTAGAAGACAAAGCTAATGGATTTGGTAAACTAGGTAGATTAAAATTATAAAATTAAAGTGCATGTGGATGGTGATATATATGAAGGTTAATGGTTGGATGATATGGCAAATGGTCATGGAGTTTATATCCATAGTGGTTTATATTTTTATTATAAATTAGGTGGTGCTAGATATGAAGGAGATTGGAAGAATGATTTACAACATGGTTAAGGAGTGGAAGCTTGGCCAGATGGAGCAAAATATGAAGTATATAAATAATGAGTACTATATTGCTAGGGTAAATATGAAAATGGAAAGAAACATGGATAAGGCACTCTTACTTTTGCAGATGGTAGCTACTATAAAGGTGATTTTGTTGAGAATGACATTACTGGTTATGGAGAGTATTATTGGAAGGATGGCAAATCATACAAAGGTTAATGGAATAATAGTAAGATGAATGGAAAAGGTATCACTTAATGGGCAGATGGGAAAAGATATGATGGAGATTATAAAGATGATAAAAAACATGGTTTTGGTATATTTTAATGGGAAAATGGAAGAAAATATGAGGGATATTGGATAAATGGTAAATAACATGGAAAGGGAATGATCACTTTACCTAATGGAGAAAAAAAAGAGGGATTATGGGAAAACGGGAAAAGAGTAAAGTGGTTGAATGTAGATGAATCTCCAAATAGTTGATCAACCTAAATCGTTGTTGAAAATATCTACTTAAATTTATTTAGATATTATTCATTTTTATTTATTTAAATTCAAAATAATTCTAAAATAATAAAAAACATACTATCTATATATATTCTTAATTTTCAATTATTGTAATCTAAGTTTTCTTCTCCTTGAAGTCGCTATTTTATCAAAAAATAAGATCTTGAATTTAAATAGAAAATACAAATATGTTAAGCTGAATAATTTTGATACTTAATCCATGTAGATAAAGGTTGATATTTATTAAGTATTCATACTTAATTAGACTCTATTATAAATAGAATTAATAAAAATAGAAAAAGACTTGGAGTATAATTTAAAAACAATGAATAGACAATAATTATTAAATTGTTAATTAATTAAATCATTATTGGTTTCAAACATAATATTCATATCAAAAATAATAACAGCTTTGTAGGTATGTAAAAATGAATAAAAAATTAAAGCTCATAATTATTTGATTATTAAATGTTTAGTTTTAAATATATAAAAAATTGGAACTTATTTAGATTAAAAAATTGATAAAATTAACTAAAATAGATTTATACAATAATGAATTAATATAAATATGTTTAGTTAGTAAAATAATTCGGAATTAAAGTGTAAAGTTAACGTCTTTATTTATTAGTTAATTATTTATTTTATGAGAAAACAAATGAATATATAAAGACTTATAATTATTAATTTTTGAAAATCAAGAAACAAATCAATGTTAATTTTGATAAGTTCATATTCTAAGGTTAATTAGAAAAATCAAAATAGGATATTTAACTAAAATAAGTTCATGAAAACAATTATTAAATGAAAAAGGAAGAGTAAAATAATGATATATAATAATAAATAAAACATTTTTAATTCAGTAGATGATGAAGAAAATAAAACAAAAAATTTAATGAAAAGCTTAAACACTTATTTCATTATAATGATAGAGAGTTTAAATCTTCAATTAAAAGATTAAATTGCTAGAAAAAATAAAACTTATTTTAGTTCTGATATTAATTAATAATTGTATTTTATATTACATACTTAGTCAAGCCTGACATAAAAAAAAGAATAACATTATAAAAAATTCTATACGCTAGATTTTTGATATATGTTAATTATTAATCAATGTTATTAAATAAGCTGTTTTGTGCATTGAGAAAGATTTTAGTCCCATAATGCTACAAGTTTTTCTTTTAATAAAATAGAAAATTTTTTCATTTACTATCATAATTGAATATATTTACTTCGACTATATTTTTTTCTAATGATACATCAGGATAAGTCTATTCTGCAATTTAAAATACTGTATGCAAAGGAATAACTAATTTTTCATTCCAAAATGTTCCCATAAAACTTTTTGCTTTGCATAGAAATTAACTGAATATCATCTATTATAACATTTATTCATTACTTTATTTTCTTAAGTATTTTTAGATGTTTAATTTGATTATTATGCTGAAAATTTGGCCAGAATCCATACTTATAATGCCTTTTTATAAAAAAGCAAAGCAGGTTATAGAAATCTAACTTTTTCCATAGTTTTTAAATAATGATCAGACTAAACGCTAGTTTCTAAAATAATAACAACAAATTGTCTAGCTATTTGCCATTATTGATCTTGTGAATTATATTTAATTAATTCGATAAAAACATTTTGTGTCATTTTTTCCATTTGCTTTGTAAATTTTCTCATCTTATTATTTTGGAGTGCTGCAGTAACTTCTCTAACATCAGATTTGCTTCTATCAATATCTTTATTGGTAATCGTTTAAGAAATTTAGGAAGACGATAAAGTTGAATCTCTACTATCGTCATCAATATTTAATTCATCAATTCTTTTGATTAGTGATTAGTTCTCATTTTTTCCTTTTTCTCTAAATACTATTAATGGCTGTACACAACTATCATTATAATTGAGTAAGTATTCTGACTTATGAAATTTTGAAAACTCTTCTTATATTGAGACCATTTCTTATGTAAAAATATCAATGAGTCTTTCTAATTTCTCATTTTCTACTATCAATTTACTTAATCTATTCATTAATTCCTTTTTTAAGTTTGTCATTCCATCTGATAGCCAACTATAAATAAATATGTCTAAAATAAAATTTGGAGTGACAAACTTTTGCTTTTTTTCTATTAAAATGTGAGCTGTTGTACTAGCCATTAAAAACCAAACTTTAGGTAACTATTTTATTAGATAAGTTCTTATTTAACAGCAAATAACTAAGTCATCAACTATATTATCAGGCAAGGGTTTGGCAACAGAATAGTAATAAATAAATGGTCGATTAGAATCAAATGTAAAAGATTATCCTCTTGGAACATCTAGTTGTTCTAGCTAATTCTGCATAGTTTATTGAGTTGTTCTTTAAAGTTTATTTATTTATAATAATTTGTAAGGATTGTAAGAATTTAGCAATTTGCTATAAGAGAGATTAAATCATTACCAGGATACCCCCAACATTAAAAATAATTTTATGTATTAAAGTTAATTATATGTGTTGTTTTGATTTATTTTTAAATGGTTTCGTTTTTCAAAATTTATAGATCTTAATTATTATTTATAATTTAAAAAGTAATTAATTCCATATGTTAATTTGATTAATTAGAAATAAATTATAATAAATTTATAATTAATTGATTGTTAAAAACCTGAAACTTACTAACAATGATATATAATTTTAGATCATATGTAATTATTTAACCAGCATTTATATATATAATATAGTTGTAATTCAAATTAATTTAATCATTAGTAATGCAAACTAGAATGCTTCTTTATAATTTATTTTGCTAAATTTTGATGTAATTTATTATAATTATTATTATTATTATTATTTGGTAAAGTATTTTGATTAGTTAAACTATTAATTGTATTATTAGTAATTTATTTTGTTTTAGTAACTACTATTTTATTTATTGAACCAATTGAATTCGTTTTAGTTCTTCCAATGCTGTATTTATTATTTATATTACTACAATTTCTCATATAAATACTGTTACTATTGATATTTTTATTTTCTTAATATTTATTAACTCTTTATTATGTATTACTACTTTATTTATTTGTTTTAAGTAAATTGTTCTTCTCGTCATTTCTAATTTAAATTTTATCTCTTTAAGTATCTTCATCATCCCAATCATAAATATATTCCATTCTTAATTCATTTTCTTACATGATTTAAATAAAAAGATTTTTTATAAATTAGTAATCTGGTTTCTCATCAAATTTTAAATTTTTTGTATAATCAACAAATTCCAATAATTGTTAAGGGTAATTTTTACATAAAGTTTCTGAAGATGTGGCTAATTTTTTTTCCATTATTCTATCGTATTTTTCTTTTTAATTATTTGCTCTTAAATTTTACCATGGTAGAGATCCTCTTAAAAAATACATCAATACATAAGCCAAAGACTCTAGATCATCTCTTCTAGATTATTCTATTCCAAGATGTGTATTGATTGAAGCATATCTGGCTGTACCAGTTAATGCTTTGTTATCTTTATAAGGTATATGAAGATCTTTTGAAATATACCTTTTGGCTAATCCATAATCAACCAGATATACTCTATCTTTTTAGGCCTTTCCCATTAAAAAATTATCTGGTTTTATGTCTCTATGAATGAATTATTTGCTATGTAAAAATTCTATACATTCCAACATTTGAATTCCCAAAACACAAACTGTTTACAATGTAAAAATACGATTGTTTTCAGAAAAGAGATCTTCAAGTGATTATCCTAATAATTCCATAACTAAAAAGTTATAACCATCTTGCTAATAATAACCATAATATTTAGGAATTCCTTATCCATTATGATTATTCAAATAGTGATATAATTTTGATTCGAATTCTAATTAAGGATGTTTTGAATCAGATTTCTCTATTTTAATAGCATATTCTAATCCATTTGATTACGAAGAATAAATTTCACCAAAAGCACCAGCTCCTAATTTCTTAATCAGTTTATATTGCCTAATTATATTTGAATAATACTTATTGACAATCGTTCCAGTCATATCTTTCAAAGGGGAGTCCATCTGTTAATTAAAAAATAAAATATTATATAAAATTACATAATAAAAATCATTAAAGAGCTTTAATACCAGCTTTTATTTTTGGTTTATTTCTGTCACCTGGTAACTAGACAAAACCTTATTCTTCAAGTAAATGTAGAGCTTCTAAGATTTCTTTTTAATATTGCCTTTTATCAATAATTGTTTATTCATTTGTTTAAGCAGCTATGATGGTATTAATCTAACAAATAATGATAATAATGAATACCTATTCAACAAAATCAAAAAATCTAACACCTTATCCTCTATAATCAGATAAATTAGCTTTTATTAAATTAGTTATTTCAACAATTAACTTAGAAACCAATTCTCTTGAAGCATTTGATCTACCAGTTGCCAATAAATCCATATCAATTTTACCTAGAAGTTAATTTAAAATTTACCAGTAATAGGATCAAGAGCTGCCTTTTTCATAGCAGTTTCCATTAACTTAACTGCTTCTTAAACATGATAGTTTTCTACTCTTTGATTGAATTACATTTTTGCCAAAGCTTCTGATAATCTAATTAAAGATTCTAATTATCTTGGAGTAGCTGTAATAGTATTAGATGAATTTCCAGCACTTCTCATTTTAACATAAGCTGCAATCAATTCATTTTGTGCTTCTTCAGTCAGTCTTGGAAATATGTTTTATTTTGCATAACATATATAACTATACAAAGTTTCTCTATCAATTATATCTGTATTTCCTTCTTCTTCAATTTAATTTAAATAATCTTGCTTGTCTTTAAGAGAATACATATTTAAAATATGATATGCTAACATTTCATCTCTTTTTTCATTGAATTCATCAAGTACTAGATAGATAAGATCAAATCTAGATAAAATAGTTGGTGGCATATTAATATTTTGAACAACTGATTATTTGACATCATATCTAGATTTGAGTGGATTAGCAGCAGCTAAAACAGCAGTTCTGGCATTTAACTAACTTACTATACCAGCCTTGGCTACAGAAATAGTTTATTATTCCATAGCTTCATGTAAAATAGTTTTAGCATTATCATCCATTTTATCAAATTCATCAATACAACAAATACCCATATCACTAAGTACTAATGCTCCAGATTCTAAGATAATCTCTCTTGTTTCTGGATCTCTAGATACATAAACAGTTAGACCAACTGCTGATGATCCTTTACCTGATGTATAAATTCCTCTACTTGATAATTAATGAACACATTATAATATTTAAGATTTACTTGTTGATGGATCACCTACTAATAAAACATTAATATCTGCTCTAAATCTACCTTTACCTGCTTAAGAAAATTCTTTATTAGTTCCTCCAAACAATTAACAAAGTACTCCTTTTTTAACATCCTCCATTTCCCAAATAGATGGTGCAATAGATTTAACTAGTATATCATAAATATTTGGTTATTAAGAAAGATACATTAATTTTTATTTTTATTCTTCAGTAATGTTTTTAGTTTTTTCTTATTCAATTTTAGTTTCTTTTTGATATGATATAACATCAATAAANAATCAAAAAATCTGACACCTTATCCTCTGTAATCAGATAAATTGGCTTTAATTAAATTAGTGATTTCAACAATAAACTTAGAAACTAATTCTCTTGAAGCATTGGATCTACCAGTTGCCAATAAATCCATATCAATTTTACCTAGAAATAAAATGTAATATTTACCAGTAATAGGATCAAGAGCTGCTTTTTTCATAGCAGTTTCCATTAATTTAACTGCCTCTTAAACATGATAATTTTCAACTCTTTAGTTGAATTACATTTTTGCCAAGGCTTCAGATAATCTAATTAAGGATTCTAATTATCTTGGTGTAGCAGTTATAGTATTAGAAGAATTTCCTGCACTTCTCATTTTAACATAAGCTGCAATTAATTCATTTTGTGCTTCTTCAGTCAGTCTTGGAAATATGTTTTATTTTGCATAACATATATAACTATACAAAGTTTCTCTATCAATTATATCTGTATTTCCTTCTTCTTCAATTTAATTTAAATAATCTTGCTTGTCTTTTAGAGAATACATATTTAAAATATGATATGCTAACATTTCATCTCTTTTTTCATTGAATTCATCAAGTACTAGATAAATAAGATCAAATCTAGATAAAATAGTTGGTGGCATATTAATATTTTAAACAACTGATTATTTGACATCATATCTAGATTTGAGTGGATTAGCAGCAGCTAAAACAGCAGTTCTGGCATTTAACTAACTTACTATACCAGCCTTGGCTACAGAAATAGTTTATTATTCCATAGCTTCATGTAAAATAGTTTTAGCATTATCATCCATTTTATCAAATTCATCAATACAACAAATACCCATATCACTAAGTACTAATGCTCCAGATTCTAAGATGATCTCTCTTGTTTCTGGATCTCTAGATACATAAACAGTTAGACCAACTGCTGATGATCCTTTACCTGATGTATAAATTCCTCTACTTGATAATTAATGAACACATTATAATATTTAAGATTTACTTGTTGATGGATCACCTACTAATAAAACATTAATATCTGCTCTAAATCTACCTTTACCTGCTTAAGAAAATTCTTTATTAGTTCCTCCAAACAATTAACAAAGTACTCCTTTTTTAACATCCTCCATTTCCCAAATAGATGGTGCAATAGATTTAACTAGTATATCATAAATATTTGGTTATTAAGAAAGATACATTAATTTTTATTTTTATTCTTCAGTAATGTTTTTAGTTTTTTCTTATTCAATTTTAGTTTCTTTTTGATATGATATAACATCAATGAATGTATTATAAATAGATTTTAAAACTCTTCTATTTTTAGTTTATCTAATAGGAGCAGCTCTATAAACACCTACAACAATAATTCTATCTCCTGGTTTCACATCATCCACATTATAATCATAAGGTACTAAGTTTACAGTTTATGGTGTATAACCTTCAGGTACATTTTCAGGTTATTCTTACAATTTAACATATTATTTATCTGTAAATTAACAGAGATTATGTATGAGTTCATAGGAATTCTTGTCTCTACATCTTTAACAACTAATAGGTTCTTCAACTCTTCCTCTTTCAATATTTACTCCTACTATATGACCACATTTAGTGCATTTGAATGTAGCTTATTTCATATCAGGATATAATTCACTACATCTAATTACTATTCCTGTTACACTTATTAATTTATTTATATCCTTTGGATTCAATTCTCTCACTTAAACATTCCTCTCCAGATTTATAATACCTATTAGTAATCTTTATGCATATAATCTAAATTCTTCTCTCTCTTATTCATTTCTTGCTTTTAAAGATAAAAAATCATCATAAAACACTTTTTATACTACAGTATCAAAAATTGGAATTATTTCTGCTGGATAATGAATTAATTGTTAATACAAATGATTATTGAATTCTAATAAATGTCTGCCATCAATATTTAAGATGAATTAATCTGTTTCATTTAATTAATTCAATTGACTCATATAATATTCCATTCCTCCAGATCTATATTCTTTTAAAAATCTATCAAATTATTTTTCAATAGCTCTTTCATCAATATTTGTTCCCCAATATACTGCTTCATGTGTTTCAACAGTCATTCTTGTNAATTCCTCTACTTGATAATTAATGAACACATTATAATATTTAAGATTTACTTGTTGATGGATCACCTACTAATAAAACATTAATATCTGCTCTAAATCTACCTTTACCTGCTTAAGAAAATTCTTTATTAGTTCCTCCAAACAATTAACAAAGTACTCCTTTTTTAACATCCTCCATTTCCCAAATAGATGGTGCAATAGATTTAACTAGTATATCATAAATATTTGGTTATTAAGAAAGATACATTAATTTTTATTTTTATTCTTCAGTAATGTTTTTAGTTTTTTCTTATTCAATTTTAGTTTCTTTTTGATATGATATAACATCAATAAATGTATTATAAATAGATTTTAAAACTCTTCTATTTTTAGTTTATCTAATAGGAGCAGCTCTATAAACACCTACAACAATAATTCTATCTCCTGGTTTCACATCATCCACATTATAATCATAAGGTACTAAGTTTACAGTTTATGGTGTATAACCTTCAGGTACATTTTCAGGTTATTCTTACAATTTAACATATTATTTATCTGTAAATTAACAGAGATTATGTATGAGTTCATAGGAATTCTTGTCTCTACATCTTTAACAACTAATAGGTTCTTCAACTCTTCCTCTTTCAATATTTACTCCTACTATATGACCACATTTAGTGCATTTGAATGTAGCTTATTTCATATCAGGATATAATTCACTACATCTAATTACTATTCCTGTTACACTTATTAATTTATTTATATCCTTTGGATTCAATTCTCTCACTTAAACATTCCTCTCCAGATTTATAATACCTATTAGTAATCTTTATGCATATAATCTAAATTCTTCTCTCTCTTATTCATTTCTTGCTTTTAAAGATAAAAAATCATCATAAAACACTTTTTATACTACAGTATCAAAAATTGGAATTATTTCTGCTGGATAATGAATTAATTGTTAATACAAATGATTATTGAATTCTAATAAATGTCTGCCATCAATATTTAAGATGAATTAATCTGTTTCATTTAATTAATTCAATTGACTCATATAATATTCCATTCCTCCAGATCTATATTCTTTTAAAAATCTATCAAATTATTTTTCAATAGCTCTTTCATCAATATTTGTTCCCCAATATACTGCTTCATGTGTTTCAACAGTCATTCTTGTTGGAGAATGTTAAGATTATGTTCCTGTTCTCCTTGATGCTGTAGCTAGAATCGATCTATTACGAGGTTATGCAAGTGATCTTGCTGGAGTATGTCTAGAGAAATCTCCTATTTCTGATCTCTATTCTACAGACATGAATCCACTCTAAGTGTTTTTGGGAGGCATTTTTAATTAATTATATAATTATATTGCGCCAATTTCTTTTGTATACACAAAAACTCTTAATATAGTATTTAAATTAAAAGTGTATAATATTTGTTCATTATTTCAATTCAATAGACATATTTATTAAATTACTAAAATCTAATGATTATCTTGCAGATTACTATATTAAGGCATCATTTAGATTAAATTCATGTTATTGACTTTGTTATTATGGTATTTATGGCAAATAAAAAAAAATAATTGGTACTAATATACAAGGAGTCATTTCAATCATTGAGAAAAACGTTAAATATACATTCTCTCCTGATGTAAATCCTTCATTGTTAAGATTATTTAATGGTAAATTACAAAATAATCCCTAAAATGTTGTAAGTGATAAAATTGATAAAATAAATTCCAAAATTGCAGAAGTTGTCAATACTATTTAAACAGCTGTTGTTTAATAATTTGCAATTTTTGTTACATTAGTTTATTCATGTTTTTTCATTTCATCTTTTAATTTCTAACCATATAATATTGATATGAAAACACTAAATAAAATGATTATAAATTATAAAGTTAATCCAACATCAAAATAGACTAAACAATTATTATCATCTATTTAAATCAAATATAATATGATTATTGATGTAAACAGAATGTAAAATATTATCAAACTATACTTTTATTTTAATCGATATTCTTAAAATTCATCTTTAGAGTACGTCATTTTATAGTATAAATGGAAAAAGCTTTAAGATATCAATATGAATGTTTGTAAACAAAAGTAAATAATGACGATTTATAATGAATTCGTCACTAAAAATATGTCATTTATAAAATGTAAACAAGATTGAATTGCACATGTTGTCAAAGGAATCATTTCATATGAAATTCTACCCATAAATCCATAAAGCTTTATTAAACAATAGATTGAAATGCCAAAAATTAATCCTGCATAAATTCCAATAAAAATCCCTCTTCCACATGATAAATTAGAGTCTTAACAAAGTTGTTGTATTTAAAGCATAAATTTGTATTATTTAATAATAATTTATTATAAATTAATCACTTTTTCTTGTTATCCTTCTTATCCTTTTCTTTTTATTATGGAACAGGCTTTTAATTCTATTATTATTCCTTAGTATTCTTTTATGCATTCTAATCCTTTTATTCTTATTATTTTTTTTAGTTCTTATTTTTTAATGACTAAATTTTCTGTTCATCTTCATCATCACTTTCATCTTCATTTTTAGATGCCTTAGTAACTTTTTTGGAACCCTTCTTATTCTTCTTTTTAGCTTATTTATTATCCTTGAGAAACTTCTTTACTTTATCTTCATCCAATTTGTACTTCTTCAACCATCCAGCATAATCTGTTTTATATTATTCAGTAGCCTTTTCATAATCTTTATTGTATTTCTAATAAAAAGGTTCTTAATATATTAATATACATCCTTCTTCTTATCATCCATCTCTCCCCATAAGGATGATATCATTGAAGTCAATTCAGTCATACTTTTATCTTGGTTCTTTTTCCTAAGATCATCATAAGTATCTGCCCTGAATAACATGTAAGCATTCTAAGGTTTTTTTGGCATATTTTTTATTGCTTCTTCTGATATTTAGTCCATTTTTTAATTTTAAAGTTAAATACAAAATATTACTCAGTTCAAATGTTAAATCATAAAATTATCATAAATGCTTATAATTATAAACTTTTTCATAATAACAACATATTCACTTGAAGAATATGATTGTGGATTAAATGTCTAAACCTTATGTGCACCTGGTATGAAAATAAGGGAAAAGTATTAACCATATTTTGGTTTTTGGAATTTTGATCTAGACAAATTAGTAGATTCAGGTCCTCATAATCACATTACTAATATAAATGAATTATCAAGATCATCTTCAATGATGGGAACTGGAGTATATTTCAAAAAGGATTCTGAATTTGAAGTGTAATTCGTTCCATCATTTGAAGGTTCATAATGGACAGTCAGTTTTTAAATAATGTTTGAAGAAATTGGAAGAAAAATAAAAGAAGTAGGTAATATCCTAACACTTTTCGATGAAATAGAGGATCATTAAAATTTAGTTTCAATAGTTGTTGATACTACTATTCCTACATTTGCAATTAAAGAAAATTCATAAAGTGTTAATTCTAATATGAGATTATAACCTTAACTTTGGTATCAATTGTTCTTAGTGTTATCAGATAAATCCATAAAATTATTTGTGAATGGTATTGAATGTGCAAAATTACAATCAGGAAAAGCTATAAGTTTTAAGAAACTTAAAATTGGATTAGAAAATGAATTACCATCATTTAATTTAGATACATTAAAACTATTTAATAGAAAGATTGAAGAATGGGAAATTTTGGCATCATCTTAATTATTTTAAATGAATGGAGATTGGGTATTATTACAATGTGAGAATTGTTAATTTGAATAAGCAAAATAATGTCCATTTAGTTATCATCTTTGCACAACTGTAGAACTATATTCTTTTGGTATTAATATAGCTAAAAATATGGGATGGGGTATTTGGAATAATACAAATATATGGAGTTCAGAATCAAATCCTAATAAATTTAAAAATAAAGAGGGACTTGCTTTATGTTGCAAGGATCTCGATTTTGTTTTAATATGAATCATATACTAAGTTCTTGATTTTTACATTTTTTTACAAATATTTTAATAAACCATTTTAAAAATAAAAATAAATTCTCAATTCTTTTCTATAAACCTAAAAAAACATATTTTAATAGATTTGCTTAGCTGTTAGACTTTAGTTAAAATATTTACTCTAAATTATTCCAAATTTTATGAAAAATAGAAAATAAATAATTTATAGACTCTAAAATTTTAAAAACTTCAAGTCTTACTAATTTTATATAAATTTATATATTCTCCATTACTTAAAACAATGGAATGAAATTTTAAAGTCATCTATTAAGAAATTAAAATAAATCGTTTTTAGATAATTAAATTAATTAAATTTTCCAGAACAATTGTATTAATTAAACAAGTTTAAATAGACTATTAAAATAAATATATTAATAAAACTTTTATTATGTTATCATTTTTTTCCAAAAAGATGCTTCTTTAGTTAGTAATATTTGTGATATCTAACTTCTACAAAAGCAAGATAATCAAATACAATATCATTTGATTTTGCCATAATGATTCCCCATGCTCTATAAATTATAAAATTAATTATTTACGCCCAAAAGAAATGTGAGAATAACTATCCAATATAAACTTAGTGTAATAAATTTTAGTAGTCTAAATCCAATCCTGACTTTTCGATATAAACTTTAACAAAGTCTTTTAAGATATCCTCATCAATCATTCCTTCTTCTATATAAAAATAAGGTGGATTTGGGTTTAGATAACTAAATTGTGATTCATTGAAATAATTAGCTATATCAAATCCTCTGAAGTTATAAGAAGAATACTCAAAATCGATAAATACAACCTTATCAAAGTTCTAATTGATGATAAGAAATGATTATTACAGGTGGAATCAATAAGATGTTATTTGCTAATAGATCGTTATGGGAAAATACAATGTCATCTTTTGGTAACACTGATTGCAAAAATTTAACTTCCTCTTCCGAGAACCAATGGGCCATGTTAGATAGAATAGATCTTTCATCTTCAGAGAATAAGTTCGAACAAACTTTCTCTCTTACTTACTATAAGAAGTCTGAATTTTCTTGCAAATGTTTTTCAAACAAAGGTGTTCTGTCATTCATTTGACCAGATATATCTATCTAATGAAACTTACACAAGGTCTAAGCCACTAATGTGTAAGTCTCAGGATCTTTCATTGACTCTTGACTCATGACCTCATTTTCAATGTATTCTTCTAAACGAACCTTTTAATATTAAAATGGTAGTTACATGTTAAGTGTGACCATAAAAATGAGGGCCCATTTTACATTTAGCAACTTATCTTGCAATGTGTAATTCTTATTCTCTGTTCAAAAATAATCCAACTCCGACTTCACCAAAATGACGAAAGATTATTTTGCTTGGAGTAGCATCAGCTTCAATAATATAAGTCTTATTTGTTATTCCTATAGTCTTTGTAATTCTCAAATCATCACTTTAAAGATGGCTCCAAGATGGAACAAACTTTTATATATGAGAAATGAAGAATTAATCGATATTGTTCATAATATTTTGTAAAAATATTTATGCTTATCTTTACTAACAATTCTCAATTTAAATTAATAGTAATCCGTCATAATTAAACCTGAAATATCACCATATGATTTCATGATTTATATATTATATTATTAAAACGGATAAGGATAGTAGTATTATTGTGAAAATATACATATACATAAATGTCAGTCTCATATTCAAAATAAATCTCTATTCATTTTTCAATAGTTAATGTACATATTTTATTAACATATATTATATATATATATATTATTTATAAATATACCTATTATATCCTTCTTATGAGTCAATTGAATAGATCAGTTAAATAGATTGGCCAATACTAATATAATGAGAGGCATTGTTTGGGAGAAGGGGCCTATGGTAAAGTGTTTTAAGGAATGGACATAAAGTCTAATGAAATTGTTGCAATTAAGAAAATGGATTTGGCACTTTTTGAAAGAGATACTTATTTAAGGAATCAAATAGTTAGTGAAATTGAGATACTTAAGAAATTCAATCATCCTAATATTGTGCGATTTATTGATTTGATTACAACACAAAGATCTTTATATATAATTACAGAACTTTGTAAAGATGGAGATTTAAAAGAATTCATTTAAAAAAAAAGAATATCTGAATAAGAAGTATCACAATATTTATTCAATAGACTTAAGGAATTATGTTATAAATTATAAATGGTTTTAAAGAATTAGTTAAATAAGGAGTAATTCATAGAGATTTAAAGCCTGCTAATATCCTCAATCATGAAGGTATAGTTAAAATAGCTGGTATCAATTTAATTTAGATCTTTAATTAGATTTTGGATTTGCAAAATACGTTGATAATTATACATCTTAATTACTTCGATCTTGTGTAGGATCTCCTTTATATATGGCACCTTAAATTCTTTAGAGGAAAACATATTCTACAAAATGTGATATATGGTCTATAGGAGTCATATTTTATGAAATGGTATTTCATGATGTTCCTTGGAAAGGAAGAGATGAATAGGATTTGTTAAAAAACATTTTAATGAAACCTTTAGTGTTTAAGCATAACGGTATAACAGAATTTACAAGAGAATTTTTAACTAAAGCTTTAATAGTGGAAGAATCTGAAAGGATTTAATGGGATCAAGTATTTTAGATGTTTGAAAGTATGGAAAAAGGTTTGGTTTCTAATAATCCAACATTATAGAAATTGTATAATGATTAAAACATTAGTTGGATGTAAAAATAATAATAAAAAATGACTGGAGATCAATTGTGTAAATAATTAATATTTTTATAATAAATGAAATAGGATATTGCTTTTCGTCATTTTGTTAATTTAGAATTATATCAAAAATTAGATTAATTAAAAAGAATATTTAGGGTAGATCAATCTATTGAAGAATGTATTCTTTAATTATCAAGACTTGTATTAGCTTATAGTTATCTTTTGGTTTAATTAATTGAAGAAACATGTGATTCTGGAGAAGATATGTTAATTAAAGGTACAAAATGGAATATATTGAATTATACAAAAAATGAATAAGAATATTATAAGATATTTTTTGCAAATTGTAAGGATGCATTTTTCAAAGATTCAATTTAATATGATGGAGAAATAAGTGATGTTGAAAGAAATAAATTAGAAGAGAATTTAACTAATAAAATTATTAAAATCATTGGAGATAGTTTTGATGATTTAAAAAAGAAGGCTGTTGAAGAATAACAGTATAATATTAATAATAATTTAATTAGTTATTCTTCACTTATTGCAATTGAATTGTTATTAGATTAATAAATTATTCATAAAAATATTGTTAAAATTACAGAAATCGAAGTTTAGTAAATATTGGTTGAAAAATAATAAAAGGATGATTGGAGGAAGATTTTGGATAGGATAACAAGTAAATGGAGATAATTGTAAAAATTATGAGATCCTTAGTCATTATAGATATATATTAATTGTTTATTTAAATTAAAACTTATAGTAAATGGTTTCAAGAATTCTTGTACAACTTGATTCTTAAATTGAATGGATTATCATCATATTAGTAACATTCTTTGTAATATTAATAATTGGACTATTTATATATAGATTATGCAGAAGAAAATAGAATTCGTAACCTAAATATATAAATAATTCCAAAAATTTCAAAGATGTTCCTAAGTCTGAAAAAATTCAAGATCATGAAAAATTGTAAAATAGAATGGATACATCAACTACAAAGAAAGAATTTTTTGTTATTGAAGAAGAGCCAGAAAAAAAAAATGATAATAATGATAATAATGAAAATTATAATCCTGGTGAAGTTAACGAAAGCATTAATTTAAGCAATGTATTTAATCTAGAAGGTGAGGGTAAAAAATATCAAAATAATAAGTATTAATAAATTAGACAAAATTGAATTAATTCCTATATATGTATATTATATAATTTCAATTCATAAATTGTAAAAAAACTTATAAAAAAATTTAAATTATCAATTATCCTCATCATTTCCACAAAGAATTGGTATTGAACAACAATTCTGTTGTATTTTTACTTTCTCTTGTTCAGCAGCTTGTTAAGCAGCAAATTAAACAAATATTTATTCTAGGTTGGGTTAACTTATCTAAAAATCTTTGATTAGTTTCAAATCATTTTATAAGATTTATTAGAAGATGTAGAAAGTTTGATAAAATTAGAATCCTTTTAAAGGAAACTTACAAATAATCTTTCCAGTATGTTCATCTTATCTAAAATCTATATTTCCAAAATTCTGTGTTAATTATTATTCTATTTATTAAATACTTTCCTAAAAATATAATAATAATATACTTAGTTAATGGGATCTATTAAAATTCTATATCCTTCTCCAAATTTTTATTTTAAATGTTAAACTGTTCCAATACAAGCAAAAGATCCATTAACTTAAATTGCAATTTTATTACATAGACTTTCAGCTTCATCCATAGTATGTGTTGTTAAAATAACAGAACTCTATCTTAATTTAACACCTTATTGGATAGCATTCCATAAAAATCTACGAGCTATTGGATCAACACCAGAAGAGGGTTCATCAAAGAATTACATATTTGTTCCACCCATAAGAGCTAATGCTACACATAACTTTCTTTTATTTCCTCCACTTAATTATCCAGCTAATGAATTTTCATAGTTTTCTAATTACATCACCTTTAAGAAATATAAAATTGACTCTTCTAATTCTTATCCTTTTAATCCCTTTAAATATCCCCATAATTAAAGATGTTTTCTTACAGATACAATATCATATAAACTATCAAATTATGGACAAATTCCAACATTTTAATACACTTCTCCTAATCCTTTTTTAATTTCTTCCTATTCTAAGTAAATATTTCCTGAAGATGGCTTTAATCTTGATGTAATCATATTGAATGTAGTTGATTTACCAGCTCCATTAGGTCCTAATAATCCAAAAATTGTTCCTGGTTCAACACCAAAGGATGTTCCTTTGACTGCTTAAAATCCATTTGCATATGTTTTTGAAATCTTTCTAGCTATAATTCTATCTTAACATCTTGGATCTAAAACTCTTTATTCTTCTGTCAATACATCTTAATCATAAATTGTCCCTAATTAACCACTGTTATTAGCTGCCAATAATTGTCTATTATCAAGTAATAAAGTAATTCCAAAGTAAGCAATACCTTATAAAAATAGAATTATTATAAAAATGTAAGGCTAAACATCATCACCAAAAGCACTTAAACTTTATACCTTATCATCTGCCCCAATTAGTTCTAAACTATTCAAAAATGTTACACATCCTGAAAAAAAGGATAAAGAAGGACATAAAAATGTTAGTATCCATAATCCAGCTTCATTCTTAAATGAAACTAAATAAATGATGATAGCAATCAAATAAAAGCCAATAACTTAAATTATTAGTAAAGATTTAACAGCAGAATTAAATGAATTAAACATCCAAGATAACATATATGAGAATGGTAAATAAGCAAAGAAGTTAAAAAATACTAATGTATAAAAAACTGCATTGTTTAATTATGAGTAACCACAAGCAACTACTGTGATTATAAAGATGATAAGCAAAATTACACTTATTATCAAATCATAAATATAATAGCCTAACCAAAATGGTAATATTCTACAACCCATAACATTTAATGCATATTTCTGCTTTTTTTCTCTTTCTTCAACAGGTTGACTACCTATCTAAGAGCTAGCTATAGCTATTCCTAAAATTATATAGCCATATGAATCAAAAACAGCTAATGCATTCTCATAAAATTCATTTTCATATAATTCAGCATTTTTTTCAACAAATGATTTATAATATACTGTAGTTAAAAGTGGTCCTAAAATTATAAAAACTGCAGGCATTATAATTCCAACAATAAGTCTTTTTGTTGTTACATTATAATGCTTTTTTAAAATGCATGACCATAATTATAGACCAAAATCAAAAACAGGTGGTCTACTTAAACAAGAAGGAGGGACTATTTTATTTAATTCTTCATTCAAATTTACTTAAGTACCATCTTAAGTATTTTATAGACCTTATACTTTTTTTTTTAAGAAAGACTCTTCATCCATTCCAATATTTATAAATGCTTCTTCTAAAGTATTCATAATTAAATTCAATTCAATTTATGGATCCTTCTCTAATTATTGAAATAAAGGTAATAGTTCTTCTTTTTTATCAAAATTTATTGAGAAACTTAAACATTCTGAAGGAGTTTAAGCATTTTCTCTTGAAGAAGGAACACATTTTTTTGTAAGAGCTTATAAATTTTTGGATTTTTTCTCCCAATCCTAACTTCCTTTATTATAAATATTAAGATGATAACCAATTCCAAAATTGACTTTAACAAAATCAACTGAACCTACAGTTAATAATTTTCCTTTAGCCATTATAGCTATTCTTTCTGAAAGAACCTCAGCTTCATCTAAATGATGAGTTGTTAAAACTAAACTTTTTCCTTCACTCTTCACTTATATTAAAATATCCCAAATCTTTTTCCTCGAAATTGGATCCATTCCTGATGTAGGTTCATCCAAAAATATGACTTTTGATTAACCAATTAAAGATAAAGCTAAACTTAATTTTCTTTTAGTTCCTCCAGATAAATTCTTAGCAAGTTTAGTTCTATCATTTAAAAGATCACATTTATTAATTATCAAATCAATATCTAAATATAGTTATTTATCCTCAATTCCTTTTATTTTTCCATAATACCATAAATGTTAATCACATGTCAATGAATCATAGAGAACATCTCTTTGAGGACAGATACCCAAATAAGATCTAATATTCTCAAAATCAGTATCTGTATTATAATATGATATTAGTCCACTATCCTTTTTGATTAATCCAGTTAATAAAGAGATCAATGTTGTTTTACCAGCCCCATTATGACCTAACAAACAGAGAATTTGTGAATCATATATTTATAATGTAACTCCATCAACAGCTTTTAATTCACCATAACTTTTTCTAACATTTTTAATTTAGATGGATCTCTAAAATATATATATATAATTTACTTTGACTTGTTTTATATTTTCAAAAACTTCATGATATATAGCAGAACTTGCATCCTCTTAAAATTCTGATTGTCTATTGCTAATAAATGGTTTTCCCATTCCTCCTAATTCATATGATGATGATAACACATCATTTTCAGTTTGATATTTACAACCAAGGAAAAAAAGAGGATGTTTATTTGTACCGTATTCATTTGGTAACACTTATTCCAAATAATAATAGAGAAATGCATATATCAATGCAGATGATGCTTACAATACAAAATAACCTCCTACAGAAATTCCCCAATCTTTAATAATTATACCTCCCAATTAAGGAAAAATATATATATCAAATCCAAATGTAGGAAAACAAAACCCAAGTAATATAAGAAGTCCTGCATTACTATATTTATTACACATATTTATACCTATTAATTTATTCAACATTTAATAGTTATGCACCAAATGAACCAATTATTGTTACTATTACTGACATGTCTGCTCCACTTCTTGGCTAATCAAACAAAGCAGTTATAAAATAAGATTAAGAGCATTAACTTAAGCCAAATAAAATAAAACTTCCTACTATTTAACCTCCATCCAAATAATTTTTACCACCTTTAGGATGTTAAAAACAATGAGTAGGTACTGTTAACAACAAAAATACAAAACAAACTGATAATAATCTTGAAAAATTAAATAGAAGCCATCCTAATTAATATGCTGATCCTTTCAAACCCATAATCTATTCTATTATATATATTCTTTACCTTTTAAATCTCTTTTTGTCTTTCACTTTTTTCAGCTATCATTTATATTACAATATATCTAGATGTGGCTAGAAAGGTCATAGGTACAAATTCAGCCATAATTTCAAGGAAAACAGGATTATTTTCTTTTTCTAAAATTTAAGAATATTCTTAAATTATTACATGCTACCATTAGCATAACAAACACAATTATTGGCACCAAAAATTCACCGATGAACTGCTTTTCTTAGAAATACACAATGTAATTCTTTTAGAAGACTACAAGTATCTATTAGGCAATAGAAGCCATTAAAAGAAATTAGAATTATTTAATTATCTAAAATGAGTTTTTTTTTATATCTCTAATAAATGCTGACGTAATCTATTTTTATATTGCATAACATATGTTTAAAGAAATGAAAGAAAATAAAAATTTTAAACTATCTTTAATCAAGACAATGAGCTTATAAGATTTATTATTTAAAAAATGGAGAAATTCTTTATTTTACAAATAGGCGGATTTAAAATATATTCTCAAAACCTTTGTTTGTAAATATATCGATTCTTAATTATTTTTAATAAGAACACATATGTACTTAATAATTCATCTAAAATCGATTAATATGATTAATAGTTATTATTTACTTTTCATTTTGATTAAGTAAAATTATATATTACTACTTAATATCAAAATCATTTACAATCTAAACCTTATTCATTTATCTTCTAATTTAATTAAGATGTCTATCACAAGATTATTTAAGAAATCTTTAGAATTTATATTATAAATTATGTGTAATTTAATATAATTTAGAAATATTTTTATACAATCAGAAATAATTCTCCAAAATTTCTTATTGTCTCTTAAAGATAAATTCTGATAAATCATTGGAATAATTTTCAACATTTTATGGATTTAAATAAATGATAGGCATTTTCACAAATAATATCCATAAACCAATTCCACAACAATAAAAAGAAATCCAAAACTTTAATCCTAAGATGAAAAACAATTTTGCTATTATTCTAAAACTCTTTTATAGAGGCTTAGGAGTCTCAACCATTATATATGGTTAAAATTAAATACTAGATTTATAATCCTTCCAAAATAACTAAAACAACTTCCAATATTCCTGATAATATAAGAGCATTTAAAATCCTGAGATCTTGCACTATATTTTTCCAATAAAAAGTTCAATAAATTTTGGCAAAAATGGCTTGAATATTCCTGCTATTAATTTTTTGATATAATTATTCAACTAACCTCAAATAAATAATTCCTCTTGGACATTATATTTCAAAGTTATCATTATCATCATCTTAAAATATCAACAAAGAAAATAATGAGTGTATCAGAATATAGAAATAAAATGTATTTTTAATTATTACAAAAAGTATTTTCAAATTAATTTATTACTTTTTTATTGTATTCTTTGATTATTAATAATATAATCATATAATGTCATTAAAATAAATTATGAATTTATGATTATAATAATAATTATTATTATTTTTACTTTCCTATTCATTTAATTTCTCTAAAAAATCTTATTTAAAGTGCTCAGAGACAAACATAATTGACAATGAAAGAATTCAAAATATTTTAATTTTTATTAATCATTTAGCCACAATTATAGGATTAATGTAAGATTAGCAAATAAATCAATGGATTAATTTGTATTTATTGTATTATTAATATATTCAGTCAGTCTTTAACTTTATCTAAACATTCCCACATAATTATTGAATTGCCTCTCACAATTGCTTATCCAATATCAACTAATTGATCTGTGACATTTGAAAAGCCTGGATAAAGATTATCTTTATTCTCTGCTCCTTATCCTGGAATCAATTCTTTACAATGATCAAGCACTAAATTCATAAAAATATCAAATCTAATTTTAATAATTATATGATTTTACCCAATAACAGTACCAATAATTGTACGTTTTGCATTCAACTTAATTTTTAATCTCTTTCCAAAATATTTATTTAAATCTGCTTAATATCCTTATTTATGTTGTTATCCTCTCTTTTATGATTGCATAGAAGTAAAATTGTTTTATATAAAATATTTTAATTAATAAAAATAATAAAATTTTTTTATATGAATAAAATAATATTAAAAATGTATTGCATTTACATAAAAAAACAAAAGTAGCATAGTTAGTCTATAAATAAATCAAAAAATCAATTAGCTTTTTTCGATTTAGAATGCTTTTTCATTTATTCTTGATCATTTTGAAGATCATCTTTAATGTATCGCAGCTTTTTATAATACCTATTTTTAATCATATTCATGGTTTTTCCTGGAAACTATTTGACTATTTTGTTAAAATTTGGACCAACCTATTAAACCAATTCCAAGATACGCTTATCTTCTTAGAATGTAAATCTGATAGGATAAATTGATATTGTTGAAAAATTACCTTTAGTCATTAATTCTACGCTTTCCAATTTATTATTTAAATTAATCATCCTCATTTGGTTATTAATTTTTTATTAGTTGATTAACCAAATGTTCTAGTGATTCCTCATTTTACATTTACTAAGATAATCTATAAAAATTTAAATATGTCTTTACTATTCAGATTAATCAATCTTATCATCATCCAAAGGTTATTTAATAAATATTTCTTAATCCATGATTATTTTATATATTATTTTATAAGATTCTTCAATAATTCATCATTATATAATTCTAATAATTTATCAAAATAAAATGCAGGATAAATATTAGTAGTATAATAAGAAGAAATAGATATATAAATTTGAGCTGTTATCTTTAAATTTATGATAAATAATAATTATTAAATTACAAAATTAGATCTCTTTTCAAACTATAAATCACCTATTCAAATCAATTCCATAGTACTTACTTTTATAATTAGAATCTTTGAGCATATTTTGTAAACATCGAGATCTCATAATTTTTTAATTCTTCAACCCTCTATCTTGATACCAAATTCACTTTATTATTACTCTTATAAAATGAATTTCTAAATCCAATATGATTTTCAAATTAAGATTTATTAACAGGTGATTTATGAACTGTTTATCTTCTTTTTCTATTTTAAATTAGAGGTTTTAATTGTGTCTTTAATTATATTGGGGATATTATTTTATGTTAGTTTTATTATTATTTATCAGAATCCAAATCTTCATCTGCTTCATTTATGGGAAATGGAGTTGTTCCTTCCATTTCCCCATAAAGATATGGTACTCTTTTGAAATTGCATCCATAAATTTAATCAAGTGTTTTTGTTTACTAATCAATCATTACAATTTCTTATAAATATTATATAGTATAATTTGATTAAATTAATTTAGTATAGTACAAAAAAATACATATTTAAAAAAATGATATTTTTAATCAACTTCTTTTAGTGCAACCAAGATTTTAAAAAAGTGTTTCAAAGAAGCCACTTTCTTTTCTAACAGGATGTTATGTTCTTCTTGTTATTCTAGTTTGTATAGGAGGCTACAATTCATCTGAATACATTGAAAATGCTAATGAAACACATTCTTATTTCATATTTGAACCAGATAATCTAGTTGTTGTTGTATTTGTATTTGAAAATTTAGTATCAAGTCTTAAACTACTACTTAATTAATCTAGATTTTTTTTCTCTTCAAAAATATATTCTTTAATTTCTAATTAATATCCTTTAGCCATAGTCAACATCCAAGGATGAATGAATACTTATTCCATAGTTAATCTATCCTTAGAATCTCTTTTCATAAGTCCTAAAATCAAATCTTTAGCCTACAAAATTATAAAATTATTTTACTTAATCACTAGCTGTAATTTCAAATTATTCTTACTTTAAAATATTTTAACATTTTTCAAAATCATTTCTACCTTTAAAAGGAGCTTAACCATGAATTAATTCATAAAGTAATACTCCCAAACACCACATATCAAGAGTTTAATCATGAGGTTTATCTTCTAACATTTCTGGAGTCATATAATCTATTGTTCCACAAAACGTATTTCTTGTTTAAGTTATCATCATTTCTGCAGACCATCCAAAATCACAAATTTTTATATTTCCATCTTTATCAAGTAGTAGATTTTCAGGTTTTAAGTCTCTATGTATAATTTATTTTTTATGTAAATAATCTATTCCAAGACATGTTTAAAAGAAATAAACAAAAGCTTCATTTTCAGGTAAAATCTTTCTCTTTCTCAAATATCCAAATAATGAACCATTTTCTATATTTAATTAAAATTTATTACCAGCATACTCCAAAATTAAATAAACGTATTGTTCATCTTCAAAAAATTCAAATAACTGAATTACATGAGGATGTTGAAGTCTTTTTTATATTCGTATTTCTCTTCTTAAATTTTCTATTGAAATATCTGATTTTTCAATCTATAAATAATAACTTATTTTACTATTTTCATTGCATACAATAAACCTGTCTATCTATCCCTAGCTAATTTCACACAACCAAAACTTCCTCTCCCTAGTGATCCTTAATTGACTATTTCAAATTCTGATACATTTCTCTTGGGTAGTTCTGATTTGCATTCAAATTTATGAGAAACAGCCCTCTTAATTAGTATTCATATCATTACCAATCATAATCACGGCATTTTTTAGAACAATATGAGATTTTCTGACATAAAGGACATGTCAGGAAGCCTTCATCATTACAAGACTTGCATTTAGAAATCATAAATAAATAAATTATATTATATTATAATTTTTAATTCTTATATATTGAATATATTTAATATAATTTATCATTTTTACATTAATAGTGGATTTCTCATTTAATTAAATATTAATTAATCTGAATTAATGTTCATTTAAGATGAGAATTATTAAAAAAATTAGAAAGTAAATTATCTTATTTTTATGAAATAAATATCAATCAAATGATATTATTCTCCATTATTAACTCAAAATTTCATTATTTATTATTTATTAAAGATTAATTTAATGCCAAAAAATCATTACAATTCAACTAAAAATAAATACCATAAGACAACTATAGAACTTCCTTATGCTTAAAATGTTATACCTGTAAAATAAGGAATACATAATTTAATTGAGAAAGCAGAGAAGCTTTTAAGAGAAGAAAGTAATAAATCAAAATTATATTAGAATTTTCTTCTATCCATTTAGTTGCTTATGATAAAACAGCCCCCAGTGCTTTAATGATGGCTAAAATCTTGAAAGATAAATTTCCTAAACTTCATGAAGTATAGAGTTTATTTTAATTCATTCTAGATTACTTTAATTGAAAGCATTGAGAAATTTTACCATTATGAACCATTAGAGGAGGGATTAATCGATGTTAATATTAGTGTAAAAATTCCATCAATCATTATAAAACTTACATTTAATCCAACCTAAGAAGAAATGGCAAAACCAGGATATTAAAGATCGTTATTTGATGAAAGATCTGCACAATTACTTAAATATCAAGATCCTATGATGAGAGAACTATATGATAATTCATCAGCAGCTGATACATAACAAGAAGAAAGTTAAGAAGATGAAGATTAGGAATAAATAGAAGAGGATTAAGTTGATAATAGAGAGGGTGAAAGATATTATAGAAGTTAAGTAGATTTTAGATCTTCTTTATAAGAATCAATGATTAAGCATAAGGATATTTTTGCAACACCTTAATAAGATTAAATTGGTCAATCTAATAAAATAAGAACATAAGATTAAAATTATAGATAAGAGTTTGATATGTAGTAAAATAAGAATTAAAAATATGATAACAGACAATAGGAGTATTTTCATTATGCTCATAACTTTAAACATTCTAAAGTACCTGATGATGATGATGGCTTTGAAGAAATATCAATCCCAAGACAAAATTAATATTCAAATTCTAATTCTTAGAAATTCTAACATTAGCCTCCCTACCAATAATAAAGATAATAATATGATCCAAATTAATAATATTAATAAGATTTTGTGAATTCTGGATAATATCAGAATAATTATAACAAACCAGTTAGAAATACCGAATAAAGAAAAAAAAGATTGGAAGAATAACTTACAGATTCTTAATCATAATTTTTTAATCAATCTAATATATCTACACAGTAATTTGATAGAACCTAAGGGAGCTTCCAAAATTAAGATGGATTTGGTTAATTTAATTATCCAAATTCAAAGTCTAATTTTATTAGAGAAGAAAGGAATATGATCAACATGGAATAATAAAACACACAGAATTTTAATTTAAATAGGGATATAAGGGATGATAGAGATATGAGAGATAATAGAGATAATAGGGATAACAGAGATAATAGGGATAATAGGGATAATAGAGATAAAAGGGATAATAGGGATAAGAGGGATAACAGAGATAATAGGGATAATAAAGATAATCGAGATAGAAGGGATAACAGAGATAACAGAGATAATAGAGATAATCGAGATGGAAGGGATAACAGAGATAACAGAGATAATAGGGATAATAGAGATAATCGAGATGGAAGGGATAACAGAGATAACAGAGATAATAGAGATAATCGAGATGGAAGGGATAACAGAGATAATAGAGATGGAAGGGATAACAGAGATAATAGAGATAATAGAGATAATAGAGATAATAGAGATAACAGAGATAATAGAGATAACAGAGATAATAGAGATAGAAGGGATAACAGAGATAATAAAGAAAAGAGGGACAACAAAGAAAAAAAGGATTATAGGGACAATAAAGATAATAGGGAAAAAAATTATAATCAGAACAATTAGGAGAAAAGAAAAAATAACGATAATAAGGATTAAAACTATAAGAATAAGGGAGGAATCAAATAAACAGGATAAAATGAAATAATCAACAATTTGGATAAAAGAAGAGAGCTAAACGAGAAAATGTGTACTCCAATGTGAAAAATGTTTTTAATTTATATTATCATATCAAATTATCCTAATCATTATAGATTTATTGGACATATTGCAAAATTTCCTAATGACAATAATGACAAAATCGTCAAACTGACTATAAAAGATAAAATCCAAATTTCCTTAAATATATTATAAGTAAAAAAATTGTTAAAAATTTGCAATTAATATTATCAGATAAGTGAACGGTAATTATAATCAATATTAAATAAAAAAACTAAAAAGAATATTAAAAGTTTAATAGATTTCTAAAAATATTTATTTATAACTTTGATACCAAATTTGTTAATTAATGATATCATTTATTTTCTTGTTCTTTTTTTAGTTTTAGAAAGATTAAAACCTTTGAATGAATTTATCATAAGCTTTATGTTTAATTTATAAAGTATTATCAATAAACTATAGTAATTATAACATATCAACAAGATTTTCTTATTGAATTTTACTTAATGTTGTATAAATAATAATGTACCAAAAATTTACGAATAAATAACATTATTTATGTTGAATATTTAGAGAATCACTCTTCATTAAATAATAGTTTGCCTTTTGGAATGGATAATCTACTTGATTAAACTTTCTATTATTAATAGACGAGACCCATTTTTTATTTAGCAAGAGGTGGCAATTAATATCTTTACTTTTGAAGTTAACCAAAATTAGTCTCACTTCTAAGCATGGATTTGTAATTTAGTTAACCTGTTATGCATTTATCTTTCACATTCGATCTAATTATTTTCAAACAATAAAAATTACAAAATATAGGTGTCTCTGCCTGTTCCATCTCCTTAATAATTAATTCTTGGTGATGAATAATCTTATTGTAAACTATAGTTGTATTTCAATCTTAAAGAAGTAGGCTATTTAGGTGAAACTAAAAAGCGAAACTCTTAAGCAAAATTTCCTCCATTGTTATAAGAAATATAAGTATCTCTTCCTTGCCCATCATTTAAATAAACGGTTGGTTTTTTTTCAGGAATAGAGCCAGTGTTCAATATTTTGGATTTCATTTAAAAATGATATTAATTAATGAATTATCGATAGAAATAATAAAAGAATTTTCAAAAAGCCAATACATCGATTACCTAAACTTTATTTTATTCTGACTATGAAATTTTTACAACAGATTCAACAGGCTAAATATATATGAATTAAATAATTACTTTTCTACATATTAAACACTCTTATTTTTCAGTGAACCATTCGGTAGCACATTTCACACATAATCCACCATGTCCACATGGCATATAAACTGCACAACTTTCATTTTAATAACAATTAAAACATTGTGTATCTTTGTCTGAATTGATTTCAGTAAGAGATATACGATTACTTAATTTTGGTTATTCTTAATCTGTTTTATTCTTCTTGGAATGTTATTGTTATTGAATTTATTATTATTATGATTGTTTTAACTATGGTAAATTATCATTATCAATAGCTGGTAAAAAGTAGGTTTGTGATAATCTAATCTAACCATAAATATTAATAAGATACCAAATACTAGGGTAGTTGAGTTAAAATCTATTCTTTACTTTTAATCAAATGATTTTTATGTTTAGAACTTGGAGAATTTAATTAATATCTTTATTAATTATCAGTATTGACTCCAATATTGTTATCTATTCCTCTCTATTATTAGATTTAACAAATAAATAGACTTTAATAATACATTATATTTTAACCTTAAAGAGATTCGATAATACATAGTATAGACAATAAACACTAATGAGTATATAACTGACAAGGTAATTGACAGAGAATTGTAACTGTTTTATCCTGTTGACAATTTAATAGTATAGCAAATCATGCTAAAAGTGGGTAGACCAGAAATGCATAAGGCTAGTAAATTAATCCATAATGATCCTATAACTAAACCTTCTCAATATGTATACTCTACTAATTAATTGCTTCCCTATTGATTGGATCTCTTTCTTACAACAATTATGTGGCTTTGCAAATAAAATCAAATAAAAAAATGATTTAAAAAATACAAATTAAAGCCAAGAATATCCAGAGTATTGTAAATATATATATCCATTACCAATCTATCCATTCAATTTATTTAAGATTAATTAACATTAGTTAGAGAATTAAAAAAAATCTGAATAAAACTGTCAACTAAATTAATTTTCAAAATTTACAACTAAAGTAAAGCTTTTTTCATTTTTATTTTTAAAATAATTGTGTAATACCAAAACAAACCATGTAAGTGTGAATATTAAATGCATAAGTATTGGATATTAAATAGGAAAATCATTATTTTCTAAGAAATACATTAAGCATCCCTTAAATGCTAAAAATATAAATTACATAATAAGAAATTGAGAGAATTCCCCAAAATATCTATATGCAACAATATTGATTGTTGTATAATTTTCTAGACAAAATTAATAATTAAACTTTACTTATTATTATATACACCAATCTTAATGATTTAAAGAAAATGCAAAATTGTAACATATAGAAGGGATATCTTATAGCTTAAATCAAAGGCGATATATGAATTAAACAGTATTAAGAATATTTAAAATATAGCAACTAAAATTTATATCTAAATTCCTTATATGAGTAAGATTACATTAGTGATAATTGATAGTGCTGCTCTACTTTAATGTAATTGAATTGACTATATTTGAGGTTATTCTTCATAATCGAAATTACTTTCTCTTGGGGACTATGCTTATGATAATTATAATTAATTCATTTATTTTTCTAATAAATTTAATATGAGAAGGTAATACCTTAGATTTTTTTTTGCAATGGGCACATCTTAAAAATTCATTCACAGGATGAGAATTCCAAATTATTAGTTTTCTCAAACCACATAAGCAAATGATTATAGAGCAATTTTAAATTAACTTAACAAATTGCATTAAGGAAAATAATTAGATCAAAAATGTAAATGAATAATTTAATTTTGAAAGAGGTTTCAAGTTTAATATAATAATTAAAGCCATATTTACCTTAATTTGAAAATTAAGAAATAAGAGAATTAGTATCCATATGTTTTTAATAGTAAATAAATGATGAAAATTATGCATAAAAAGTATTTGATAGAACAACATAATTATATCTAGAATAGTAATATTAACAATATAATAAATTAGATAAGCCTCCTTGACAGAAACTCTTGACATATTATCCCTATTAGTGTCAGGAAATTACTCAAAATAATTTTTTTAATAATAATTCAATTTTGTAGCTGCTGTATCATAGGCTCCTGATTTAAATGCATCATAAATTGGGTTGGCTATGTTTATTTATGGATAAGTTTCATAGTACACTAAGTCAACAAATAAAGAAGTAGAGCAATCCTTTATTTTAAATTTCAAATAACAAATAGATCATTTTAAGTCAGGTGATCTTAAACATTTCTCTTTTGGTTTGATATTGGCTAGGATTCAAAGGAAGGATATATTTGATTTATTGGAAAAGCAGACCTTAGTTACTGAGATGGAATTTTAAGATTTAATAAGGTATATATCATTTTATATTCTAAATATAGAGTTGGTACAGGAATAGCATTATTTGGTAATGGATCACCTGAATTTTGGAAATTATTGGAAGAATAAGCTATAAAGAATATCCCAACAACAGAGCCTTAAAATATTACAACCTTATTTATGTTATATAAACAATTTGGACATGGAACATTTGAAATTTTTAAACTTTTTGAATAATAATTCATTGAGAGATATGATTAATTCAACAATCTTTTAAAATTACAAATGTTTTCAAGCTTTGCTAAAATCAGATACCCTTCTTCTGCAATTTTTAAACTCTTTTTCAGAGATATTGTTGGAATAATTTAGAGTGTCAATATTACAGCAGTATAAATGTTAATTTTTGATTGTTAAAAAGTAAGAAATCAAATTAAATTAATTTAGATTTTCCCCTAATTCCCTAAGCAAGTCCAACAATTCTTTATTAACTTCATTTTAAAACATTATTAAAAATTTAACCCAGTTATAAAATCAAAACTTTATGATTCATTTTAAGAATAATAATTATTGACTGAGGAATTAGAAGTTGCTTTGTTAAAAAAAAAATGAGTATAATATTAAACGATTCATATTTAATAAAATTATATATTTATAAATATATAAACAATAACTACTATCAAATAAAAATAGTTTATGCACAGACCTAAACCTCATATAAGAGTAATGTAAGAAAAGGAAATGTTAGATGGATATAGTAGACTTTAGTAAATAGGACCACTCATAACTATACCTAGAACTATTGATCGCATACCAAATATGAAGAAAGTATAGATTTTAGAAGATAGATACACTTAAATTGAGAAGGATAATAGATTATTATTAGAGAAGATCACAAATATTATGAATAGTACAAATATCAAACTTGATAAGCCAAAGAGAATAAGTAGCTTAAATTCAAGAAAGAAAACTGAACAAGATTAAATAAGAAGAGATAATTTAATATTGTTTAAACATATCACTACAAAAAAATCATCATATTCAAAATAATAATACGATAAGGAGTGGAACTAAACAAAATAATATTTTTATAATTTATCTGGATTAAGACCTTCAACATAAAAAAATAAGGGACTTATCAGATCCTTTGAATTTTGACTTCTTATTAACTTATTAAATTTGTTTTAAAAAGTTTTATCTTGATTATAAAATATTAATTCATATTATTTTTAGAACAATGTATTCAGTTACAATAAGTATATTAATTCTTAAATAACCAAAAGGTCATAAAAAAATAATAATTTTAATCTCAAAATAAGGTTCATCATTCCTCTTAATTTTGTAAGTTACTAATAATTTATTAATATATTTATTTATCTAACTTATGAGTGATTAAGACTCTTCTCATATTGCACTTATTGTTGTGTTCAGTATATTTATTGGACTCTACTTAATTATATTGACTATCTTACATTGTTTTGGAAAGATAAACAATATCATATTTCCAGCTCCACTTCCGATGTATGAAGAAAAATATTTTGAGGGCAAACTATATTTTGCTAACCTCTATAATTAAGATGGTAATTTGGGTAAAACTAAAATAAACGTAGTTAATGGAAAGCCAACTGATTATTCATAAAATCTTGAAAAAGTTAGAAGCCTTCCTTATGTTTATATTAAAAATAAATATTCAGAAACGAATTTATATATAATATATTTTCATGGCAATGCAGAAGACATGTACATATTATATTTAATAGGTTTAGGTATGCAGCTTCAATATTTATGGAATAATTAATGAAAATGATTAATGCAAATATGTTTGTAATAGAATATCCAGGTTATGGTATATATAGGAATTTCTAAGCGACTTCAACATTAATAGAGCAAGATTCATTAGTATATTACGATGAAATTAAAAAGGAGTTCAAATTAAATGATGAATAAATCTATGTTTTTGGAAGGTAAGTTATAATTTATATTAAGATCAATTGGCACTGGGCCTTCATTTTATTTAGCTAATCAAAGAAATATTAGAGGATTAATAACTATGTCTGCTTATAAATCAATTAGACATATAATAAGTGATTTTTGTTATGGATGTGGATGCATTTTAAACTTCTTATGTTGTTTGCCTAATTTCTTTAGAAATTTAGAAAGATCATAAGAAATTAAATGTCCAATAGTGTTGATTCATGGATTAGATGATCCTCTAATTAAATCGCATCATTCCTAAGAAATCTATTAAAAGTATTTAATATTATAATAATTTAAGTCTTCCTATTAATATTTAATAATAATCTAATCTCCATTTAAGGCCAAGAATGACACATAATGAATATGATATTGATGACGATATTGCATGTCCAATATTAGAAAGTTTTACTGATTTAAAATAGAAGAAGTTTTCATGATTTTTTTCCTTTATTTATTATTCTAAATATAAATATATATATATCAATACAAAATTTAATAGAATTAATGGATTATCTTACTTATTAGCTCTGCTTAATATTAACATTATTAATGTTGTTCCTTGTTTTAATGATGTTGTTTTCTCGTTCAAAAAGATTTCGTTCATTCATTTAAAAGATAAAATCCTAATTAGAAAGTCTATTAGATAAGATTATATTTCCAGCAAGATCATGTAATGAATATTAGAACATCAGCTAATAAGATCTTAAAGTCTTTAGTGTAGTTAGAAAAAATGGTAAATTTAGTATATATTAACTTTAAAGTGGGAGAAGAGATTTAGAATTAGAGGTGCAATAATATAGAATTGAATAGGATCGTTCTTTATGCTTACCTTAGAAATGATTCATTTGCAAATACAGAATACAATGTCATCTATTTTCATGGAAATGGAGAGACGATGTAAGTTATTTAATTAAGAATATAGAGATGAAGCAGCATATTTTGTAAGAAATCTTATGAAATCTTTATAATTTAATGCATTTTTAATAGAATATCCAAAATATGGCATTTATAAATATACTGAAACAAGTGCCAAGATAATATTAGAAGATTCTATTCTAGCATATGAACATATCAAAGATGAATATTAGCTAGATGAAAGTAAAATATTTATTTTTGGAAGGTATTAATTTTTAATAAAAATAGATCAATTGGAACAGGACCAGCTATACATGTTGCTTCATAAAAGAAATGTAAAGGTTTGATTATTATTTCTGCTTTTAAGTCTTTAAAATCACTTATTAGAGAAATGGTTTTTGGAATTGGATACTTGGTTAGTAAATTCATGGATGAAAGATTTAATAATGAAGAGAACATAAAAAAAATTCAATGTCCTGCTTTATTTATTCATGGTGTTGATGATACTCTAATTCCTTCAACTCATTCAATTTTCCTTTAAAAATAGTAAAATATTAACTTTAATTTAGATTAAATAATTAAAATAAGGAATCGAGATTAGAACTATTTCCTCATATGGCTCATAATAATATTACTGAATTTAATTATGAGATTTCAGAGAAAATTTCATTAAATTTTAGAGAATTGAGTAAAGCAAATGATTGATATATATTTATTATTACTCAATAAGAAATATATAACAAATTAAATATTCATTAGTAATCTTCATCACTATTAACTTACTCTTCTGCTTCTTAAATTAATTAATTCCAATTTGTTTCACCTACTTCTGATTAGAATTATTATTTTTTTTAAATATCTTCTTATTTATTTAACTCTCCTTTTAAAATTCTTTTTAAGAAATCTCTTTCTTCATGTAAAATCTTTTTAACTATAATATTTATATAATGTTAATACTTTTTTAAAACATTTCTTTTTCTTTAATATTTACTATATTATCTGGTTTTTCTTCTTCAATAACTTCTATTATTTCTTATGGTTGCCATTGCTTTTTTTCTTATTCAAAATCAACTTCATCAACCTTTAATTTATAAGTAGGACTCATGACATGTTATTGTAATTCTTTGACATTTTCTTAAGCATCTTCTAAAATTGTTAAATTTGTTGTTGTTGCTTTTTCAATATTAATTCTATCTTTAGATTATAACAATCTTCTTCTTTTATCATTAAATTCATCTTTATCTAACATTAAACCAAGTTTAAATATGCATTTGTTTTTTAATTCATCATCTTCTCCAATTACCTCTTCAACCTTTGCTAACCCATTTGTTCCATGTGGACTTAAAGATGCTCTTCTTTTTTGATATTTTTCATTCCTTTTTAATCTTGGAGGAATTCGTTCTCTAAATTCATTGTTATCATTTACCATCTAGAAGTGTGGCAAACGACTCATCTAATAATTGATTAAATCTTGTATTACTAAATAATCTTCAATATCTTCTGAAACTTCAGTTACAGAGCCTAAAGCAAAAGAGGAACTTCGATTTGCACTCTTTTTACTTTTCCTAGATTTTTTATCAATTCCAAAATCACTAAAGCATTCTTGAGATCCTTTTCTCGAACTTGATGAAGATGATGAACTCATGCTAATTCAATAGATTAAAAATCTTACCTTGTGCTGCTTGTAAAAAATTGAGTATCCATGACAAAATAATTAAAATATTGACAAATAAAAATGTCCAGATATTCACATAAAAACTTAGTCTCATTATCACTCTTCAAGATCTAATTTACTTTTTATGACGCATTTTTAAACAAAATCTAAATTCAATTTTTACTATTTATTTTTTGTGTACTGAATTATAAATTAAATTATAAAAATGTACAAGTTGATATCAAAAATATAGATTCTCATTAAATACTTCTATTTCTTTACACATTAGTAAAACCAAATTTTAGTAAGGATTAAATATATCAATTTATACNTCCTTTTAAAATTCTTTTTAAGAAATCTCTTTCTTCATGTAAAATCTTTTTAACTATAATATTTATATAATGTTAATACTTTTTTAAAACATTTCTTTTTCTTTAATATTTACTATATTATCTGGTTTTTCTTCTTCAATAACTTCTATTATTTCTTATGGTTGCCATTGCTTTTTTTCTTATTCAAAATCAACTTCATCAACCTTTAATTTATAAGTAGGACTCATGACATGTTATTGTAATTCTTTGACATTTTCTTAAGCATCTTCTAAAATTGTTAAATTTGTTGTTGTTGCTTTTTCAATATTAATTCTATCTTTAGATTATAACAATCTTCTTCTTTTATCATTAAATTCATCTTTATCTAACATTAAACCAAGTTTAAATATGCATTTGTTTTTTAATTCATCATCTTCTCCAATTACCTCTTCAACCTTTGCTAACCCATTTGTTCCATGTGGACTTAAAGATGCTCTTCTTTTTTGATATTTTTCATTCCTTTTTAATCTTGGAGGAATTCGTTCTCTAAATTCATTGTTATCATTTACCATCTAGAAGTGTGGCAAACGACTCATCTAATAATTGATTAAATCTTGTATTACTAAATAATCTTCAATATCTTCTGAAACTTCAGTTACAGAGCCTAAAGCAAAAGAGGAACTTCGATTTGCACTCTTTTTACTTTTCCTAGATTTTTTATCAATTCCAAAATCACTAAAGCATTCTTGAGATCCTTTTCTCGAACTTGATGAAGATGATGAACTCATGCTAATTCAATAGATTAAAAATCTTACCTTGTGCTGCTTGTAAAAAATTGAGTATCCATGACAAAATAATTAAAATATTGACAAATAAAAATGTCCAGATATTCACATAAAAACTTAGTCTCATTATCACTCTTCAAGATCTAATTTACTTTTTATGACGCATTTTTAAACAAAATCTAAATTCAATTTTTACTATTTATTTTTTGTGTACTGAATTATAAATTAAATTATAAAAATGTACAAGTTGATATCAAAAATATAGATTCTCATTAAATACTTCTATTTCTTTACACATTAGTAAAACCAAATTTTAGTAAGGATTAAATATATCAATTTATACGTTAAATTAATATCAATTGAAAAATGAGATTTCAGATAGTTGTATTAGATTTACAAATTTATTCTTATATGATCCAATTTCTAAAAATAAATAGGAATTTAATAACTTTACTAATATATTAGAAATTCTAATAAATGATTAAATATATCCCTTTAAATTTAAAGAGTGATTTTTTTCCTTAGAGATATAAATTGTATTATTTATTGATGATTTTTGTATTATTTTCTTAATAGGGTATAATAATAATTATTATTATTAATAAAATTTTAGTTTAACCAATTAATACTATTGTTAATCTCATTTGAAGAGTGTGAAGTCTTTAATTTTTATTTATTTTTTTTATTTATTTTCATAAATATTTGATTTTGTTATTTAGAATTTGATTAAATTTATGTATATTGATATAGTTTTCTTGTGATATTAAATTATCTCACATCAAATAAAATAATTTATATAAATCTCTTAGTCTTATGATAGGTAATCTTAAGGGTTATTTTTACATCTACTCATAGCCTTATACGAACATTTATTAGCACACTAAAGTAATAAATATTATTTCTATTTACCAACTTTTTGATATGATAATCAATATAGTAGATGTAAGTACATACGATGTAGATGGAACAAGAATAATGTTGATAGCTAGAATTATTGTATCAATATATAAAAATTTTAGATTCAAGCCGGATTACTTATAGTATTTTGGTTGATTTTCAAGTGTTTAAGAAAATTAAGAAATGGTTTCCTTAATGTTGCTACATTTATATATTTTATTTCACTTTTTATATGCTGGACTGAAACTGACTATTATTTATTTAATGAAATGAAGTAACCTTATACTAGTTATACAGCTGAAATATACATACTGTTACTAGCTTTAGTGATATTGCAAGAATCTTAAATATGTTAAACAATATCTCTATTATTTTCGTTATTCTACTCTCTTTTTCGGTATAAATATATTATTATAAGAATAGAATCTAGCTATTCTAAAATAAAATTGATATTCTTTCTTCAATTAGGATAGTATTAATTCATGTAGCAATTTAAATATTTTTGTTATAACTACCTTAGCAGAAGTAGAAGTTAAATAATCAACTTGTAATGTTGGGTTAGTAGTCTAAAAATTATGTTCCTATGCAAAGTAATAGACAATCTTAAGTAAATTAATAATAAAGACTTTCAACCTACATAAATCAATAAAATTATGATATTACATAGAGATTAAAGTAACAATTTAAAGAAAATGAAATTGCAGTATCAGAAGAAAATAGATTAGACACTGAAAGATAAAATTTAGACTAATTTTATGAAAATGTTTTAAATAATATACAAATAGGCATATTTATAGTAGATAATTTATAAAGTGCAGTTAAATCTATCAATCCTTATATGTCACATCTAGTGTTAAAGGATGATTAATTGAGTGATGAGTTTTTGAATTATGAAATGTTTGATTTTGGAATTGCATTTGAAGATAATTTAACAGTTTTACCTAAATTTCATAGAAGTAAAGATATAGGAAATTTTATCAAATTTATGCAAACTCTTGAGTAAGAATTTATTATTATTATTATTGTGCTTAGAACATAAATTATGAGAATGGAAATATTGGATTAAAAGAAGTTTAATTTTTTCATAAATCTATGAAAATTAAAACTTTGATTGAACATCTACTACCATTTTAACATTTTAAATTCAATTAATGTTAAAATTTAATAGATTTCTCACTTAAAATCTATTTAAAAAAAGGTATTAAAATATATAAATATAAATAAATAAAGATAATCTATATACAAGTGTTGTATTATCACCTATATTATAAAGACATAGACCTTAATTAATACTATTTGTATCAGATCTTACAGATGAACCCTTTATGACATAATTGAATTAATTTAATTAAAATAGTGATTAATTGGTTTCAGATATATCATAAAAAATTAAGTAACCTTTAAATTGTACAATATCAATGTTAGAAATTACAATTGTATTTTTATTTAATTTCTATTTAGCATTCTGTACCATTTGAAATACAAGAAAAGTTTTTAAATCCAGCACTTGCAGGTTGTAAATTATTGATCAGTACAGCTAATGATATTCTTGATTATGTTACGATAAGGAAAAAAGGAAAACTAGAATTATGTTAAATGGATGTTCATATAAGGTATTTAATTTATATTAATAATTAGGGAATTTATAACTGATTCAATAAATATTATTAAATCTTAAGCTCTATTTAGAGGATTATAAATTCAAGTAAATGTTAGACATAATGTACCTGCTTTTTTTAGAACAGATCCTAATAGATTAAGATAAATCTTATTAAATTTATTAGTAAGTTCAATTTAAGCTACAATTAATGGAACTATTACTGTATCTGCAAGCAAATCAACTTTAATGTAGGATCATATTGAACTATTGATTAAAGTGAATGCATCAGAAATAAATTAATCAGTTTTAAAAACAATTGATAAAACTGTGAGATTTTTCAAATCTTAAAATTTATTGGCATCTACAATGATAGATTTAGCAAATGCAGGTAGAAAATATAGTTAATCTATATTGATAGCATTTTGTTTATCACTTAGTATATCAACAATACCTTTTGAATATCATTATGAGAAAAATTTAGATCATGAAGAATTTTGTTTCAAAATTTAAATTTAAAACAAAAATCCAAATTTTTCATAATAATTAAATTTTAAAAGATAATCTGCTCTAAGTTTTTAACAGTAAAGTTTTAAATAATCTTTTTCAATTGATCAAGGATTCCGTAGACATTAATCATCAAGATAAAGTCTATTTGATAAAGCTAGTATAACAATATAAGGATAATTAGAAAAATAGAAACTTAAATAATAATAGTCTTAATAGTAATAATAATAAAAATTATAATCATAATCATAAGTGTTAGCTACTTAATCCTAAAGAAAAGAGTCTGCAATTAAATTATCAACATCTTTTGGATAATAAAATTAATCTCGTTTCATAGTACCTAGAACATCTTAAGGTGATATTGATGTAGATTTTTTGCCTACTTTTAAGACAATAAAATCTTAAGATTAAAGTAGAAAGATTAAATAAATGATTTCTCATTCTAAATCTGATATATCTATAGTTTCTGAGTAAGAATCTAAGGAATCTAAAGGGGATAATGAAAGTTCTCATAATAGTTTAGATGTAGGAGTTCAATTAGATTAATTCTTATACAAATAAACAAATGAAACTGGAAAGATTAATGAAAATGATTCTCCTTTGGTTGTTATGCAATAATCAATAGCCTATACTTATAATAATAATATTACACCAAGTAGAAGAGATTCAGTCTTAACATTTGGTGGTAGATCAAGTATATTTTCATCAATGAGATATTCAGCCAGTATTATGTAACCAAATGATTTAATTGATTGTTTTGAAAAGATGGAAAGAATTAAATAATAAAAATATACTTAAAAATGTTAAGTATAATATTATAATCTTATATTTTATAGTGTCCAAGGATTTTGATTTGTGAATAAAATGATTTTGATTTATATGCTGTATCTCATTAACTTGGTAATATTGGGATGAATTATGATTATACAATGTAGAGAACTTAGATACATGAAAAATTAAAAACAGCTTATGAAGTTGAAAAGTCTTGTTGCAAAGGATATTAATTGATATTTATTAGTGTAGAGTTTGTAGATGAAGAATTAGGGGAATAATGCAATATAATTAAAAACATAAATTCTCAATTTAAAAAGGAAGCACGAATTATAGGATTAATAGGATTTCAGGATGATGAGAATAGGATTGCTATAAAGAAGTTACCATTTCATGATTTTCTATCAAAACCATTGATGATAGATGCTTTATTGTTTATACTAGCAAAGTGGGTGAAATTGTGATTGTTAAATTAATAAATAATTTATATAGTAATAAATACAAATGCTATCAAATTACTTTAAGTTAAATCCAGAGACATATTAGAACTTTATTTTATGGAAATCAACTATGACTATAGTATCTTTGTATTAATGTTTCGATATTGTCATAACCATAGCCTAAGCTTTGAATTATTAGATTGAAGGATAAAAATTGGTTTTCATATATCGCATAATGGTAATTGAACAATTCATGATTTTAGATATAAGTATTATTGATAATTGTATTTCATATTGTAATGGGTAAATTAAAAAGAGAAACTAGCTTTTTAATTAATATAATTACATTGCTTAAATATTTCAGTCTAATAATATTATGGTGTGAAACTGATTATGACTTAATTTACACAAGTGAATATGACTAAAGAAGTTATGCATTTGAAATATATGGAATTATGATTGTATTTCTGATTGCAATTGAGTCACAACTTTGCAAAACTTTGATCATTATATTTTCACTCTTTTATTCTCTATTTCGGTATAATTTATACAATTATACTCTAGATTTCCAGCTTTTACTAATAATATAGAAATTATAGGATCTACTAGAATAATCTTTGGACATTTAGTGATCTAATCTTTATTGCTTTATCATTTATATTAAACTCAAAATTCAAATGATGTTTTTATCACTAGAAATTTAAGTCCTTTACTTACATAAAGAGCTGCTCATACAAATACTTAAAGAGAAATGACAGAACCATAAAATAAAAAAAATAATATTCCTGATATGGTAAATGATGAATTTGAAAATCTAAATAATTTAAAACAATTAGAGGAACAATATGAATTATTATTGATAAATTTCTAATGTGGAATCTATATATTTGAAAATGTTTAGCAACCAATAAGAATAATAAATTCATTTATGTCCCACATTGTTTTAATCAATGATTAATTAAATCCAGAGTTAACTTAGCTAGAATTGTATGATTTTGGTTTACTCTCAGAAGAATCATGTACTATATTGCCAAGTTTTCATCGAAGCAAAGACATCAGTAATTTCATCAAATTTACTTAAACTCTTGAGTACTAATATATTAATGTATTTGAACATAGAATATTTAATTTGATAATGTGTAACCTGAAGAAAAGAAAGAGATACAATTTTTTTGTAGGAAAATGTAAATGTAAACTTTGATAGAACATCTGCTTGCTTTTTCACATATAAAATATAATTTAACTAATTTTGCATTAGATTTTTCATTAAAAATTTATATAAAAAAAGGTAATTTTCCATTAAAATATAATAGATAAACTTTACACTTAGGTTATTTTGAATCCTGTTATCATATCAAATAAACCTTAAATTATATTATACATTAATGATTTAACTGAAGAACCATTCATAATATAATTATAATAATATCTAAAAAATAGTGATGATGTTATTTAAACTATTTCACAAAAGATGAAAGAACCTTTGAATTGTACATTATCAATGTTAGAATTAGTATAAGTAATACATTAATATTAATCTAAAATAGAAAGAAGTTAGTTAAGATTTATAAACTAAATATATTGATCCAGCATTAGCAGGATGTAAACTTTTAATTAGTACAGCAAATGACTTTTAAGATTATGTTACATTGCATAAAAAAACTAAATTAGATAGAAATTTAATGGATATTCATACTAGAGAATTTGTTTCAGATTGTTTAAATATTATTAAAGCATAAGCTTTATTTAGAGGATTAAATATGCAAGTACATATTAAATAAAATGTTCCTATGTTTTTAAGAACTGATCCTAATAGAGTTAGATAAATTGTATTAAATTTATTAAGTATTAATATGTGTTATTTTAATAGTCAAATCTATTCAGGTTACTATCAATGGTAGTATAGAGATTTCTTGTTAAAAATCACCTTTATTAACTGATCATATTGAAATTATCATAAAAGTTATGGCTCAAAATGTAAATGAAGGCATTCTAGATAGTATTGAATAAACACTTAAGCATTTAAAATAATAGACTTTAGTTAGTAAATAAGTTATAGATATTGTTGCAACTTCAAAATAATATTCTTTTTCTATAATTACAGCATTCTATATATCAATGGCTGTAGCTATTATGCCTTTTGAATTTAATTCAATAAAAACTGAAGAAGGTACTTAGTTTTATTTTATTTTATTGATTAAAAATGAAAATCCCAATTTTAATAAATAACTAACATAAAAAAGATAATCTGCATTGGTTGCTAATAAGTCTCAATTTCATTAAGTTTTTGGTTAGAGTAGTCAATTTAAAAGACATTAATCATAAAGATTAACAGAAATAAGTAGAATTTAAGTATAAGAGAAACTCAAAAAAATGAAAAGAGAATCTTAAGAAGAGACTGTATCTGGTAAAATGGATCCTTAATTACCTTAATTTGGTTAATCTGAATTATCTGATAATCAATAACCTTGTAAATCTTACTCTGTTTCTTAAATCTCTGAATAAGATGATTCATAATAAAGTTCATCATCAGCAGATTCAAAAGATGAAATGAATAAAATTGAATGTGATGGTGATATATAATCTAGTAAATCAAGTCTTTAAATAAACGATAAAATAGAGAAAATAGAAAAACAATAAAAACCTTCTTAATTTCTTGAAACTATTATTCGTGTTAAAGAACCAAAAGCAAGAAAGATTTCAGTTAGTATTATCTAATCAAGATTAAGTCCTTAAGTCTCATAATAACTTTCATCAAAATAAAGAGATTCATTATTAACTTTTGGAGGACGTTCATCTGTATATTCTTCAATGAGAGTATCATCAGTAAATCTAGGACCAAATGAATTATTAGATTGTTTTGAAAAGATGGAAAGAATAAAATAATAGTAATTTGTTTACAAATGTTAAGTAAATTATATTAATTTATATTTTAGTGTCCAAAGATATTGATTTGTGAATAGAATGATTTTGATTTATATGCAATATCCCATTAACTAAGTAATCTAAAGATTCCATACATTTATACAATGTAGAGAATGCATATTGTAGATTAATTAAGAAAGTAATTTTCACAATTTAAAACTTGTTGTAAAGGATATCATATAATATTTGTTGGAGTTGAATTTGTGAATGAATAATTTAGTACAGATTGTGCTAACATAAAGGCAGTATTAACAGAATATTAAAAAGATACAAGACTAATTGGATTAATTGGATTTTAAGATGAAGATAGCAAACTTGCAATAAAAAAATTACCTTTTCATGATTGTTTGTAAAAACCTATAATGATTGATGCTTTGCTATTTATTTTAGCTAAATGGGTCAAATTGTGATAACTTAATCTTTTTTGATTCTTAATCATGTATATTTATTTGTTATAAAGACTAAAAATCAAATACTTATCTGTATTCTATATATAGATAATGGAATTAACAGAGGATATACATTAATCAGTTTTAATCTATTATATATTTTTAATGAAAACTGTAATTGAAAAAGTTAGAGGGAATCTATCCGGACATAGAATGACTATCAAAGATGTTGTATCAGAAGTTCTTAAAAAATCTGATCCTGAATTCAGTGATGATGAAGAATTGAATGTAAATTTATACATATCTAATATATTTTAAAGATTATAGTTTCATTACTAAAAAAGTAATCATCTCAAAGAACATAATTGGATATTGATAAAATTAGATTGTCATTCTTTAGATTTAAGTTTTTCTAAGAATTAGAATAATAAATGGGTGCTGAAATGGTCTCAGGATTATACAAATAATTGAGTTATGAAATATAACATAAGAGATAAACCGTTTTCAATATAGGGGATTTAGGAAAAAAGTTTTATATTATTTTGAAAGGCAGTGTATGGGTATTGGTTTAGAAGAAAGGTTTGTAAGATGGATCAGGTCCTACTGAAGAAGATTAAAAATAAGAACAAGATTTAAAAGATGAAAAAAATAAAGAAATGATGGAAAATGCAAAAAAGAACACTAAAAAGAATAAAAATAAAAAAAATAAGGCATAAGCATTCTTAACTTAAGTAACTTTAGATGATATCTTTGCTACAATGACTGATAAAGAATTTTTAGAAACTTAGTTTCCTACTTTATAGAAGGTAGGTGAGATAAATTCAGGTGAAAGCTTTGGGGAAATAGCTTTAACAAAATAAGTACCTAGAACAGCAACAATTGTAGCAGCTGAAGATACTCATTTTGCAACAGTGACAAGAGATCAATTTAATAAATTATTGTCTGCATATTATGAGGCTTAATAAAAAATGAATATTGGATTTCTAAGTAAAGTTGCCATATTTTCAGATTGGAATGATTAAATGTTGAATTAACTTTATTATCATTTTAAATAAGAAGAAAAAAAACTATTTTAAATAATCTATAAAGAAAATGAAAATGCTAAGTATTTATATAATAATATTATAACTATAGTCATATATATTTATTGAAATCTGGAGAAGTGGAATTATCAAAATTTATAGATTTAAGTTAATCATCATCTAATAATTCCATTATGAAGAAATTCTTTACTAGAAATGAATAAAAATTGGAAAAGGTAAGAACATCTATAATTACAGCTGGACAAATCTTTGGACATGAAGAAGTCTTAGCTGGAATCAAACGTGAATATAGAGCAATTTGTGTTAGTCAAAATGTATCATACTTTGTATTAGATAAATAAAGATTCTTATAATATTTTTAAAAAGGAGCTGCAATCTAAAAATTACAAAGTTTTGATCAAAATAAAATTAATCAAAGAACTTAATCTTTAGATATAATTAAATAAATAAAAAAAATACCTCAACCTATTGAATATAGAGAAGTTCCATTTATTGAGTAGTAAACATAAAATTAATCAATTCTCAAGAATTCACTTGAGAGAATTGGAAATCCTGTTGAACCTACAGGTTATGAAATGTTGTAAGGTCATGGTCATATCAATAAAGCACATTATAATTTTAGAAGGAATATTAATGTGATTTACTCCAATTTAAAAGATACAGAACCATTATCTTTAGAGAAAGCATTCTTTCAAATGGAAGCCAGTAAAGGTTCTTCAATAAGTATTATTAATAGGGTAATATATTATAATATTATTTAAGATATTTCCAGCTGCAGCAAGACCAAAATATATTATTCCAGATAGTTCAATTTCATCAAAAACGATAATTAAATCTCTTAAGTTACCAAAGATTTTGACCGAAGTTGAATTAGTAATGTTGAACCACAAAAACCAAGACTACTTAAACAGTTTCAAAGCATCATCTATAAGAGGGGAATCATTAAAAACAATAATTTGATACTCATTTATCTTTATTAATATGAGTATAATTTGTACAAAGTTGTTTGATCAATTTAATCAATTATACTCTTCTTTTAATCCTTCATACTTTATCATAGGTGTGACAGCATTTAACTAAGGAATACAGCATTTATCTGATTTAGCTGTAAATTACATGTTAAAAGATGAATACGGTTTATCACCAGCAATGATGGGATTATATTTAAGTTACACAACACTTCCATGGATGATTAAACCATTTTGGGGAATCATAACAGACTCAAAACCATTACTAGGTTACAGAAGAAAATCTTATATAATATTATTTGGAATATTGGATGCATTAGGTTGGATTATGATGTCTAAAAATAAAGATGGTAGTTTAGTTAGTGTATTGTTACTATTATTTTTGATTTAATTATCAATTTGTTTTGTAAATGTAGTAGGAGAAGCAATATTAGTGGAAGTAGCAGCATAAGCTTAGAGAGAATAACAATAAAATAATTTTCAACATGGAGCATCAAGAAATGTATCAATATTTTTTGGTGTAAGAGCAGTAGGTTCACTTTTGAGTGCATACTCATCTGGAGCTTTGTTACATTATTTTACTTATTAATAAAGTACACTATAATTTAATTAATAGTATTTATGATAACCTCAATTTTTCCTATGATTTTAGTTTTTGTTTCATTTTTTTATTAAGAATAAAGAATAGATTTTAATTAGTTGGATTAAAATGATAGAAAAAACAATACTACTTAATGTTTAAAAGACTTTTGGTAATTTTTTAAAAATCCTTTAATTTATAAACCAGTGATGTTAATTTTTGCATTTATGATGGCTCCATCTAGTTCTACAATTATGTTTTTCTTTTATACTGAAGTATTAGGATTTGATCCAAAATTTTTAGGATAATTGAAATTTATGGTAATAAATAGTTTAATATTTTTCAGTATGCTGTAGCTTCAATTTCTGGTGTGTTAATATATAACAATTATTTGAGAGACATATAATTTCGTAAGATATTCTTAGTTACAACATTCCTATATTATTTATGTTATTAATCTATAATAATATTGGTAACGAGAAAAAATGTTGAATGGGGAATAAATGATAAGATCTTTTGTATTGGAGATTAAGTAATGTTATAATTTGTTGGGGAATTGAATATTATGCCAGTATTAGTTTTGGCTTGTAGAATGTGTCCAAAACATATTGAAGCTACTATGTATGCTATGTTAATGAGTACTATAAATTTTGGTATAATTTACTAATTATAAAAAAGGGTCCATGTTAGGTAGTTGGTTAGGAGCTCTGTTTTTGATTTGGATGAAGATTGATTAAACAGACTATTCTAGATTATGGTTATTTATTGCAATTACAGGGATTTTTATATTATTACCATTACCTTGGCTTTATGTTGTTAGAGAAGATGAAATTCTTAAATAAAGAGAAAAACCAATAGAAGAAGATAAAAAAGAAGTGTAAAGTTCTACACCTAGTACTAGCAAACGTGATGAAGTAGAGGAAAAAGTTCCATTATTATCAAATGAAGATAATCCCAATTAATGAAATATCAATGTCGTATTAACAGATACAATTTTTATTTATTTTATTTCACATCTTGACTTCTTTTAATCCATCTAAAATGTATACAAAAGCTGGGGCAGCTTATCCTTCTTTGTAATAACCAAGAACAATGTGGTTTTCCATGTCATATGATTCAGGACAGTAGCTAAATAATAGAATACTAAATAATACAATTAGAGATCATTGAAATTAGCAGAAACCCATTTAATGAATTCGCCAGCTCCCTTTTAGAATGGAGCAACTCTGTTTGGTTTATTTGCTTCTAAATAAGCCTTAACTTTTTTGGCATAAGTTTTGAAATAAGTAACATAATCAGCTTTAGTGAATTAGGTTTCAGCATATTTAAAGGCATCAATGATGTTATTAACTTTTTAGGCTTAATCATCTACACCTCCATCTTCTTCATCTTCGTTCTTACCACCAAAATGACCTCCAGCACCTAAAAATAGAATATTACAATATTTTACCAACATCTACATTGAGAGCACCTTTAACAATATCTTGGGATTACACTTCACCAATAACTCCTTCAAATTTTTCTTCCATATTGAAACTGTCAGAAACGATTTCCTCTCCACTGAATGCATCAACGTAGATCTTCATATAGGTTATTCTAATACCTTCATTTAATTTTTATCTAAAAAAAAGATTTAAATTTGCAATCAGCATTATATATGTTTTATATTAATATATTTATCAGTTATTATGTATTCAAAAAATCCCTATACACGTTCTGCTTTCAAGCAACCAGAACCAAGTTATTATTAATATCCTTAAGATGATTATTACTATTAACCTCAACCACCCCCTTATTATTAATAGCCTCCACCTCCTCCATATTATGAATAACCCTACCCATCTTATCATTAATAGCCTTAACCATCATTTTATGAATAACAATATCCAAATTATCATGATTAACCATACCCTCCCTATTAAACTTCAATTCCAAGAAAAAGTTTCACAGAATCTTCATTAAAGCCCTATTCCAATTATTATGAGGGAGATGGAATGATTACAGATATAGAATATTTAGACTTTCCTGCAGATAAAACATATAAACGTACTCCTCTTAATTAAAGAACTCATAATAAAATAATAAGCAATAAAAAATAAAGTATTTAAACAAATAAATTCTAAATAGTTAGGAATCCTGTTACTATTTTCTTTACTACATTATTAGAATAATTAAATACTGAAAGATCATTAGAGCAACTTAAAAGGAAATTAGTGATTGCCGAAGATTTTCATGTTCCTATTTTATTTAGAGTAACTTTTGATTTCATTCTTAGTTAATTGATAGGAATAATACTTAAAATATTACATTAGAAGAATTGTATTAAGGATTCTATGATCTAGGCATAAAAGTAGACTACAATCAACTTTACTTAGTATACACTAGATTTTCAGAATTGAATAACAGAGATAGAATGTCACTCTAAGAATTTGAACAGTTATTTTTACCTCTTGGATAGACTTCTAAACCAAAAAAGAATGAGAAATCAGTAATAAATTATTTGATTTAAATTTTTAGTCACTAGGACCTTAAACACTATCAATATTAAATGAACTCATAAAATTATATTAATTAAATGAGCAAAGATTTGAAAACTCTAGAGCTTTATTGTAAAGAGAAGGAATAGATATGTCATAAATATATTAAATGATTGATACCAATTAATCTAGAAATATAGGATTGAATGAATTTATGAATGCACTTAATTCTTATAGTGCAGTTAAGGTTGTACCATCAGAAGCAGCATTACTATTTATGAGATTTGATAGAACCAGAAATGGAACCATATCTTTTATGGAATTTAAAAGAGAAATGGAAATAAAATTGACATGAATATAATTTTACTTATTATATTTCATAAATAAAAAATATTGCAATATAATTATTGTATTTGCTGTTGTTATCCAACCATAAATAACTTATCAAGATGAAAGTTGATTATTATTATTAAAAATAATCTTATATTGAGTAATATTATTATTATTCAATGATAATTTTGATTATAAAAAAGGAGATGGTGAATCTTAAATTGATAATCTTCCAATTGCAGAAATCAACTCTAATTATTAAGGAACATCCTCTTTTTCATTAATTGTTTAAAATTTAAAAGAATGTTAATATTGGTATTATTTTAATTAAGTTGACAGGAGGCAAACAATCAATTATTATTATTTATTATATATCAATAAATAAATATATTAATACTCTAAGATAGAAATTTTTGGAGAAATTAATAGATTGTATAATCATATAAATTTTTAATTTAATATCTTTATTTAATAAATAAATTGAATATTAATTTAAATTCACTGAATTAATAGGATAAATAAAACAGCAAAATTTAATATTTCTAAAAAGCAATAGACATTAGCATTTTATCCACAAACATACTATATAATATATAAATGAATGAAATTACTCCAGCTCCAAGTGAGATACAAGGCAAACATTCTTAATTGTCAGCAACATATGCTCCATAGATACAATTTTTACAAGTTCCATCATTATTATATTGAGCACAATATTATGTTCCAGGATAACAACCTCTATCCTAAATATCTAAGTTGATATGTATATACTTTCAAATAAAATCCTTTAAGACAAGATGTACATTCTCTGCCTTAAGTGCCTTGGCAATTAGAACAACCTGGAGGACATAATTAACATGTTTGTGCATAAAGGAAGTATTATGGTAAACAACTTCTACATGTATCATTAGGACATGATGAACAATTTTTAACTGAACATTTTACACACTATTGTAATGTACTATAATAATATCCTGGAGAACATATATCACAAGAGTTTGAAGAAGAACAAACATCACATCCTTCCATACATTAAATACATTCATTATTATTTAAGTAATTAGATTGAATACATTGATTGCAAATTACTCCTTAATTATATGAACATTCTAAACAATTTAAAATAGTTGAACATGGATAACAAACTCCATTATTTAAAATGTAATGATCAGCACATTAAGAACATTGTCCAATTGAATCTACCATTTTAATGCATCCATTATTATTTTGAACACATATGTTAGTATTAATTTCTTAATCTGTTTATTGAATTAAAAAGTAATTGGCTGAACTAATAGGATCTGCTATATTAGTAAAACATTAAGTGGGATAGATGGATGGAGATTATCCAGATTCATCCAAATTTGTACAAAGTTCATATAATTCATTCTAATTCAAACAAGAATAACAAGTTCCTTGATATAAGTAATATCCATTTAAACAAATATCACATATAACTTAATTATTTCCTTTGGCTCTAAATTTTTCACATCCTGGATCCATTGGAATTAAATAGCATTAAGAATTTATTAACATATAAGTATCAGAACATTTAGTACATTTAGTTTGATCAGAACATTCCAAACAATTTATATTCATATCACTATTTCCAATACAAAACTAACATTAATTATTCTATAAGAAATATCCTTACTTACATGTAACACATGAATTACTATCTGTACAAGTTAAACATTAATTTAAGCAATCCATACAAATTTAATTTTATAAATAAAATCCATCTATACAACTCAAAACCTATTTACTATCACAATTCTTAGCATTTTTTATATTACATTCTAAGCATCTTCCTGCTCCATTGAAATATGCATTATATTAATTATATTAACCTGTCTATTCACCCCAATAATATCCACTTTGACATTCTACACAAGTTCCTCTAGACGTACACAAAGAACAACCTGGCCCACATTTCTCACATTACATTACTTCATTCAACCATGAACCATCTGGACATTTCAAACAAAATGTTGTTGATGAATCTCTTTCAATACAATCCAATGTGGAATAAGCCTCTTCAATACCTTATGGCAAATTATCCAATGCAATATTCCAATAAGGAATTCCCCATAATCCAAATCCAAAGAACTTAACATTCCCTAATCTTGGATTAAAACTCAGTGGTACACAGATATTTGCTATAAATATATACTAAATATTGATACCTATTAGTTGATATCCTGTTTAGCATTTATTACAAATAAATCCATTTATTCCATTTACAATACATGTACTACATCCTGTTGGACATTGTACACATTTCTTTTCTCCTTCATCTTAATATACCCAACCATCTTAACATTGTAATCCTCCATCACAACCCATATAAGAACTACATTTACATCCTTTCTCACAAGGTAAGCATGTTTATCCTGTCCAAAAATATTCAGATTAACATGAATATGACACTCTCTTGCTTAAGCAAACATTAACTAAAAGATAAACTAATATAATCATTATAAAATATAATATAAATCTATTAAATTCTTTATTTTTAAATAAGCTATTATTCTCCTCTTCTAAGTTTATAACATAGATTGAGGAATTGCTCTATTAATACTATTAAGACTATGATCTAATAAATATTATTCCCAAGAATTCTAAATTATAGAAAATCAACACAAAAGTTAACATCTTTTGCATTAATTTCTAATAGATAGATGATGAAAAGGATATGTTAAGAATAGAAGGAAAAATGTATAAAAAATGTTAGAAATTTATCTATAAAAAATGAATGGTTATATTATAATTACTATTATACAATCTAGAAAAATAGAATTACTTATAGAATGATAATTTTTCTTTATTCAGTAATAAAGAAGAAGTTCAGTAATTAAGAAGATGTTCAGAATACTAAAGATTCTAGAAGATTTGATTATATTTTATTTGATTTATTGAAGAGTCAGAAGAAAAAAGAATATTTTATTATTATATTTATAATCATTTTAAATAGTTATGGATTAACCAAGACACGTTTTCAAAAGAGTAAAAGAACGATCTATAATGGATGCAAAACATAGTGTTGATGAATGGAGAAATTTATTCAGGAATGGGGAAACAGATCAAAATGGAAAAAAGATTAAGTACAGTCTCAAATAAGCTGCAGAAAAAGTTGGAGTACCAAAAAAGACTTTAGAAGATTATCATTAGTTATTAAAGTAATAAAAAATAGTATCTTTAAGAAAGGCTGAATAGTTGATAGATTTGAACTAAGTTGGAGATAAAAAGATGGGATTTCTGAGAAATCTATTAAAAAATCAATAACAATAACAAATTTAGTCAGAGATTTTTTCAGATGAAGAGAATTATATCAAAAATGAATAAGAAGAGAATGAGGGAATGTAACAAGAAGAATAATAATAATTTAATTATGAAGATATGATTGTGGATGGAGATATATATAATTATAATGTTGATGAATAGTTTGAATATTTCTAATTGGATGTTTAAACAGTAATGATTCATCAATAACTAAATTATGATAAGAAAATAGAAATTCCAGACTATGATTGTGATGATTGTGAAACAGATGATGAGTTTTATAATGAATGAATCATTATATATCATAAATTTCCTTTCAACCCTACAAATAATCCATCAAATCATCCATAAACTATCCACCAGGCTTTTGTTTATGTTCAATTGCTGCTTTCAATGCCTCCTAAAATACCTTAACTACATTTGTTCCATCTGCTGAAGATGTGTAATAAATAGGGAGATTGTTACTCTCTGCAAACTTAAATTTAGTCTCAGTGACACTAGGATCCACTAAATATTTGATATATTAATATACAATCTATTTTATTGGCAACCAATAAGCAAGGAATAGTAGGACAATTTTATCTCATCTCTTCATACCATTTCTTTAAATTTGTATAAGTAATTTTCCTTGTTACATCAAAACACTTATTAAAATATACAATTTACTAAAATACAAGCATGAGCGCCATAATAATATGAAGCATGAAGAGTCTAGAAACATTCTTATCCAGCAGTATCCCATAAGTCTATATTTATTAACTTATACAAAATACCAATTTTATAGGTTTTCCCTTCAAACTTTGCATTATGTCTATACATTGTTAATGCATATGTAGATTATTATCTTTCTTCATAATCATCTAATAGAAATCTCTCAACTAATTTTGATTTTCCTACTGCTGAATCACCTAGTAGAATAATTTTCAAATCAGCTTTAGAGAATTCATTTTCATCATATTCCCTAACCTTTCTTTTCATTATTTCGAGAATATTTCTGAATTATTTAATTATAAAATCTAAATTTATAGATATCTAATCAAATTAAGTATTAAACTTGACTACTTACTAAATATGGATATTATTATGAACTATTAAGAATTACAATGAATATTTTAAGTGTTATATAAATTTTTAATATAATTAAAATAAATTAGATTGATTGGTTCAAATGAACGCTAACTGATTATAGAGAATAAATATTCTATTTCACTTGAGTTAAGATAAGTCTTTAAATTATGGAATATGAAAGGAATCAATACCTCAAAATAACATATCACATTAAGAAACCCAAAATTTGAAACTATAATTCTAACGATCTAAATATACATTAAATATAAGTTTCTAAATATCTATAATTTAATCTTTAGACTTTAAATTTAATAATAATTCTACTAAGTATGAAAATATAGGTCTCTGTTTAATAAATTGTCTATGAATATTAATCAAAATAAATAACCATATATCTAAATAATTTAGATAATAATAAACCATATTTAAACAAATACAATTTCTAAAACTGCAAGAATTTTTAATTTTGTCACAACAACTTTGATAATCCCATATATTATAAATAATACTCATATTATAATTAATATATGAAATCAACTTTATTCCTTATCTCCTTTTTTTGCCTTTTCTGCTTCAGCAGCTGCTTAAGCTTCTACAGCTGCAGCTAGTTTAGCCTCTTCTATTGCTTTTCCACATAATTGTATGCCTATCATTGTAAAATCACCCTCTTATTATTAAATAAGTATGAATATTACATTAGGAAATAATGTATTCTGATTGGGCTTTTGTTCTTATTCTAATAATTTCAAGATCATTCTAAATTATTTTGTTAAATGAATACATCAGCACTTCTTAATTCTCTTTGAATGCATTTCTTAGTGACATTCCATAAATCAGCCACTAAAGCAGACATATGAACAGCTTTATCGTAAGTAATATTCTTTTCTGATCTTTTTAGTGGAATACCTAATAATTATGAATATAGTTTAATTACAATCTTAATTAAATATCACAAAACCATTTGCACCTTCCACATTTGATAATCCTTTTAATACTTCATCTACATTAATATCATTAATAGGTTGCTGATTGAATATATATGATAAGTTACCATCTTGAAATTTATAATATAATTAAATAAATTAAATTAATATAATAATAAATGATCATTTATAATATTATATAATTACATATGCTCCTATCCAAGCACTAATTAAAAAGCCATGTAATGATAATTAATTAAGAAAATTAAAGATTCTATTTTACATTATTTCTATTTACTAACTCTATATTTTATTTTCTTTCACATTTTGATGTTCTTTTCCTTTTTATACATTTTCAATAGGTTGATAATTATTTTTAAAAGATAATTAATTAATTTTATTAAGCAATTCCTAATTCTCTTTAAATATTTATTATTATTCATAAAAAAGATGATGTTTTATATCTTGCCTTTAATCACCTTAAATTCTTTACAATTATAATTTTAATAACTTTATCTCTCCTTCTTGATATTTAATAGTATTTTCCTTTAATTCTATCTAATATTTTAATTAAGTAATTTCATTTTATAATAGATTATTATCCTCATTTAAACTTTAATTTTGATTATTCATTTCTTATTCTACTTAAAACTCTAAGTATTCTAGTTATTATATTTAATGTTTTAATGCTTTAATCTAAGATACACTATAATAATATTACCTCTTTTCTTAATTATTAATTTTCCTTATCTTTAATTTATAAATCTTTATTCAATTATTATATTTTTTAAGTTTAAATTGTTATCTAATTTTTTAATTCATAATTGCTTGCTTCTATTAATTACATTTTTTTAGCTTGAACTGTTAAATTATTTTATAAGTTATTATTCAACAAGTACACAATATCATAATAATCTGGTAAATTATTTAAATTAGAATTATCTGAATCTTTTAAAAATTTTATTAGTTAATTTATTAATTTTGCTACTGCACTAACTTTTTTACATATCTATGGATCATCTTTTTGAACAGGTTGTGTAGATTTGATAAAACTCTTTAAATATTCAATTTAAAACTACCATCATATCATTGCATTTTCCAAATACATCATAATCTAAAACTAACAAGTCATTTATTTCCTTCATATCTTATTTAGACATATAAAATATTTATTTTTTTAATAAAATTATTAATCATAGCATAATTCAATTTTATCTATATAATCACAATATTATTTATGTGTAGATACAATTAAATTTACTAAATTTCCCTCATTTAAATTTATCTATAAATTTTATGTCTTCGAATGACTATTCACATCCTCTTGTACTTGGTTTCTAATAATTTACTATTTAATAAATTTTAGACAATTTATATACTTTATTCTGACTTCTTTTTATTTTCCTCTATTAATTGCTATCTCCTATTATTTATTCAAAATAATACTACTTTTCTACATTTTAACCAAAATCATCATTCAGACAATATCTGGAATATATTTATTCATTAATAACTCAATATTGTGTATGCATAAAACAAAATTATTTTCATATATTATAGGTGTCTAGTGAACTCTATAACAAAACCAAAAATATCTGATATTATCATTTTCTTAATTTTCAATTAAGTACATCTCTTTTCCACTTCTTGAAAGAGTCTATAAAATGTTGACCAATATTTCAAGTGAAAATTGATAATTTCATACAATAAATATTTTTTGGTGTTATTCTAAAATTTTAACATAAACATTACAGATTCTTTTATTGGAAATGAAAACTCTCTAGTGTTTTCTGTTTCTCTTGATTTTAATCTACTGCAATTTAATCGATTTAATAATAAATTATTCGTTTAAAATTAAAATTTTAATTGTATTCATTAAAAAAATATAATAAAGTAGTATTTTAATAAAAACATTATTCATGAATTTTGGCAATGATTAAAATTATATACAAAAAATAGATGCATTTTATTTGAATACATAATAAATTTCTTCAAAATATTCTAAATACTTATAAAAATGGAAAAATATATATGATTAAAATCTTATTATCTAAATAATTAACAATTTTATATAAATTAAATCTCCATAAAATAAATCTAATTTTTTAATATTAGAATTATATATAGTTTAACTTTTAAGTTTTATTAGTTGATTAGACTTAAATATCTTATTATATTTGGTATTATTTAACATAGAATAAGATGATTGTTATAATTGTTTCAATTAATTTTAATATGAAATAATATAATATTAGATCTATGACAATTTTGCTTCATCAACATAATATTGAAAAAGTTGTTTAGAAGATTTAATAAGATTGCTAAGAAAGAAATTCTATTTTACATAAATCTGAATAAGAGGATTCAGATTTTTTTTTTTCAAAGCCAATTCAAAAAACAAATGGTAATTCTAGTTATAGATAACCAATGAGTGCTCGTAGTTTATATTTTACTCCAATGAAATCTGTAAAGTCACATAGGTAAATGCAGCAATAAAAAGAAGTCAATCATTTTGAAGATGGAATTGAATCTATAGATGGAGATCAATCTAACCTTTTGACAGTCATACTTTAGTTATAAGAGCAGATTAAACAATAAAAAGAACAAATAGAAAAATTGAATTAAAAATGTACAATACTTGAAGCTGAAAAGGATGAAGCATAAAAACCAAATATTGAATAAATTACAATTACTGCTAATCTGCTTTAATAAAATGAATAACTTATGTAATAATTATCAAGATTAAAGAAAAAATAATGATTAGTTTTATTTAATATCATAAACCTTTAAAAAATACTATACACCATTCATTTATTGCTTCTTAAGCAGCTTATCTAACCACTCTTTTAGGATAATTTAAATATCTTTTAAATAAATTAATCCCTGTATTATAAAGATCTAAATTATATTTAGCTTCCTCATAGTTATTCATTACAATATTAATTAAAGTATACAAAACCTTGATATCATTGGTTTCTAATTTAGCTAATTAATCAATCACTTTTAACTTCAGTAAAGGACACCAATTCACAATTAAAGCAAGTTATTTTAGTTTATCAATTTTAACATCATTGAAATATTCAATAATTAATTACAATAATTCAAGATTTGCTAAATCATTAATGAATTCTTCATCTATTTAATTGATTAAATAATTTATTGTTTGTTTATGATTTAATTGTTTAATTATTTCAACTATTGATTTTTATAGAAATGGTTTATTTTCTACTTCTTTATGTTTAATAATTTGAATTATTAATTAAGGATGACTCTAAGATAATTCTTTCAATTTTTCAAAAACTATTTCATTATTAAACATCATCTAAATTTAATAATAAATATATATACCTATTATCTAAGTATAATTAGATATAATTGTAACTAATTTAAATTATAATCATTAAAAAATATCTCCATTTATGATATTGATGGAAAATTTAGATTTAATTCTTTTTGATATTTTGATAAACAAGAACTATATATATATTATTAATAATTTACTAAATTAGTTTATATATATATCTTCTATTTATTATTTACACATCTTTCTATTTAAAGTCTTATTTGTATATCATTTCAAGTATAGATTAAATGAGATTTTCATTCAAATCATAATCCATTAAAGGAATATAATAATATAATTATTCATCTTCAAGATTAAGTATATATTCAAGAGTAATATCTTTAATTATATTTTAACTAAAAGCAAATTACTTTAATATGAATTAAATAAATTGTTTTATTAGTTTGTTTTTTCTATTTTTATTTAAAGGATTATAAATATGGTTAATAACTAATTAAGCCTAATTTTATCTTATTTAATAAGGAATTGTATTATTATCTAAATAACCTTTAAGAGCAGATATTTACTCTGATTTTATTGAAAGATGTTAATTATTAATTAAATTTAATGTAAATTATGAAAAATGATCTTAAATATTGTATAAAGAGCATGTTAAACTGTAATCATATAGTAACTAATTATTTTCCTACCAAAAATTGAGTAACTATTAATATTATTTAATATCCACAATTCCATTTTTAGCAAAATAATCTAAAATGCATTATTATTCTAGAAGTTCCCTATTATTAATTTAATTATATAAAAATATTTCCAAATTTTATTATTAATCTATGTAATATTTCATAATGTCAGCTAAACATTTAAGAGTAAGAATAAAGACATTTTACATCTTATGATTTATTCCTTATTATAATTTATCATATAATTGTGATTTTTGATTATTTTTTAATTCAGAAATAAAATCTCTATTATATTTTTTATATTCTGCAATTGTTGAGATTACATTCTCTAACCTTTTTTAAGTAACATTAATATTTTTTGTATCAAATTTTTTATTAAATATTTGAACAATATCTTAAAAAATTGTTTCTTCATGATTTTAAACTAAAAGTTTTAAAAAATTAAAATAAATAAATCCTTATTAAGTTGCTGGTATTTCTTCAATAGTTTTCAAAGAAATTGTTTTTATTTTTGCTTTAACTTTTTTAAAACTCTCATTATTACAAATTTCAATTAAAGTAATTGGAATTAATTAAATAACATCATCATCCATTATAACTTATTCTGCAAGTTTCTAAATAGATTCAAATATCTCTTCAATTTATGTTATAGTAATTTTATTTTAATTTTTAATTATCCACATAACACTTTTAAGTGCTGATCCTTATGCTCTATCATAAGCAGATACAATTTTATCTTGTAAAAGTAATATGGATTCATTTAATAATACTTCACTAAATAGACATTTATTAAGTATATGTTCAATTTCTACTTTTTTTATTTAAAATCTAATTAAATATATATCATACCTTGGATCTGCTTTTTCATTAAATTCTATAGGATAATAACAATCTAAAAACTCAAAAATTTCTCTCTTATATTAACTTCCTATATTTTTTTCTTATAATATAGCATCACATAGTTAAAATGCAACTAAAATATTTCTTGGATCTTTTTCTCCTATAATACTCTAGAGTATTAATGAAGCTAGTTCAAATGTAATAGGAAAATTAAGAAAAATTTGATAAAAATTAATTCTTGCTTCTCTAGAAAATGAAGGAATAATTATCTATTTGTTCTATATCATTTTTATAAATGTTGGATTAATGCTCTTTTAAGATTTACTTAATTTTAGTAAAATATATGTTGTATCAAGTAAGGATTAAGGATCACTTAATTTGTGGAGAAAAAATTCAATTAAGAATTCTGATTCTTCTTGATTAACATCAAGTTATTCTAATTATTCTCTAAATTAGTGAGTAGCTTTAGCTCTTATTTAATCATTTTTTGAAGTCATTTCATTTTAAAGTTATTTGAGAACATTGAGCATTAATTAAATAATATAATCATAAAAAGAAATCCTTTGGAAATTTATGGCTATTTCTAACTTTAACTCTAACTCTTTCCTCTGAGTTTTATCTACTATTACTATCTCGTAACTTGTGTTCATCTTCAAACTTTTTCTTTAATTCTCCAGTCGTTAAGAGTAATAATTCCAAAATATTGTTATTTGCATGTTTTTCTAATTCTAATTTTATATTTTTTTGTTGTTGTTTAACTTGATTATCTTTAAAAAAGCTTCTCAAAGGAATCATATTTGGTTTAGATACTTTTTAGAATAATTCTTATGAATCATTGATTCTACTAGAGATAGGAGGTTTAGCAGCAGATGATTACTAAAATTTTATTGGTTAATTACTCGATTATGTGATGAATATACAACTTTTTCTTTGAATCCATTCAACTATTATTGAGATCTACTAGGTTTAACATTTCTTGGAGTACTGTTGAATATATTAAAAACTCTAATTTTCTCATTGGAGCAACACTTCTCTGCTGAAGTAGGCATTCGAATTTGCTTCTTATTATAGAGTGAAATGGATCTAAATTTAGTTAACTCTTCTTTTCGAGTTTCTTCCATGTCGATTGGTTTTAATGCTGGTTTTGTTTCTGTTGCTATACTTCTTTTTAAATAGTTCTTTATTATAGTTAATAAGATCTACATGTTATTCAAAATGTCGAGTGTGTTCAGAATCTTTAGTATGTACTCTTTTTTATTGGAAGTAGTCTTTCGAGTTGAATTGCAAGAGGTACTTTTTGAGCATTATAAAATTAATATAATTCAATTCTTTTCTCTTTCAATACATTATAATAGGTCTTTGTACAAGTAGTTAATGGCATGTTTAATTTATTCTGAATCAGATTCTCTATCATCATCAGATTTCTTTAATTTTTTTAAATATAATTCTTACATGTTTTTATAAGATTGATTAGTATTTCTCGGGAATATTTAAATCTTTGTCTTCATAGCAGATAAATTATTTCGAGGATTTATGTTTTTTCAAATTTATTGTGGTCTTTATTTAAATAACAGAAGTACATATTTATGTTTCTTACTTATCGGTCCTCTTTTCTTTCTAGGAGTTTAAGCACTACTGTTAAGGGGGAATTCACTCATAGATACATTCTAAAATAAGGCTTAAAAAATAGTTAATATATAAGGTATGAGATTTTTGAGAAATTATAGTTAATACCTCTTAACAAGTCACTGACAAGTCTTCTCTTTATGATTATCTCTAAGAATTCCTTGTTTTCATTATTTTTAATAAATTTTTTAATCTATAGATCACTAGCATACTAAGACAATTATATTAACATAAAAAAATAAATCAAATTTTCATTTTCACTTTAAAAAATATCTATTCTTTTATCTGAGAAGATTTAAAATCCTTATATTTCAATAATCTACCTATCTCATAACATAGTAATGGTAATTTAACATTTTTTCTAATGTTAAACTTTATCTTATAATCTCAAACAAAATTATTTTAAGGTAAGAATTTAAATAATATCATTATTTATCTTATATCTCAAAAATCAGAAATACAATTATAATTATTTATCGAAGAAATCAAATAAATAATGTTAACTATCAGTTTGAATGTAATATTCATAAAGATAATTTTTAAATTCTCATAATAAACCTTTAAAAATCCATAAATTATTCATGAAATTTGAGATTTTCTAAATTATATAAGTTTCATAAATTATCCAATTTTTAGGTTGTTTTATTTAAATGTATTATTAAATTGTATAAATTATATTTATACAAAAATTATAAATAAATCAATTAATACTATTTATTATATTAAACAAATTATATTATAATTATCGAATATAGTTTATAAATTTTGTATGTATGATTTGAAATGAAAACATCAATATTCCATGGTTTTTAATGAATATATAAATAATTAATTTATTTAATTAACAAATATGATTAAATATAAGCGTGAATTATTTAGAACTCAGATTAGACAATAGTTTCATTAAAATGTTTTCAAATAGAAAAGAGTATTAGCTAATACATAGATATAATAAACTTTTTCTTTTAATCAATTAATTGATATGATTAAAAACCCTAGAATAATAACATAGGAGCATTTGAAAGAATTGAATTCTTGCTTACTTTTTTGTATTAATTAGAAACTATCAAATGAACAAATTTAGTTAATTGAGAACAATATTGATAATTTACTCTCTCTTTTAATGTATTAGATTATAAATAAAAATACTTTAATTTTGGAGTCATTAACAATATTTATCAATTTAACATTTTTTNTTATAGTTAATACCTCTTAACAAGTCACTGACAAGTCTTCTCTTTATGATTATCTCTAAGAATTCCTTGTTTTCATTATTTTTAATAAATTTTTTAATCTATAGATCACTAGCATACTAAGACAATTATATTAACATAAAAAAATAAATCAAATTTTCATTTTCACTTTAAAAAATATCTATTCTTTTATCTGAGAAGATTTAAAATCCTTATATTTCAATAATCTACCTATCTCATAACATAGTAATGGTAATTTAACATTTTTTCTAATGTTAAACTTTATCTTATAATCTCAAACAAAATTATTTTAAGGTAAGAATTTAAATAATATCATTATTTATCTTATATCTCAAAAATCAGAAATACAATTATAATTATTTATCGAAGAAATCAAATAAATAATGTTAACTATCAGTTTGAATGTAATATTCATAAAGATAATTTTTAAATTCTCATAATAAACCTTTAAAAATCCATAAATTATTCATGAAATTTGAGATTTTCTAAATTATATAAGTTTCATAAATTATCCAATTTTTAGGTTGTTTTATTTAAATGTATTATTAAATTGTATAAATTATATTTATACAAAAATTATAAATAAATCAATTAATACTATTTATTATATTAAACAAATTATATTATAATTATCGAATATAGTTTATAAATTTTGTATGTATGATTTGAAATGAAAACATCAATATTCCATGGTTTTTAATGAATATATAAATAATTAATTTATTTAATTAACAAATATGATTAAATATAAGCGTGAATTATTTAGAACTCAGATTAGACAATAGTTTCATTAAAATGTTTTCAAATAGAAAAGAGTATTAGCTAATACATAGATATAATAAACTTTTTCTTTTAATCAATTAATTGATATGATTAAAAACCCTAGAATAATAACATAGGAGCATTTGAAAGAATTGAATTCTTGCTTACTTTTTTGTATTAATTAGAAACTATCAAATGAACAAATTTAGTTAATTGAGAACAATATTGATAATTTACTCTCTCTTTTAATGTATTAGATTATAAATAAAAATACTTTAATTTTGGAGTCATTAACAATATTTATCAATTTAACATTTTTTTCAGATGAAATATAAGATAAGTTACTCACTAATAGCTATATGAATTTCAATATTCTTTAAATTATATCAGGATTAATTTCAAATGGAAATGAAGTTAGAACTGCATTAGAACTTTTAATAAATGTTTGGTGTAATTCTAATTCCCAAAAATTAGAATAATTAGATCTTATAATTGCTATTAATGATCTTACTAATAATTCTATTTCTAAAAATGATAATTAGACAATTTTATTAATATCAAAATGTCTAAAAAATTTTGTTAATTGCATTTATGATGATTTTTTACTTTTTGATTGTGATTATTTAGTGGAATTGATAAAGAAACTATTAAATTATGGATTAAAAGAAAAACCATAATTTATATCAGATTAAATTGAGATTTACTGTATTATAGTATAGAAATTAAATTTAAACTTTTTATAATAAGATAAAGATTTAATACTAAATTTGATAAATTTAAGTATGGAATGTATAACATTAGTAGATTAAATTACTAAATTATTATCCTATTTTTGTATTAATGAAACAGAATGTTTTTATGAGTTATTACAAAATCAAGTTATTGAATATTGTAAATTGGTTATTAGATTAAATAACAATGAAATAATACCTTCTGTACTCAATTTATTAAGTATAATATTTTTTTAATTATCATAAACTTTCAATAACTTATTGTAACCTTTTTATGATGATAATATTATACTTAAAGAAATTATAAGGTTAAGTGAAGATTGTTACCCTAAAAAGGTAAGAGAAGCTTCAATACGTTGTATTAAGATATTAATTGAAAGTTCAAATGAATTATAAATTTAGAATTTAGTTGATTTGGAAGCTCATTTAATTTTAATAGATTTATTAAAAGACTTTTCTCTTGATTAATTTTCTACCTTATTTACTTTATAATCATTAAATAATTTATTAAGTGTTTTTAGTGTTCAAGCATTTTAAATGGATTATCCACATCATTTAATGTAATACGCTTTGTCAAATAATTAAGAGATTGCAGATGAAGCTAATGAAATATTATTGAAATTTGAAGATGATTTTCATAATATATGTTAGTGAATATTTACTATAAATAAATAAACAAATATATTAATTATTTTATATTAAAATTCTATTTATTTCCCTCTTTTCCTTATTATTATAATATAGAGTTGTTATCATTAATTTTGATATCTTTATATATCAATTATTCAAAATAAATTTGTATCATTTTATAAATTGTTAATTGTTGAATAAAATGGAAAATTTATTTTATTAATAAAAAATGTTTTATAGATAAATACTATTGATTAAGATGATTGAAACTGATAATTTCAATAAGAAGGATTCTCATATATAATTATTATGGTTTTAATTCTATTTACAATTTACATAACCAATCAAATGAATTATTTGGAATAAGAATTTTAATTGAATTAATTTTTCTCACATCTTAAATAATTTTTATTGCCTTATGATTAATTTGTAAGCAATTGTTAGTTTGGATACAGGTGAAAAAATAGAATAGATTTGTATTTATGAAGGAGATGATATTGAACTATTGACATAATTTTTTTGTGATAGACATCAAATTAGATAAGAAGGAAAATAATTTATAATTGCAGAGATCAAAAGATAGCTAAAAGTGCCAGTATTAATTTTTTATAGTTTTTTAGGTAAAAACTCGTCATACTTCTATTCTCTCTTTAAATACATAGCAACTTGTATAAAAATTATACAGAAATAAAACAGGTATTAAATTTAATAATAAAAGAGACCGATGTTTTTGAATAGTTGTATGCAGATGCCATTAACTAGAAAAAAAGATTGAAGACTGCTTTACAAGAACATGATCAAGAATAATAATAAATAAATTATGCAATACCAAAGATTAATAGCATATCTCGTTTAATAGTAAAAGAAAGAGGTAGTTCTGAAGAACCAATTCATTCAAAACTATATTAAGATGCAAAATTGATTGATGCAAAAAAGAAAATCTTAAGGGAAAGAGTTATGAGTTAAATATATCCATTTCATCCAAATAGTGGTTAAAATGTTAAGAAAAAACCTTAAAAGTAAGAATAATTATAACATGCTGAAAAATTGATTTAAGAATAAGTTGATTAGAAATTGAAGTTATAATAAAAAAGATTAGCTTAAGATACAGCTTAAAAGGATAAAGCTACTAATTAATAATATTTCAAACCATTAATAAGAAAAGATCAAACATTTAGACTTGTTAAAAAGAAAGTAGATAAGCAAGATGAGATACTGGCAAATTTAATTGCAAATAAAATGATAAAATTGAATAATAAAAATTCTAATTTGATTAATAATGAAAAGGAAGTTGTTAACAATATTAATTTTGTTGAAAAAATATTTAAATAATTAGATTCAGATAGAGATGGTTTGATATCAATTTAATATATCAACTTAAATATAAATGAAAAAGTGTTAAAAAAAATTCATCCAATTTTGAATTATATTGAGGAAAAAAATTTAGAAATTAATCTTGATTACTTTTTCTAACTATTAAAATTATTTCATATTAAATTAGATTGATTTTCTTTATAAACCTAGATTCTAATCATAGAATTTTTATATTTATAATTTATTGAATAGACCTTATAATCTTATAATATTTAATATATTAAATTAATATATAATCATATGAGTTTTAACAATCAAAATTATATGTTTGAAGAATTTAAAGTGGAAGAAATATAATTTATACCAGAAATTAGACAAACTAAGTCTATTGTTGCTAATCCAAATAAAATTAATAAAAAGTTATTTTATCAATATATTTAAGATATTCAATTTGTTCATATTGTTTAGCTTATTAAGAAAATGAAGATAATACACCTTATTAATGTAAGAATATAACATGTGGTAAATTTGTAAAAATACCTGTATAATATGAAGTATTTCAATGTCCTACATGTTATGCAAATATTCTGCATCAACCTTTTAGTATTTTAATATAATTCAATTAGGTTCAATAATTTGTTCATAGTGTAAGAAAATTGTAAAATGGTCTGATCAATTATTAAATTAAGCTTCTTAATTAACTTAAGGCATAAAAAAACAATATTGAAGATTATATAATTTTTTGTAATTCTTATTAATCATTTAAAACATAGAATTCTAATTTTTGGAATTTTGATTATTTCTAATCAATTTCATTTAATAATTATGAATTATAAATATTTTATACTAATCTTAGGGTGTGTCCTAATAACAATTAATGGAAGCAAATGTAAAAAAGTAATTAATTCTGATGCTGTTTATATATTTGATGATTTATAAACAAAGGAATATAAATAAATTCTAAACGGTATTCTTTATTCATAATTTAGAAACAAGTACATTATATTTCCGATTTTGTTAATCAATTCTAAAATGTCCACAAATAACATATAATACATTTGCTGTAATAATAAATAATGAAGGAACACCAGAATAATAATGCATATCATTGATTAATACAAATTAATACTTTGCAGATTCATTTGAACTTATTAATTAAGATTAATCTAATGAAGGTGTGCAGGCAGAATTTAATAAGTATTGATATAATCTCATTAAAAAATAGTACATTAAATGGATTTTCAGTAAATTATGTACTAAATTGTTAAGATGAATAAGAAGGTCTTAAGATATTGGATATATCCTATGAAAAGGACAAACAATTATATACTATTAATATGGAAGCTGATGATGGATGTCCATTAGTTTTATTTTCTTAAATTGTTTAATTTCTAAATGATAATAAGAAATTTCTTTCTGCAATTCTAATAATAATTGGTTTAACAGAATGTTTAATGGGTAAATAAATCTTAAAGCCAACTCTATTTATTTTTGGCTACTTAATTGGCTTTTTCTTTTCACTTTATATATCTAGTGAATTAGATATGGGAGACAATCCATTTTATTTATGGATAGCATTAATAATTTCTGTATTATTTGGAGCATTTGTAGGAGGTTTATCTATGCATCTTGATAAGGTTGGAATTGTTGCAATAGGTATTGGACTAGGAGTAGTTTTGTCATTACTTTTATGGAATGCATTATTGGTTCAGTTTATTACATCATAATATTTATTATATTCAATTATAGTAGTTTTAAGTTTTGGATGTAGTGTTCTATCGTTTAGATTATTCGATCATCTAATCATTTTTAGTACTAGCTTTTTAGGAGTATAAATATATATAAAACCATATCTAGTCATACTTAGTTTTTAAGGCAATAGGTTTGATAGCTGGAGGGTTTCCTTCAGAAATTAGGAGTATTTCAGGAAATTCAGATTACAGATATTATATTTATTTTACTTGTATTATAATTTTAGCTTGTTTTGGTATCTTCTACTAGTATAAATAATGGGGATAGAACATAATAACTTATGATTAAATCGTATAATCAATGATGAATGGCAATTAACCAAATGAAGTCAAAGATTCACTTTTAAATGATCCTTAAAATACCCAAGACTTGATTGAATTAAAAGAGATATAGTAAAAATCAGAAATAAAAGGATTTTAGTGAAAATCAAAATGAACTTTATGATTATTTTATAAACTTAGATAAATATAATAATTATAGTAATAGATATATTTGTTTATTGACAAGTTTTTTGTAGAAAATAACTATATAGGTTATAATTTAAAAAATAAAAAAACTCACAATAATGAATGTTTATAGATTCTTTGTATAAAATTAACCAAGAAATTATTAAATTATTAAATTTTATAATTCAATCAGAATCGGTAAAAGGATAATCTATTGTATAAACCCCCTTTTTGCTTTAGTCTTTGGTCACTTTAATTTATGCATTTTTCCAACTATCAGATATATCAATAGATCTATATTTCTTCAAATTATCATATAAATCTAAATTAGTATCTTAACCTAGAGAATGTCTCTTCCAAATATCTCCAGCTCCAAATAGATAACATATTTATTTGATTTTAGATTCTTGATTAATATTTTTAACTCTCAAAATGCGAGCCATATTGATTTCTAATTAATATCTTGGAATATCTGAATTGCTTTATTCATGAGTGATCCAAGGGTGATTTAGAGCCTATTCTGGTGTGAATCGGCTATCAGGATCTAATTTTAAAAGATTAGTTATAAGATCTTTAGCAGATTCAGAGATTTAAGTCCATATAATTCCAGCAAAGTCATATTTACATTATCTAATCTATTCAATTAAATCATTAAGATATTCAGAATTAAATGGCAATTCTCCACTTAACATTACATATAATATGACACCTGCACTCCATAAATCAACTTATTCACTAATTACATAAATTTATTTACTTATAAAGATTACCTGAAAATATTTCAGGAGCTGAGAATGCAACAGTTCCAGTATATGTCCACATTTCAATTTTACCATGTTAATTAAGATCTCCAAACTCTTTATAACTATCATTAAATTTTGAAACCTACATTTTTGTAAATTTATTTACATTAAAATCAGTTATTTTTATGGATTTACCATCATGGGCACATAATATGTTATTTGGTTTTAAATCTCTATGACAACAATAATTCTCATGCATATATTTGATGGCTTCTAAAATCTATATGAATAATACACGGGCAATGGTCTCTTTCTTAGTTAAAATAATACCACTATATTGTTTTTATTATTAAATAACTTCAAACATTTCTCTTCCATCAATTTTCTCCATAATTACACAGACCATTCCAGTTGATTAAAATCCTTCATTCCATTAGATATAAATCTCTTTCATAGATACTATATGAGGATGATTTAATCTCTTTAGGTTTTTAAATTCCATTATCATCTTTAGAAATATTTTGAAGTTTTACTTTCTTTACAATTTCTTCTGAATCAGTTTTGACTGTTTTGCAAGCAAATTCAAAATCATCACTCTTTCTTTTCACACTCTTTACTAATCCTATACAACCCTCTCCTAAAATATCTCCTTCTATATATTTATTATGATATTCTTTTATATCCAAAATATACTTCTCTTCATCACCTTCTAGAATTATTCCTATCCTCTACAAAAATGATTGTAATGATTAATCATCTTATTTAGTATTCTTGAGAAATTGCAATACATCTCCTACACATAGAAAAATGCCTTACCTTATAGTTTATTCTTGAACTATTCTAGTTTACATTATTATTCAGATTCACTCTTTCGAGAGAAAGAGAATTTGTTTTTTTTAACATTCTCTACTATCATAATAATTATGAATTGTTTTGATTCATATTGTCGTCAAATTATTAGGCCCCCTCGTAGATAATATATGATAAGTGATCTAGGTAATACACTTTTACAATATAAAAAGGACCAAAAATAAGATATTTACAAACAAAAGCTATAGTTAGAGTTGATTTTGTATTTGAATCTAGAAACATATAATTGAATGCTAGTTATTTTTTAACAAAAGCATAAAATCATAGATGCATGATTTACTTACATGGAAATGCAAGTTGCAGATTAGAAGGAATTAGATATGCTGAAGTCCTAGCATCATGGGATATTAATTTATGTGTTTTAGATTTTGCTGCTTGTGGCATGTCTCAAGGTGAATGTATTACAATGGGAGTATATGAGAGTTAAGATGTAATAGAACTGATGAAATATATTGAAATTAACTTTGGAAAAGTTGATGAATTTATGCTATGGGGTCGAAGTATGGGAGCTGTTACTGCTCTTCTCTTAACAGAAAATACTAAAATTAGATCTTACATTATTGATAGTGCTTTTTCAGAATTTCGATAATTATTGTAGGATATTGGAAATAGACAATTTGGAGTCTTTTCTTTCATATTATATCTTGCTATCCCAATTTTGAGATGGAAAATATTGAATCATGCTTAATTTGATATCAATCTCCTCAACCCAATAGATAAATTAAAATAAGTGATTCCTAATAAAAAGTTCTTTTTTGTTGCAGGTAAATCTGATACTCTCATTTCCTATTAATACACTCTTAAATTATATGAAAATTGTTAAATGACTAAAAAATTGGATATTTGTGAAGGAGATCATAATTCCAATAGACCATCTACTACATTATAAAGAATTATTGAATTTATAAATGAGGCTTGTGAATTTTAAAATAACCAAGAATATTAAATTAAGATAGATCATTACTTTAAATTTTAATTTCAATAATCCCTCGAAGAAGAGGAAGATGTATCAGAAATTAAGACTCCTTAAACAAAACAATAATTTATTAGCATCTGAAGAATATTATATCTATTTTATAATATAATTACTCTGTAATTATTAAACAAGTCAGATTTTAAATATCTTAATCATAATTATTTTTTATGAATTCAAAAAGTGCTAAACCCACTAACATTAAGCAATTGTAGCACTTACAATTGCTTATTGAAAGAGTATACATCCCATTAGAATCAAAAGTCGAATTGCGAACTACTCTCTAAAAGTTTACTAGCTAAATAGAACATTCAAGTCAACAAGTAACTATTTAAATTACAATTTTAGGTTTCAGGCACAATTACTATTGAATTGCCAGATGTTGTTGATTAAATTGATGATGAAACTGCTTTAAAGAATTATGAACTTATGGAGAAGTATGAAGATTATATAGGGAAATGGTCACAAACTATAAGACAAACCATATTGAAGGAAGCTAGTAGAAAAACAGAAAAAAATTCTGCTTTGGCGGATATCATGTTATGGAGATCAAGATCGGCAAATTTGAGTACATTATATTAACAACTGGTAATCACAAGTTATTAACTAATAATAGCAAAACCCTATTGTTGCTAAAGTGAGATAAAGATTATAAACATATTTAGAGGATAATTAATCATCTGTATTGGAATTTAATGGCCAATTTGCAGAATTAACCAAAGCTTAGGCTGAGGCTAAGGACAATGTTAAATTTCTAACTACTCTTGAAAGATAATTTAAGAATCTAGACTAAGATGGATTGAACGGAATCAAAGAAACATTACCTTCTCTAATGAATGGACTTAAAATGGTTTGGATTATTTCTAGACATTATAAAGAAGGAGATAAAATGTAGAATCTATTATAATTGATTTCAGAAGAAATAGCTGATAAAGTAGAATCTTAAATTAAAATACCATAATTATTCACTCTCAGAGATGATTTACCTTATGAATAATAATTAGAGACAAGCATCAATTTAATAATGCAAGGTTCTGAAATTCTCAAGTCTTGGAAAGATCTCTATCATAAGACTAAATTAGCAATAGAAGAAGAGAATCTTGATCGTTGGGATTTTACTGTCAGAACTATTTAAGAAAGAATTGAGTATATGGCTAATAGATTAGATGAATTGAGGAAGGTTATAGATACAGTGAGAAAATTCTTAGTGTTCTTGGGTCCAAATTTAAAGAAGGTCACAGGAAATGCTTAAGAAATAGATAAAAGAATTGAAGATGTTAAATAATTGATTACTCCTATTGTTAATAGTCCTTATAATTTCTTTTAAAAAGGAAATGCTGGTTAATGGAAAACTATTTATTAGAAATTCTAAGAGAATCAAAAATAAATTGTTGGAAAAACAATTGACTTAATAGATGAAACTTTCAAATCCTTAAGATCAGCAGAGGGAGCTTTTGATTTATTATAGAATTTTAAAAGTATTGATACATTAGAGGATATCAGTACAACTTTACAAAAAAAGTATTAGGAAGTGTTAGCCTAATATAAAAATGAATTAAAGTAAAATCAAGGGCTATTTGAAAAAGGATAGTAAGCAACTGATGTTTCTTTAATATCATCAAAAAATCGACCACCTGTAGCAGGATCTATAAGTTGGGCTAGATCAATATTTTATAGAATAAAAAGACCAGTTCTTAAATTTATAACAAGAGAAGAGACTTTTATTGAAAAAAAAGATGGATAAGATAAACAAGAAAACAAAGAGAGTAAAAATCCTAAAGATTTGGGATCATAATACAATGAAGCAAAAAATGAATATAGAGTGTTGGCTAAGAAATTGGATTAATTTTAAAAGGAAAAGTTTGAAAGTTGGGAAAAATCAATTACAGAAAAGGCCTTGTAATATTAAAAAAATAGGATTTTAACAAAACATGAACAACCAAAGGAAGAAGGTAGTTGGAATCGTAGATATACAGTGTTCTTTTAGGATGAATTTAAGACTTTAATAAAGGAAACAAAATAATTAGAAAAGATGGGATATAAGATCAATTAAACAACTATAAATATTTCAAAATTAGAAAAAGAATTCTATGGTTATATTGATAGATTATAAATAATGTTAAGAGAATATGATGAAGCAGTTCACACCTTATAGCCAATAGAAAAAGAATTATTGAAAGAGAAAATAATGAAATTAAATAGAGCCTTGGAACCTGGACATGAATCTTTGAATTTGGCATCTTTGGGAATTCCAGATTTTATTGATAATTGCCTTAAAGCTATTAATGAATTTAGGGATATCAAAAAGAAAGTTAGAAAATCTACAGGAATGATAGAAGATATAGTAAAATCAATTGAGGAAGCTTAAATCTTAAGAGAGTATGATTTTGA